ATGGAAATGAAAAAGGAAGTGGCAGAATGTTGCTTTCTGAACTCTTAAGGAAATGTATTGTCTTCTATCTTTTGCACTTTGCTTAAGGAGTTTAGGGCTAACTGAATAATCCACTTCCAGCAGCACTTGGCTTTCATTAAATCTAAAGGGCTCATCCCAAACAGACACTGTATTTGGATACACTGTTTTTGTGGTTTCACAGCTTTCCATGCAAGGGCAACTTCTTGAGGTCATGTGATGACCTCGTGACATCGAATATAATAAATAAGGTGAGTTACTGTTTTCTGCTCCAGAGTTGCTCATACCCTGATGGGGGTGGCGGGGCGGGGTGGGGATGGGGGTTCTGTACTGAAAGTGAGAAGCAGCACCAAGCCTGTGGGCACTCCTGAAGTAGTCCTTTGTGAGGAGGCAGAGCCTTTCAGGATGGCAGGAAGACATGGCTTCCCTCTTCCTTCCTTCAGGGATGCCTTTGGTCTCTGATTCTTCAGCTTTCCTACTGCCTGGTGTGGGACTGCCTGCTGCTTCATGCTATTTTTTTTTTTTTTCCTTTTGCATACTGTTCACCACATAAGGGAGAGGGATCTGGGTAAGACCCCCAGGCCATTGGGTCTGAGGCCATTACCCGCGGGATCCTCACCCAGATCCAGCGATGGGTGTGTCCCTTTAGTCACTACAAATTTCCATTGTTATGGCCCCGCTGAACACGTACCTTTAGTAGAGGTAAACTGTCAGTGTGAAACCCGGCTTTGTGTTGAATCCTCAGTCCTGGGAGGAAGTGCTGCCGTTAGGGCTATTTTAGTAGGCCTGTGTTAGACAGCGAACCTCTCCAATCACCGGTGCCTCCTGCCTTTGTCTTCCAAAGCCCCTGCCTGGGGAAGAACAGCTGCTTAATGAAGTGAAAGTTCTCCATGAGATGAACTATCTGAGTAACGCACTCAACTTGTGCCCACAGCTTTAGGCACACAGAGACGCAGTTGATAAACTGCTGCTTTGCAATTTTAATGGTAAAACATTTTGGAGGCAAAAATCTCTTGGGGGATTTGAGGGGGCGGAGTGACCACACAAAGATGTTTGAAGTGCCCCAGGTATTGCCTGACAGAGTTTTGAGGGGGAAGCCTCTGTGTAGCTCTCTTGTATCCACTACTGTGAGCTTGCCTCTATAGACACATGCAAGGTGCTGCATAGTGTGATTCAACTTGCCCAGAGAACCCCAATCTAAGGGAGAGGATTCGGATAGCTTTTTCTGAGAATCCATGCAGGTGCCTCCTCTCTTTACACCCTTGGTGATTGTGGTGGCTTATTCACTAAGTCGTGTCCAACTTTTGTGACCCCATGGACTGCAGCCTGCCAGATTCCTCTGTGGGATTTTCCAGGCAAGAATACTGGAGTGAGTTGCCATTTTCTTCTCCAGGGGTCTTCTGTACCCAGAGATAGAACCCGTGTCTCCTTCATTGCAGGCGAATTCATTACAGACAGATCGATCCACTAGGGAAGCCCATCTCCCAAAGGAATTGCCAGGGCTTTCTTCACAAAGACCCTTAAAAGCTCAGTCTGGGGACAACTCGCGCACAGCCAAGAGCTGGAACATCCGTGCTGGCTGAGTCCAGGTTTCTCCTTCCCGCAAAGGAAATCAGCAAGAGTTTATGATGGAAACAACTCTGGAAACAACTCTAGCCTATGGCCAGGAAAGCCGGCTGTGCTGACCTCAAGCAAATCACTGAGGAGGCCGCTTTTGTCCTTTTATAAATTAAGAAGGGCGCTGTAATCTGCACTTCTTACTGAAATTAGCATCTCCTCCTTTGCCTTCCCCTGATCTGACCTCTCAGCAGCTTGGGGGCAAGAATTTCTAGAGGCGACTACTTTATGGGCGCACAGAAAATTTATGTCACCTCCACAGACGTTCCTCCGTCCTGTCGCTTCGCTTCTCAGTCAATCCCGGGAGTCTGATTCATGGATGACACATTTTCCCATTTCCAAAACCGCTAGATCGCGCTGTCGGACAAGAAATCTGAAGCTCGGGACCCGCCGGGAACCCAGGAGTCGGAGGGAGAAGAGGTGGGAGCAGTGGATGGGAAGAGGGAGGTGAGGGAGATTCCGGGATGCAGCCTGAGGAGCAAAAGCCAGGAAAAAAAACAAACGATAAATCCAGCCGGCGCTGCCTCAGTCGATAAATATCATTCAGTTCAGTTCAGTTGCTCAGTCGTGTCCGACTCTTTACGACCCCATGAATCGCAGCACGCCAGGCCTCCCCATCCATCACCAGCTCCCGGAGTTTACTCAAACTCATGTCCATTGAGTCGATGATGCCATCCAACCATCTCATCCATAAATATCATTAGTTTATTGCAAAAAACTAACTGGTTCCGAGGGGGTATTAAGAACTGGACGCACTACTGAAAGGGAAGACAGTTTGTCTGCTCATCATGCTGGGAGCCCCGCAGAAGGGCACCTGAGGCAGTGCAGACCGCCCGCTGGGAGCACCCCTCCCCCTCGCTCTCCTCAAGAGCGCCTTTGAACTGCACTTTGAATTGCACTCGTGTCCCCGGGAGTGCGTGTGCTTGGATTAGTTTGCGGATGAGCATCTGTGCATTTCCCGACCCGGGTGTCCCCAACCTTCTCCTCTCACCCTACTCAGGAAGTTTTGCGTATGATCCTTTTTTCAACGGGAGAGAGGACTTTTGCAGCCGGTGGATAACATTACCTATACTTATTTGCAGCAACTGTTCTCGAGTGTATTATATCTAAATTTGGGAACGAGACTGCTTTGAGCCGGAGAGGACAGTCTTGAGGGTCCCCAGCCGCCTCCAGGCGCGTGGTCTTGGGCGGACGCCTCTTCCACCGACTCTGCCGCCTCCAGCCTCCAGAAGGGGAAGCCCGCCTCTGCGCTCCGCTCCCCGGCTCGATTCCCGGGCTGCTAGATGCATTTGCAGTTCTGAATCAAATCAACAGCGAACTCTTTTTTTTAATCCCCAAATATCAACACCTAGGGTTAAGTAGCTCCTAGGCAACCTAAAAAAAGTACATAAAGAAAAAGAGCGCGCTCGCGTGCACACACGCGCACACACACATTCCACCCGGGCGAAATGCAAACTCCAGCCAGCCTGGGCTGACTTGACAGAGGTGTGGATTTCCCAGGGGCATCCCCGGCGGTTCCAGGCCACCGGCAGCACCGTTGGGTACCCGGGGCCGTGGATGCCGGGACTTCTTTGCCTCCCCGCTCAGTCCCAAGGCTGCCACCCGCCTAGGAGTGGAGTGAGACAGAGGGTGAAGGGCTGCTACCCGGGCGATCACCGCGCACTAGGGTGTTCACGTTGGGTTATTCACGCCTAGGGCGCTGGAGGTTTGTGCCAGACACTTGGGCTGTGAGAGTTTGAAGGGGAAAAGGCCTGTGCACTGTGCATGTGTGGGCTCTTTGTGTGAGTTCCCAGCTGGACTTCCAGTGGGCTGTGTGTGCTCGGGGAATGTGCAGAGGTGGCGATTCCCATTTTCCTCCCTCCCCGCCCCCCAACCCCGTCCCCCCTTAATCTTCTCTCTGGCTTCCTCTAGAGCAGCCTGTGCGTGGGGCGGAGTACAGGGGACCGCTCGCTCTGCGAGTTCTTGCCATTCTGAAGGCAAGTTCGGAGGCTATCGAGCCCGGTGAGGGGAAGGGCAAATTAACAGATGTCAGATCAAACAGGGAGACGAGGTTATATTGGCCACCCGGCCTCCTCATCCACTGCGGGCGGTAAATTCCAGCGCCGGCGCCGCGGCGTTCCCCTCCGCGCCCTCGTCTCCATCCCCGGTAGCTTCAATGAGGCAGACTAACCCCTGGGCTCCAAGAGGCCAAAAGGCGCAGGGCTTGCGCTGAGCGCACTGACTTGTGTAACCCGAACGTTTCCTGAAGCGCTTTTCCGACGCCACAGGGTAGGTGCGCCTCACCTCCTCCCGGGCATCTAATACGGTTTGGCAGCCCTCGGTGCCAGGCGCCCCGCTCGGGGCCAAGAGGTGGCGCAGAGCAGGGAGCGGGGCGGCCAAACCTAGAGAAGGCGCTGGCAGAACGCGAGCCCCCATCTGGCCGCCAGCGCCCAGCAGTGAGGGTCGGAGGGGAAACTCACTTCCCTCCGTCGCCTTGACCCCGCGGCGTTTGAAGGGCAGAGCTTTCTTTCCGAAGCCTCGACTCGGAACCAAGTTTTGTTCTGGCTCAAGTGAGACATTTCGACGGTGGATGGAACTTGTTCCCGAGCGGGCTTCTAGTTCGGAGGATCCCTAGGTTTCATAGCATTCCTTCAATTTGGCTCAAATGAGGCCTCCCAGTTCCATGCCGGAGCACCGCGGGGAGAGAGAGACAGGACTGGGAAAGCCATCCCGCCGCTGAGCCCCGCGCCGGCGGCCATCCGGGTTTCCAATCGCCCGAGATTGAAAAGGACAGAAGGCGCGCCGCGTGCACAGACAGTTAGTTAATGGAAACGCCGTAAATCGGTTTTAAGTGCACCCCAGGACAGATGGGGAGAAAGGTGTAGGTGGCGATGATGGGGGATGGGGCTAACGATGGGGTGGGGTCGGTCACATTCTTGCAGTTCTATACAGGAGAATCGCTACTTCCCTCCCCCCTCCTTCTTAATTTAGAAAAATAAATTTATTAAAGAAAATCGCCCGGAGAGGGAAACCCGAGCTCCCCAGCCCGCCCCAAGCGGAGGAGTGAGCGGATTCCCTTGGCAGTGAACCCGGCCGCGGCTGTCGTTCCCCCCCTCCTCCCCGCTTCCTCTGCATCGCCCCTGCCCCCTCCCCTTCTCCCCTCCCCGCCGGGGCACTGCTACTACGGCGATCGCCACCTCACGCCGAAGGAATGCTCGAAGTATGCACACGTTCCCAAAAGTAGACCTCCTTCACCGCCGGAGGAGCATACATCACCCCGTGGCAGCCGTCCACCTTCTCAGGCGTTTCGTAACCGAGTAAACTTGAGAGCTGGGAACAGCCCTCTATTAAGGAGCCCGCGGCGCGGAGCCTCTTCCCATTCGACCAAGGCGAGCCGACCCAGACGCGTCCGCGCGCCGGCAGCTGCGGTCTCGGGCCGTCTCCACCAGTCCGGCCGCGCCCGCCGCTCCGCCCGGGCTCCACCGCCTCCGGCTCGCTGGTGGCCCTGCGGCCTCTTCACCTCTCCGCGGCCGCCAGGTGCGCCCGGAGAGCAGCGCCGACCGCCGGGCGTGCGCGGGGGGTCACACCGAGCGCCGGCTTCCGCGACGCCGGGAAGCCTCTGTCGCCGCCGCTACCTCGGTCACCACCGCCTCAGGTCGGTCTGGCTGCTAGCCGCCCCCCACCCTCGCCTCGTCCCTTCCAAAGATAACTGGGGAAACTCACTTCGAGCCTCTTCCTCGCTCGGCTCTGAGCCACTCAGGAGCCCGAGCGGGGGCCGTTTGAACGTGCGCCTGGGCTACCCGGAGGTTTTTTGGGGGTTCATTTGTAACATGAAGGGGGAAAGAAATGCAGTTTTTTTCTCAAGAGAGGATGCCGGGCGGCTGTGCGTGCGTAAAGCACCGCTTCACTGTTCCAGCTGGAGGAGGCATTTCGTCTATAGATGCTTGGTTGAAATTGACGAGGGCTGCCCGGGGTCCTGGAGCCGCCGGTCTCCCCCCGGCCTCGCGGCTGCCGAAGCGCAAAGGTGACGCCCGGGGCGGAATTCTTTGGGCCCGCCGACCCCTCGTCGAGGCTGCGCTGGTTCGTGTGGCATCTGGAGGTAGATTCCCGGGTTGGTGTTCTGGCTCCTTCCTCCGCTTTTCAAAGCATCCCAGCGCGGGGGTTAGTTCAGCTCTGGGGGACTCCCCTTTGGCCTGACATTACCCAGCTTCTCCCCAGGGCAGACGGGGTGGCCCTCCTCAGGGTCGTGGAACCTTTGCGCGGGTTTCCATCCTCTATCCTAGAGAGTGGAGGGATCGCAGAGGGTTTTAAGGAGCGGGGAGTGTAGTCAGGGCGCAGAAGAAGTACACCGCATCGGGCACCCTTAGGGGCCGCAGGTGGTCCTTGCGGGGCTTGCCGGGGACCCCATTCCCTTCCCCTCAACCCGGATTCTGTGGCCTTCTAAAGCGTGCTGACACGCTGGGGAGGGATGGGGCAAGAAAGGAAATGAGCGCTAAACTTGGTGGTCCTTGGGTAACTAATGGCAGGGACTCAATGGGTTAGGACGGCGGTAGGTGGCGCGCAGGAAATCTGGAGGGACCCCGCGGGGGTGGGGGGTGCAATTGCCTTTTTTAACTTGGCAAGAATTGGCCTCTTCCAGCGGAGTTGGGGGAGGGGACGAGTTGGCCCAAGGAGATGAATCCAAGTTTCCAACCCCCCATCTACGCCCCCCACCCCCGCCCCCACTGACTCGTTTTCATTCATGAGTGTGTGAAATGGCCCTGCTGCCACGTAGGGGCGGCCGATTTCAGACTTTCTGTGTCTGAGAATGCTCAATGAAGTGTTGCTAATCATTCAGATAAATGTTTTGGCTAAAAGGAGAGAGAAATTTTCTTTTCTTTGTTTCTTCGTCTTCTTTTTAAACATGGGTGTAATGCCTGGCTGGCTGGCAGAACTGAGTTTATGTTCAGATACCGCGACGAGACAGGATCCATTGTGCCGCTGAGTTAAGACAGCCGATAAGTGGCGCTCTAGACCTGCCACAACTTTTACAGCGAGTTCAGCGGTTAAAAAAGAAAAAAAAAATCTGCATACAGTTTTTCGGTGCGTCGATTGTCAGCCTTTAACTTTTCGCGAGCACAACTGCCAACTGAGTTGGAAATTATTATAGCGAAGTTAGGGCCAGATGATGGGAACAATGGACTGGTCTCACCTCTTGCCTTTTACTGATGTAGAAGAGGGTTAGACATGTCAGTTAGTTGTTAAGTAGGAAGAAAGAAATTGCTAGAGTCCTTGGATCTCCAGAGCAGCGGGAAAATTTTAATCTTGGCTTATAAAAAGGAGTTCCCGGCAATTTGGCAAGCCTGTTCATCAGACATTTAAAATGCAATTTACGCTTGGGCCCAGGAAAGCTGCCCTGATACATCATGCCAATAATTTGGAAAGACATGGTTGGAGCTTGTCAATTTCTTTTCTCAAAGACGGCTCAACCTTTGGCTCCTTTTTGGATTCCCAAGCATGACTTCGTTTTTCAAGAGGCCTGGTCTGTTGCCTTACAATAATTTAAGTATCTCAGAATCAAATCTCTTTTTCTGTTTGCCTCCGGCAGTCTTCCACTTTTAAGTTCATCGCTAGTAGCTTTTGTTCCTGAGTTGGACCTTAGAATAGTTTAGATTTCCTTCTACCAACATGGATTAGGCACCTACCTACTATGTGTTACTTGCCACAAAAGGTGAATACGTTTCCTTGTCTCGAAGGAATTAATAGCCTAGTTACAGAATCAGGAAAAATCAGAGTAGGATATATTCTCCTCTGGAGCATGTAAACCTGTAATCTTCTGGAATAAATGAACAGTTAATTGAGAAGAGTAATTATTACTGAGAATTTTATTTAAAAAACCTTGGAAAAACAGACAAGAGTGCTTTGTCTCTTCTATTGTATTTTCCTTTTTATTATGTATTTCAGAGTTGTTTTTTTCCTCATCTTGAGTGAAAGATTTATCAGATGTGAAGACAACACAGCTAGGAGGAGGGTCAAGTTTCTCTTGGGCTTTACATGTTTCTGTATAATCCATTTCAGACCTTCAAGGGCTGCATATTTGTAGGCAGAACAAAATGAAGAAAAAAAGAGAGTAAAAGAGGCTTATACTTTTCCAAATTACCCTGAGACTACTAAAGTACAGTTACCTAAAGAGTTCCACAGCTAGGAAAAAAAAAAAAAAGGCTGGCCAAATAAAAACCCCAGCTGGAAGAGACATTTAGTTGACTCAGGGATAAGATGATCTCTGAATTAGCCATCACCCAGGCAGGATGAAGTCATGTGGGGCCTGATAAGGCCCTTCACCCGGGATGCTAAGCAGGTCCGGCCTCCAGGCAAACAGGACCCTCTTTATTTTATTTTTTTTCATTTATGTTTATTAGTTGGAGGCTAATTAGTTTACAGTATTGTAGTGGTTTTTGTCATACATTGACATGAATCAGCCATGGATTTACATGTATTCCCCATCCCGATCCTCCCTCCCACCTCCCTCTCTACCCAATCCAGGACCCTCTTTAAACTTCAGCTCGCTCTCAGGGCCCTGGTTGAACTGCTGCAGACGAACTTGACTTCTCCCACTGCGGTACAATAGGACCCATTCTCTGCCCGGCTGGGCCCTGTGGTTATTAAGGCAGAGCGGGTAGGGTCCTGGCCCGGGTCCAGGCTCCAGTTCTAACCTGGTTCCAGGCTCGCCCGGACCCGGTTCTGATGCGGTCACTGTTTCCTCCGGCAGATCCCTTCATGTGGCTGTGAGCCCCGAGGCGGAGCATGCGGACCAGGCTTCCCCCAGCGCTCGCCGCCCTGGGCGCGGCCCTGCTCCTGTCTTCCATCGAGGCAGAAGGTAAAAGGCTCTTCCCTCCTTCTCCCCCGTGACAAGGTAGAAGTCTAGAAAGGAAAGAAAAAAAAAAAAAAAAAAGCAAACCTTCCTTGCTACTGTGGCTCGATCTGTTTCCCCTGCACTTCGTGTGTTTTCTCCCGGGGTTTCTCTGCTTCGGAGAAACGCCCCCTTCTCTGAGGTTCGTCCACCTCCCAGCTCTCGGGTCCGGCTTTCTCGTCTTCCGCTTGCTCCGTTCCGTACAGTGCTGTGTGCTGTCCCTGCGCTTGTCTCTGCGGTGTGCTGTCCACACCGCCACCGCCGCTGCCGCCTTCCGAGCGAGGACCAGCCGCCCGGGAGGGGGCGACGGCTGCACCGGCGCTACGGACCGGACGCCGGAGGGTAGTACCCAGGAGCCCCGGAGCGCGCGGCGCGCTGGCTTGTGTGCGTGGCTGGGGGAGACCCTGGCTCGGGGCCGCGACCTCGGTGACAGCACCAAATAAAAGACTCCAACAGCGCCGGCTCTGCGCCTCTGTGTGTTTTGTGGGGGTCCGGTCGGCGAGGCGGGCGGTGCGGGCACGTGAGCAGCCGGATCGCCCCCGGGAGTGGGTGGTCGGTAGCGATCCGGGACCCGGGGTGTGTTGGCAGTGGCCAGGGGTGGAGGTGGGGGGTCGCTGCATCCCTGTTTGGTTCGCTGCCCTCCGGGACGCCTGGCCCAAGCCCAGACCCAGCCCCTCGCGCACAGATTGGATCTGGGCCAAGGTTCTTAACCCAGGGAGCAGGTGGGAGCCTGGCAAGCCGGCATCACCTCCTCCAACCCTCCTTCCCCCAGTATCAGCCCTGGGCGCTGAGTCTTCTCAGCTTCAGAGATGGGCTCAGGGCCCAAGGGTCTGGAAGAGCTCTATAGGCTCCACCCCTTTGAAAATGAAGCACTTTTGCTAGATTTTCAACCTTATTTCATTCTTACTTTTGTGTGCATTTGAAGGCTTCATTTATCAGTATTGGTGGAACAAGCCCTTTCTGGGTATTAACCCAGTAGGCGCTTCTGTGTTTCCTCAGTTATGGGAGATCTGACACTAGATTTATTGTTCTGCAAGGTAAATGGGGGTACTACCTTAAAAGACAACTTAAAAATATACTTTTTTTTTTCCTTCAATAAAGTAATGCTCCCGATGGAGCTAAGGGAGAAAAGCAATACTTCTGGATGGGGAAGTGTGGAAATTGGGGGTGGGGTTCAGAGGGTGAAGCTTATTTAGAGGTTGTGGGGAAGTAGAAGGGTTTCAAGACAGCACTGAGATTTTCCAAAAACTCTGTCGTGTTCAATTCTCTGGTTCAAGACCGAGAGTACAAAAAAATTAAGATTAGGAAAAGTAGAGTCTTCAAAATGTACAGCGTGTTCAGAAAAGAGGGGAACTTGCTGGCTCTGCTTATCTGATGAATACTTCATGAATGTAGAGCTTTTCAGAGTGGCCTCTGTGAAGTAATATTCAGATGAGAGTGCTTTTAATGTTCCTTTCTATGTCGTTGTTAGGAAGGAATTTCACTGGAGGAACTTCTGGAAGCCCCACTCAAGATATTTTTAGATAATTCACTTAAGTGGCCTATTTATTGCTCATTAAGAAAATAGTTATTTGAAAATCAGAAAGAGTTGTGAATTCTTAGGACAAGAATTGGATTGGAAATGATGTAAGTGGAAAAAAATCAGTTCTCGATTGGATAATAGTTAGCAAAGTGCAGTTAAAAAGAACATTTTGCTATCTACATTACTGATTATTTCCATATTTCTCATAGTTTATCTTTTAAGTTTGTATTTATTTCCACACAGTATAGCTCTTTCTTTTGCTTTCTTAAGCTGTTTCTCTTCTTGTCTCTCACCTGCTTAGGTCAGCATTTAATAATGATATTTTAATAAGATTTTTAATTTGAAGGGGACCTCATTCTCCGGTTTGACACTGTCAAATAGAAATATATTGTGAGCCACAAATGCAAGCCACACATGCAACTTAAAATATGCTGATTGTGACATTAAAAAGGGAAAAAGAAACAGGAGAAATTAGTCTTTGTAACATATTTCACTTAACCTAATATATCCGCTGTATTGCCATTTTAACAGGTAATCAATATAAAAGTTATTAGTGAGATATTTTGCATTTTTTGTATTAAGTCTTTGAAATTGGGTGTGTATTTTACACTTGCAGTGCATTTCGTCCAGACTGGCCACATTTCAAGTGCTTGATAGCCACATGTGGCTTGTGGCTCCAGTATTGGACAGGACTCCTCCAGTGTTAATCACCAACTAAGTGGCCCCAGGAGGCTGGGAAGGGCTAACAAAATTTGTAGCCAAGGCGTTTCTGGGGACAATGGGCTGCAAACAGAAGTTCTCTGAATCATTTCTGTTGATACATTTCAAAACTTCCAGCTGGCAGCCCTGCTTCTTGAGATGTCATTTGGACCTTAATTCTGAAGTAGCCATTGTAACTTTTCTTTCCCTTTTGCAACTTGTACTCTTGTCTTCATACTATTTTCCAGTCAATTTCTACTTAATTTTTTTGCATGTGTGGAAAGTTCCATACCTTGAATTACAAGATTTTGGCATTCACTTTTTGCATTTATCTTTTTTTTTTAAATATAGGGAGTACCACCTTTATCATGTTATTTTATTCTACCTACTTGTACAAGGAACTTTATTTTTCATTATTAGTATTTTGTCCCGTAGAAATAAGAGTGAAAGTGAATTTTTCTTTTAATAATTTTTAGGTGCAGCTAGACTTTATTAAGCTTATAACTTGGCCAGCTTTCTGTAAGATCTAGAATGTGTGAGTTATTTTTGGTTCCTGTATCATACGGTACATTAATTGCCATTTAGAAAATTTAACACTTAACATTTAAAGGTCAATGGCCAGTGTTCCCTGAGAATTAGACACCTTTCTAATTAATCTAAATTTGGGGTGATCCTATGATCTATGAAAAACAGTTGTAATTTTAGAAGCTCTGATTTGTAGTTCATAATATACAATGAAATGTTGGATATTTTTAATTCATAACAGAGCAGAGGCCATAAGCTTTAATTTTCTTGTGTCTAGGTTAAGAGGCAAGTTAATGCCTATTTCTATAATCCTGTGTCTAACTTGCAACAGAAATTTCAAACTAGATGGGAACGTATAGTCATCTATTCTAATTTTCTCATTCTCCAAATGAGCAAATGAGGACCAGAGAGGCTGAATAGCTCAGTTAACAATCGTGATGCCTACACGGCGCAGGCAAGACCCAGGTCTTCTAGTCCAGTGCTTTGTGAGTTTGCTCCTATTGCGCTGCTTTCTTGCTTGACAGTGGGTCAATCCAGTCAGTTTAATGAAAGAATGCATTTTGTAATCTGTACAGAATAATTTATTACATGTCTGAAACATGAACTTTTCAACTGCTTATTTCTGGTATCTTTTAAACACAAATGAAATAAATATCTGTTTCATGGCAAAGGTCATTTAATTTATACTAGCTTTGGACAGAAAATAAAAATTAGTGCCTACTGAATATAGTAAAACTATACTTTGCTCGCTTCTCAAAGTTTCTACCATTAAAGTAGTACCCTTCTCAGTATTGCTATCACAAAAATTAGACTAAAGTTCTTCCTGGTTCATCAAGATGATATTTTAGCAGTTTGTTCTTAGTTTTCCTTATCTTTAATACACTTCATACACTTACCAAATCTTATTAAGCTAATCTCCTCTCACCTGTCCATCCATCCTTGCACTGTTGTTAAACTCTTGGGCGTATCTTCCTTTTGAGTGCCATAATGAATAACAATGTTTTGTAAAAACTATATATCAAGATAGACAGTTTGGTTTTAAAATTGCTTAAACAAGTTGTAAAGTTAATATACCAAATTTTATCTGTGTCTGAATTGGAGATGTCAGAATAGCACATATTTATTGTTGATGAGGAATCAAATAAAGGTTTTTCATAGAGTAAGTAAAATACTTATGTATATTTTGATAGCCAAATTCATATCAATATTGGTTTCTAAAGTTAATCTTTCATGCAAGTATTTCTTATTTAATAAGCCCGTATGGTAGAAAACTGTATGCTCTGGAGTCAAGACTATGGGGGTCAAAGTTTTGCTGCTTATTTGTTGCTGTGTTAACCCTTCTGAATTTCACTGATTCGCCTGTGAATCAGATAATAAGGCCACTCTGCTGGGTGGTCATGAGAGGAGAGAGAGACAATATATAAAGTGTCCAACTCTCCGCCTGTCATAGAAAAGACACTCAGCAAACGCTCGCTTTTATTATCATTGCTAAAAAGTCCTAAATCCTGCCAATTTATGTAAAAAGATATATCAGAATGTAGCTTTGATAGCATAGCCTTTTGATAACAAAAAGCATTATTCACAAATATGAACTTAAACTGCTAGTGTTATGAATACTTAAAACTTTAGTTTCTTCACTATCAGTATTCAGTTTTATGACTATATTAATATACCTGATTGCTACCTTATTCATTTATAATTACACTTCTATTTATCTTCATTCCCATCATATTCTACACAACGATGACTGTTTGCAATCACAATCCCTATGTAGATAGTTTTATTAGAAATATTCTGGCATCTGCATTCACTATTTATAACGATGCGAGGGCAGTTGTGAATTACTTTGATATAAAATGAAAGACTTTTGAAGTTAATGAAAATATATTTTGCATTGATTCATGTCAACAAGGGTCCACACTCAAACCTGCTTTATTATTTTTTTTCATGAAAAAACAAACAAACAAACAAAATACATAGAATGGCAAGCCTGAAAGATTTTACAGGTGATAAAAGTGGCAAGAAGAAAAGTGCAAAGGGCTGTCTGTTGTACACATGCTGGTCAACCATCCTTTCTTACTTTTGATCCCTGAGTACCACATCTGAGTTTCTATGAACACCTTAAAATCCAATTGTTAAAGACTTTTCCCAACAGTCAATTTTTCAGTTTTTCTGGAATCCTGGTCATTTGGAAATCAACAAGGTGGGCTGCTGCTGCCCTTCAGCAGTTTTAACCTAGTGTCTGCTGCTTCAGGTCAATTTCCTTGCAAGGTTGGTGGTACTGTTTTTCCATGTACTGATTTTTCAAAAGCATGCTCAGGCCAGTTGCGTCTGCCTTTGCATTAAATTTGTCCTGAGCCATTGCTACTGGAACAATATTTTATAATGATATTCTTAATACCTATTGTCCTATTAACATCTGTTGCATGCTTGTTATACTAAGTGATGGCTACCGGGAAACCTCGCAATATGGTTACAGACAGCAGAATGTTGAATAATTAAACTATGCATGTAGATTAATAGTCTAATCTCACTGCCTGTGTATGGATAGTAGGAAAATAACATCCATTCCATTACTAGTGTATACAGTAAAAATAAAAAGCCATCTCCTACAGTTGGAAACAACAGTTCCTTAAAGCAAATGTTTGCTTAATTTGTATCATTTCCATTAAAATGTGCTATTAATATTATATAAATCCCTAACCCCAGTTAAATTCTATGACTCATGTCTCCAAGCTACTACTGCAGTTCAATTGACCTTTAGGAAAACCTAAAAGGAGATTGTGATCTCTCAAAACAGATGTGAAAATTCTGACTCACAAGGAATACTTTCAGTCTTAAAACAAAGAAGAGTATGGCAGAAAGTCATTTTACTGTGTTGACCTGCTTCAAGAGTAATCATTTTGAATGCATTGACCATGCACTGTCAGTGAGTCAGTACAATGCTGCATGATGAGGCATGAACATTGCAGGGAGAATATCATTATAAAATATTTCTGGAACGTCTTTGTGTAATGACTACTGTACATGGAGGCTTTCATTCATTGTGGGAAACTAAAAACCCAGTCAACATTTCATTGACACATGCATGATGCTGAACAGTTTTGTATGTAAACTATTGCTTTCTGTACGTTTCAATTATTCCTGTCATTGACTTCTCCAAGATTTATGCGGTCATGTCTTCAGATTGCTTCACTAGTTTCTTTAAGTTCTGTAAATAAATGTCCATAAATATACACTGATGTTGTCTTTTCATAATTAACCATTGTTTTTGTAAAAGGACCATACTGGCATTTTAACTTAAAATGCCACTTCTAGTATGGAATATACCTGCTGCAAAGGAAAATAAGTGTTGGTTTACACCTTGCAAACATAGAGCAAATTGGTGTAAACAGGCAGAATATTACTTTTATAAACACCTGTATATCATTCTTTATATATTTATAAATGATTGACAGCCCTTATGACTATTTTTGAGTATTGGTCTATTTGAGTACAAATATACATTTAAATGTATATTTCCTTGTGAAACGCAACAGTGCTAAATTTCCCAACAGTGTTTCTTCCTTTTTATTAAAATACATTTTTCATCTCTGCCACAGACTGAGAATTATCAAACAAAAATTAATAACAAGGCAATGATGCAGAGAATGAACCAAAATATCATTGATTTTTTTTCCATATTATGAAAAAAAATAGTATTATGTCAGTGTTCTAACTTCTGTGGTTGTAAGCAGGTTGTGATTTGGCATGCTTATTCAAAATGCACTCAGCATGTATTGAAATTTCCTTAATTGTTATGTGAATTGTTTGCATATGTGGTTATTATATGTGATTTCATTGTACCTGTATGTACTTGTATCCAAATTTGTTTCTATTATGCTTGATTTTGCTGGCCATTCTTGGATGACCTAGCAACTCAAGAATCCAAAGCGTTTTGTGCTGTCTTCTGTAATATGTAATCTCTCTGATGTTTTGTCATACCGTGTCAGCTTTTAATTTTATTCTCGTCCAACAAGATATCTTTTATATTTGTTGGAAACAAATTTATGCAAAGACAATTTTAGTAAGCTTTGCTCAACACAATTCTTTATTAATTAAATTGACCATTTTGTGACATTGGAAAATGTAACATACCAACTCTCTCTTTTTGCAGTTGAACCACCTTCAGACTTGAATTTTAAAATTATAGATGAAAATACTGTTCATATGTCATGGGCAATACCACCTGATCCAATTGTGGGTTTCAAAATAACAGTGGACCCTACAACGGGTAAGTTTTGGGATGTTGGGGTTTTCGGACAGAGACATCCAAGATGATATACTCTGATCCTTCCTCCACCTTCCACTTCATTATGAGGAAGCCAAGATTTAGAAAACACGAGGGGTTTACCTAATGTCACAAGACATTTGGTGGACTCAGGCCTCCAGATTTCCAGCTCAGGACCCACTATTATATTTTTATAGTGTAACTAGGTTTGCTGTGTAAAGCCGTTAGACTTTATCCCCTGATCAGAATATTGCTGGTAATCTTTGATTTTATAAAATAGAACGATCACTGCTTGACATTCTTCTTGAATCACTTAATCTGTCCAACACTTCAAGTGACAAGTGATGAAGTGAGGTGTTACACTTTACCCAGTGTCCTGCTCACTTCAGTGCTCAGGACACAGTGTTCTGGGATCGTGGTGAGCTGCCATGATGGAAGACAGGATTTACTGGGTAAAGTCTGTAGATCTAAGACTAAGAGTCAGTATCCATGATGTTGCTTGAGTAGGGAGAACCAATCTCTCTTCATTAACTTTTATTTCTAACATGGAATGGGAATAAAACCATTTTTATGAGCACTGGCCAAGTGGTAGGAAGGGGTCTTGATGGACTGATAGAAGAGATAGATGATGTCAACATACCTTATCACCAGAGCTGTGTTTGCATACTTATGGCCTTTAAAAATGCCAATGATTTTAAATGCTGATTTATCAGGGGATTGAGAAACTGTTTCCTGTTTTCAGTATGATCCAAGAGCTTAAAAAGGGATCAGGCATTTACTTTTTCTTCCTTGAATCTTTTCTTCCCAAATATATTTGCAGTTAACTATTTCATTGATTCCAAAGCTGAAAAGCAGTTGAAAAATTCATCTGGTTTCCAGATGTTGGAAATGACTGACTGTAAAAATGCACACTGGGACCATCCATACCCGCAGAGTCCTGGGTCTTGTTTTCCCATGGTGGGCCCTGGTTGGTTCGGGAATGCTCCACATATTAACCTGGAGCATTTCTCAGGGTTCTGTCATACTTGTTGCCTTTTTTGGTTATTAGTGTTTTGATGAAAATTAATATGGTTAAGAATTTTTAAAGTCATTTTGTCTCTAACAACTACTGTTTCCTGTTGAATTGAACATTAACATAATCTAAAAGGAAATACATAATTGTCAGCATGTAAGGAAATGCTCAGTACACCGTACTTTGAAACGTTTGATAGTTAAGTCAGTTCAGAGGACCATGATTACCCATTAGAGTATGCCCCGCCCCTCACTGGCACATGGAGGATACACCTCTCTTATAGAAGTGAATGCTGTTTCCCAGTAGACATTCATTTTAGCCAATGGGGTTTGTTGTCTTTGAGTTGATTTTCAGCCCTTCATTTTCTTTTGGTACTCTCCGATACATAATTTAAAATTAAATTATTTTCGGCTTTATATCTCATTTATAAAAATTTTGTTATCTACCATTAGTATTCAAAAACAGTGAGAGATTTTTTTTTTTTATATTCTGGTATATCTTTAATCTAGAGGCATACTTGAGTCCTCAAACAAATATGGAATATAATTGTAACAGGTAAAGGCAATGCCAGTTCATTTATTGAATTTCTAGAATTCAAAGTGTTAGTTTTGGAGGACAGTAAAAAATAATGCTTGGGCATTCTGAAAAAAATGTGTATTTTGAATTTTCAGGTTTTTAGTATATCTGGGAATTACATTATATCGTATTACGTTATGTGTAAAAAAGTTTTGTTGCATTGATATTTTCCTTTCTATATTTCCAGATGGGCCCACTAAAGAATTTACCCTTTCAGCTAGTACCACTGAAACTTTATTAACAGAGCTTATACCTGAAATAGAGTATGTGGTGACAATCACTTCATATGATGAAGTAGAAGAAAGTGTACCAGTTATAGGCCAATTAACAAGTAAGCACACATATAAAGTACTTTTATACCTTATATTTTGCAGAAGGTTTCTCCAACTTTCAAATTTAGTTTGTTGTTATGCAGAGTTAATTTACATCAGTATTAACTATTCTTGCTCTGATCCTAGTTATTAGTAGATGTGAATAATTTACTCCTGATTTATAAGCTTGGTCTCTGGTAGCAGCAGGAATGTTATGAATGAAAACTATTAAAAAGCATTAGACTTTGCCAAGCTGCAGAGTTAATATCTTTTTTTGAAATATATCTAAAGCCTCACTGAAAATAACTTATTTGCAAGGGAATGCTTATTTGGCTGTATTCTCTGACCAGCTGGGAATACACCATACACTTGAAAGACAATGGTGAAAGACAATATACTTATTTTCTTCTTAGGAAGTATTTGTATGGGTTCATTTCCCTTTGTAATAATCAAGTTTTGACTCAGTTCAAACAGGTGGCCCGACAAAGCCAGGGGAGAAGAAACCTGGAAAAACAGAGATACAAAGTAAGCATTTTCCTTAATATTTGTACATGGTTTTGCAGAAATAAGTTATAAATATAATATATAAAGGAGATGTTCCAACTGGATCCACAGTTTGATCTCTCTTCTATATTAATTTCGATAAGGTTTACCTACAAGTATAGGCAGTGTAATAGTAATGTATGACCAAGTGGTTATAGCACCTATGTTCTTACTTTCTAACCATTCTAGGTACTAAGTATTCTTTTTACTGGGAGTGTTTTAAGTGTGTGTATGTTTAAGCTTCCCTGCAGTATTTTGGCAGTAGGTGAAAAACAAAGCTTATCACTGGACTTAACTCATTTCTCAAAGACAAATTGTAGAAACAGATGGTAGTTTAGGGACACATGGGAAATAGAAGTTTGAACCACAAGGGAGATGCCCTCGTGGTGTCTTTAGCAATTCCATTGCTGTGAAAATCGCTATATATATTCTGGTCATCTCTAGGGTGTTTATGTGGGCTTCCTTGGTGTGACTGTAACCATTTCCAGAGTCTCTGTAGGATATCTCTGATAAATTGATGCATTTGTAATCAAATGAAAGCAATTTTATGGTCTGGTTTTGTGGTTTCTAGGCCTTTTTTGTCCTACACTGCTCTGACTTACTGGGATGAAGCCTTAAGTGGTTGGACTTCTAATTTTGCCACCTTATAAATGGGATTTATGACTCAGGATAACAATAAAAATATTGTGAACACAAAGTTCCCTTTATCTGGAATTTTCCCCTCCAGATCACTGTTTATAATTCTTTCTAATGTCTAATAAGCTGAAGCGAAGTTTATAGCATGCAGTTACAATGCAAATATTTTCCCTGAATCATCAATATTTATTCTAAAGCAAAGTATTATTCCAGACATTGACTTTCAATAGACTTATGTTGGCCCATTATATAGTATGCAAAAATTATTTAGGCAGGCAAATTGTATTGGCTTGCAAATTTTTCCGGGACCCTTTCCTTCTTTTCTGAGCCAAATACTTCTCTTATTATCCATCAACTGACTGCAGGGACAAAAATATCTTCAGAAAGTTTACTCAGCTTTGCCTTATAAATACAGATTTTCATGAAAACCAACCTGTTTCCCACTCACCAACTGACCACAGAGAGAAGAAAAAATATGTTTGATTACAAACACCAATTGTTGCATTTTTGGGGATTCAGAGATACCACATGTGTTTTTACTTTTGAATTAAAATATTTTCCCTGCATTTTCTTTAGTGAAAGTAGATTTAGTTGTGAAATTTAAATACATTGATGATTAGGACAAGATATTATGGGTGTTTTGCATTACATTTATGATAGTTGTTACTTCTGTTAAGATTTCATTAACCCTCTGAACTAACCGGCTGCCAACTTTAGACCATTACCTTGTAAAGTGCAGGAGAATGTTAAAAGATTTGCTTTTTCCTTCAGCTTTATTGCATTTGCTTAAATGGCACAGCAATTGTTCTGTAATTTTAAGAAAATATTTATTTGACTGCACCAGATCTTAATTGCGGCATGTGGGATCTGGTCCCCTGATTAGAGATGGAACCCAGGCCCCCTGCATCGGTAATGTAGGGTCTTAGCCACTGGACCATCTGGGAAGTTCCTGTTTTGTGTGTATTGATCTAAAAGTACCAAGAATGAAAACACTTTGCTTATATTTCTTTTGTATGCCTCCTAGATATTTTATGTAATTTTTACTTGCAAAAAAGAGTGAGGATATAGTTACAAAAATAGATAAGTCAACAACACAAATGCTTGGCTCACAGACTCTTGGAGAATCAGTCATATATCTTTTCATCTTGTCTTGCACAATGTCTTCTATGACAGTTTAAAGACATAGTTGTAGAAATGCATCTTCATGAAGGTACTGAAAATGCTTCTCTGTGTGTGTGTGTTAAGTTGCTTCAGTCATGTCTGACTCTCTGTGACTCTATAGACTGTAGCTCGCCAGACCAGGCAAGAATACTGGAGTTGGTTGCCATGCCCTCCTCCAGGGGATCTTCCCCACCCAGGGATCGAACCCTTGTCTCATTGTCTCTTGCCTTGGGAGGTGGGTTCTTTAGCACTAGCGCCATCTGGGAACCTGCCCGAAAATGTGTGCCAATAAAATTTTGTGTTCTTTTGTGCTTGTCAGTTGTGGGGAAGAATGATATGAAATGTCCTAATGAACGAAATAATTTTAGGAGCCAACATTTTTGCAATGTTAGTTTGTATTCCTTAATGCTAGATAGATTTAATGGCGTGTCATTTAAAAAAACGTATCACATATATTTCAGAATGTTCTGTCAGTGCCTGGACCGATTTAGTTTTCCTTGTGGATGGCTCATGGAGTGTGGGAAGAAACAATTTCAAGTACATCTTAGACTTCATTGCTGCTCTCGTGTCTGCTTTTGACATTGGGGAAGAGAAGACAAGGGTTGGAGTTGTTCAGTATAGCTCTGACACGAGGACGGAATTTAACTTAAATCAATACTACCAACAGGAAGACCTGCTCGCCGCAATTAAAAAAATCCCATACAAAGGTGGCAACACAATGACAGGTATTTTTTTTTACAAATTTAGTTTTGTTTACAGTACATGAAGTGTATGTTTGGGAAAGGAATGATGGGCTGCACAAATGATCATATGTTAAATAATTTTGAAAGCAATCTCACAGTTTTTGATTTTAGTAAAATTGTATCGTGCGGAGTGACTGAACGTATCTCTTTTTCATTTCAGGGGAAGCCATTGATTACTTAATTAAAAATACGTTCAAGGAATCTGCTGGGGCAAGAGTTGGCTTTCCCAAAGTGGCGATTATCATTACAGATGGCAAATCCCAGGACGAAGTGGAAATTCCAGCAAGAGAGCTTCGAAATATTGGGGTTGAAGTGTTCTCTTTGGGTAGGTCAAGTTTGGTGAAGTGTTTTCCTTTTAGAACTACTTTACTACTTCATGCTCAGAAGATGAAGGCTTGATTCCTCAAAAAGGATCCTTCCTCAAGGAAGGACAGCCAGGTTTACTGCATCTTATAGTGTAGTGTTAATCCAAATCAGTTTTGAGTAAAATTCTGCTTGTCTATTTCTTTCATGTAACACATCCCTTTTTTTAAAAAAAACTTTTTTATTTTGCATTGGTGTATAGCTGATGAACGATATGATAGTTTCAGGTGAATAGTAAAGGGATTCAGTCATACATGTACATGTATCCATTCTCCCCCAAACTCCCCTTCCAGTCTGCCATATAACATTGAGCAGAGTTCCATGTGCTACACAGTAGGTCCCCATTGGTTATCCATGTCCCTTCTTTTTAAAAAAGGCATTAGAGCTGCATATGTATTAAATAAGGCGATATTCACATTCCTTGTCAACCCTCTGCTTTTCAAAGAATTCTGGGCCAGTGGTTCTCATAAAGGTCCTCCTTGTATTATCATTAAGTGTTTTATATGTGTTTCCTCTATTATGTAACGCTTGAAGAATTCAGAGGGCTCCAGCTCATTCAGGACTCTGGAAGAAAAAAATATTATCTTCACAGATGGCAGCAGGGACAAATGATGGCGTGGTTGGCATGAGAGCCCACTCTGTCTTACCGACCACTCATTTGCCTCTGTGGCCACATTATGTGAAATGAGAAAATGTCATTCAACCATTTTTGTCCTTTCAACAGTTGCACACTCGTTGGGAAACAAAGCAATTCCCGTTTATGACTGAATAAGGATTTGAAAATGTCTTCACTTGGGAAAGACTAAGAAAGCAAAGAACTTCCTTGATTTGACCCACTTCCCTTTTCAAAGATCCTGTATGTGTGTGTATGTGTTAATTGCTCAGTCGGGTCCTACTCTTTGTGACCCAATGGACTGTAGCCCACCAGGCTCCTCTGACCATGGGATTCTCTGAGCAAGAATACTGGAGTGGGTTGTCATTCCCTTCTCCAGGGAACCTTCTTGACCCAGGATCGAACCCGGGTTTCCTGCGTTGCAGGTGGATTCTTTTGTTTGAGCCACTTTTGAAAGAAAGCCCCTTCAAATATCCTACTCCCTTTTTTTAAAACTTTATTTTGTATTGGGGTATTGCTGATTAACAATGTTGTGATAGTTTCAGGTGAATAGTAAAGGGATTCAACCATACATATACATGTATCCACTCTCCCCCCAAACTCCCCTTCCATCCAGACTGCCATATAACATTGAGCAGAGTTCCATGTACCATACAGGAGGTCCCCATTGGTTATCCATGTCTCTTCTTTTTCAAAGGCATCAAAGCTGCAGATGCAAAAGAACTCAAACAAATTGCCTCCACACCTTCTCTCAATCATGTTTTCAATGTGGCCAACTTCGATGCCATTGTGGATATTCAGAATGAGATCATCTCCCAGGTGTGCTCAGGTGTGGATGAACAGCTCGGTGAACTGGTCAGCGGAGAAGAAGGTGAGTGAATTGTTGGGTGTTCCCATGTGTTCACCTTTTCCATTATTTGAGAACATTTGTGGTTTTACAAGCAGGGGGACATTTAGCTTAGCACTCTGCAACTTAAACTCATCACAGCGCTGTTTCAATTCAGTGGCAAAGAGTTTTCTATCACCATAAATTGCATAGTGTTTTCAAAGCTCTTAAGAATATTTCAAAGAGTAGTCAGTTTGATCCTCCCACTTTTGCAAAATGTCCCCATTTATCAGTCATTTCTTTTAAATACATGGGAGAGAGAGAAAAACATTTCATAAATATCCTTTGGGGCATTAAAAAATCACAGTTTCCATGATTGTTCTCCTCTCAGCCTGAGAATTGACAACTGATTCAAGATAAGTTCTAAATAACTCCATCTTCAATCATGTAGAATCTTTCATCTCCAAACCCCAAGCATTTTGGCAGTGTTCATGGGCTGTAATTCAGTTTCAGAACTCCTTTTTATTACCTCATGGGCTCTGAATCTCTTTCTTTGTTTTACTGCCTAATGTCTGTGATTTTTTGCCCTGTATTGTTACAAAATCCACCCCCGCCTGACTTTCCCCTGGTCATCTTCTCTTCCTCAGTCTTTTAAAACATTTGAGTTTTCATCCTCACTAGGGTGCATGTGTGAGGTTAGGCCAACTTTGGTTCTGTCCCTGTTCACACCCTCCCTGGCAGGAGACTTGGGCTTCATCCCAGGCATCCACAGTTTTAACTTTGGGGTCTCCTCTCTGTTGCTGGCGATTCCCTGTGACTTCTGTCCCCTCACTGTCTCTGCATCAGTCCAGGGATTTGCCCAGGCTTCCAGTTGGCGTGTCTATTCCTGTCCTCCCATTATTTCTCATTTCTTTAGACATCATTTTTATGGACTATGTCTGATTGCCTTTCAGAGAAGACAGTGAGTAACCTTGTGCATGTTTTATCACCCAGTGTCTCAGGCTGACTTATAAAAACAGAACCATATCTTCTGGGAAATAGATTCCACTGACAGATCTAAAACTTCGAAGATTTGGTCTGAAATAGCTTAAGATACTTTGTTTTTAGCTAAGTACATGACTATGTTCTACATCGACTGAGGATAGAACATTTTTAGATGATCAGTATTTGCTTATCAATCTGCATGTTGTACACCGTGGTTTCACCTCTGTTTGGTGGCATTCTGAACATAGCTGAACTTTTTCTTCTAAACCTTGAATGAAGTGGAAATACAATTATTTAAAATTATAAGAACCTGTCATTTAAGAACGGCCAAGTTCTTATCTTTCTTGGCATGTTATAAAGTATCTTTAAAGTATTACATTATTATGCTTAATGTTTTATGAAAAGGGAAAAAATTTCTAAAGTATTGAGTAAGCCATTGATTTAACAAATGTTTATCAAGTTCCTCCTTTGGTACCTGAATAAAGGCCTTGACATGCGTGTGTGCTAAGTCGCTTCAGTTATGTCCAACTCTTTGTGACCCCATGGACTGTAGCCTTCCAGGCTCCTCAGTCCAGGGGATTCTCCAGGCAAGAATACTGGAATGGGTTGCCCTGCCCTCCTCCAGGATAAAGGCCCATGAATGTAATACCAAAACCAAAATGGGAGGTCTTGGTCCCAGAAATGAATTAGGCATCTGATGTTCTATTATTAATTTTTTCAAGGATTTCTTTGCCCTAAACTTCTCATCTCCTGGGTTAAAATTAAGGTACTGAATCTCTGGTTTGATGGGTACAAGTGCAAGTGGGGGCCTGGGACTGGAAACTTTTCCTGATACGTGCACATGATGCATATGTGCATGCTAAGTTGCTCAGTCATGTCCGACTCTTTGCAACCCTATGGACTGTAGCCCGCCAGGCTCCTCTGTCCATGTGATTCTCCAGGCAAGAATACTGGAGTGGGTTGCGATGCCCTCCTCCAGGGGATCTTCCCAACCTAGGGATCCAACCTACGTCTCTTAGGTCTTCTGCATTGGCAGGCAGGTTCTTTACCACTAGCACCACCTGGGAAGCCCTTTTCCTGATGCGATCATGATTAATTTAAATAGGGAAAATTAAGGTGTAAACGTAAAGACCTCATTAATGGGGTTACATCTCACTGTTTTTAATCACTGTTCTGCTTATTGTTTTGTAGTTGTTGAACCTCCTTCAAATTTGATTGCCACGGAAGTCTCGTCAAAATACGTTAAGCTAAGCTGGAGTCCATCTCCTAGTGCAGTGACTGGCTATAAAGTTCTCCTCATACCCATGACCACGGGAAGCCGGCAGCACGCTCTGAGTGTGGGGCCTCAGACAACCACGCTCAGCGTCCGTGACCTCTCAGCAGACACAGAGTACCAGATCAGTGTTTCTGCCATGAAGGGGCTGACATCCAGTGAACCTGTTTCAATAATGGAGAAGACTCAACCAATGAAAGTTCAAGTGGGTGAGTTAATAGGGTTTGAAATGTGTGGTGGTCCATTTGATAGTATACCTTTCTGGTTCAGACTTACTTTTAAACAAAACAGTTGCAATAAGTTTCTTTTAAAGAAGCCTGTTTACTAAGAAAGCCAGATGTCTTTGGCCCTCTATATCCATGGGTTCCATATCCACAGATTCAACCACCTGTGTTGTCTGACGTTGTTTGAACCCACAGATGTAGAAATCTGTGACTCTTGAGGGCCAACCTACCTGTGCCATTTTATAGAGTGGACTTGAGCATCCACAGAGTTTGGAATGGGAAAGGCGGTTCTGGAGCCACTCCCACCCCCAAGATGCAGAGAAACTGCTGTATTTATATTTTTATGATTAATTCATATTTGTTTATAAATTTGTTTATTTCAAATGATTAATTGATATTCAAACTTTAATGGGCTTTCTTTCTTTTTTACAGAATGCTCACGTGGTGTGGATATAAAAGCCGATATTGTGTTTTTGGTTGATGGTTCCTATAGCATTGGGATTGCAAACTTTGTTAAAGTTAGGGCCTTTTTGGAAGTTCTCGTAAAAAGTTTTGAGATTTCACCAAATAGGGTACAGATAAGTCTTGTCCAGTACAGCCGGGATCCTCATACCGAATTCACACTGAAAAAATTCACCAAAGTTGAAGATATAATTGAAGCAATAAACACTTTCCCCTACCGAGGAGGGTCTACCAACACTGGGAAAGCAATGACTTATGTCAGAGAGAAAATATTTGTGCCGAGCAAGGGTTCAAGAAGCAATGTCCCAAAGGTCATGATTCTTATCACAGATGGAAAATCTTCAGATGCTTTCAGAGACCCAGCTATAAAACTGAGGAATTCAGATGTTGAAATCTTTGCTGTTGGTGTGAAGGATGCTGTTCGCTCAGAACTAGAAGCCATTGCCTCTCCTCCTGCTGAGACCCATGTGTTCACAGTGGAAGATTTTGATGCTTTTCAGAGGATATCTTTTGAACTCACACAGTCTATCTGCCTTAGAATTGAGCAAGAATTGGCAGCCATAAAGAAAAAAGGTTAGTAGACTCTGTAAAGTAAAAGTTATTCCTTCATGAACAAAGCATTTTGAGTTCTAAAATAGTGGATAATCTGCTTTGTCAATTCTATCTGTAGGAAAAAGTAACTTTCCTGTATTATTGAAAACTACTGAACTTAGCTCATTTACCTCTGAGACATGGCTTTATCCTGACTATGGGTCAGATGTTTATTGGTGAAAAGGCTGTTTACCTTAAGAGTCATGTAGGACCGGGAACCAGCTTTGTCACGCCCGTTTGTCATGTCCAATTAAATAACTGTGAATTGAGTGGAGGGCTGAGCTAGTTCCTTTGAATCAAAGGTGACTGCAGTATAGTCCTGGATCTTTGAATTCTTTTTCCTGGACCATTTTTGGGCATCATTCCTCACAAATGAATTCCCTATTCTCTTCTCTTCATTTGGTCAATTTCTGTTTTTCAACATTCAATTAAAAGTCCCATCTCTTGCATCAAGCTTCGTAACTGTTCTAGAGCTATAACGCTTATCACTTGTGGTCATTTGGCATTCAAATAGACCACTTTTTTGTTAATAACCTTGCACTCTCTTGTTGCTTCAGTTTCATTGTATGTCCCCTAAGAACAGTGAGTTTGCCTTCAACATTGCATCTTCCTATGATTTGGTTTAATAAATATTCTTTTGTTAGGAGAGCATTTTAAATTATTACTTTGAAATATCTATTTATGGTATGACAGAAATATCTGTCAAACCATTTGCTTGATGATTCATCTTAGGTCTGATACTGTTTAAATATTCTAGTTGTGGGTAGGACCATTCTGTTGCTGCTTTGCCTTATGAAGCTCAAAACTCTAATGCAGGTTTTTTTAAGTAGTTGTTTTTATTAAACAACATAACTTAGTGTTATGAATGATCAAGACAAATGATCAAGACCTCTTTGCAGGGCTGTGAGTGAGAGTGAGAGGCTGCTTCTCACTGGTCTTGTGTGGACTACTCATTCAGTGCGTTGGCCTCAGCGACCACTCTCCCAACAGAACTGAAGGCATTTCAGAAAATGCGTAGCTGTTGGGTCCGTGTTTGCTTTGTAGATCGAAAAAATTTAACTATGCCCTTCTTTTTCTCTTAACAGCTTATGTGCCTCCAAAGGATATTAATTTTTCTGAGGTGACTTCCAACAGTTTGAAAACCAGCTGGTCTCCTGCTGGAGAAAATGTTTTTTCGTACCACATCACCTACAAAGAAGCTACTGGGGATGATGAAGTGACGTTGGTGGAGCCGGCTTCGAGCACCAGTGTGGTCCTCAGCAACTTGAAACCAGAGACCCTGTACCTTGTCAATGTGACCGCGGAGTATGAGGATGGCTTCAGTATCCCCTTAGCTGGAGAGGAGACCACCGCAGAAGGTGTGAGGAGGGTTCCCCACTGTTTCCCCCAAACTAATAGTTTATCACAGAACAGAGTCACCATGGGAAATGACCATCTGCTTTATAGTTCAGCACTGTGAATGCCCTTGTAAGATCCAGTTCCTTTAAAATACAGCTACTCATAAATCTTTTTCAAAAGGGAAAAAGCTTTTAAGTAAAAGATCCTATGTTTATTTTGATGAATTTGAGGTTGAGACAGAGAACCGTTAATGATTACGGAATTAGCTCTTGAAATACTGCTTATCCAGCATTTTCTATCCCATGTTTCAAATACTTCTGAGCTACCAAACCTCTGATGACAGATATATATTACCGACTTTTTAAAATTGTGGTAGAATGTACCTATAAGTAACATTATAGTGACTGTTTTAACCCTTTTAAAGTATGCGTTTCAGAGGCAATTAGTACATTCATATTGTTGTGCTAACATCACCACATTGTCTCCAGAACTTTATCTTGCAAAACTGGAACTCTCTACCTGTTAAACAACAACTCTTCATTCCCACTGTTACTCCTAAACAACTCCCCCTTCCTCCCCCGCAACAGTCATTTTACTTTCTGTTTCTATGAATTCGATGGCCCTAGGTTCCCATATGACTAGAATCATACAGTATTTGTCATTTTGTGACTGGCTTAGGGTTCATCTGTGCTTGAAGCATGTGTCAGAATGTTCTTTCTTCTATGACTGAATGATATTCCAATGTATGTATAGACCAACTTTCACCCATCAGTAAATATTTGGATTGCTTCATCCTTTAGCTACTGTAGATAAATCTGCTAAGAACCTGGGTGTACAAAGTTTACCAGATGTTTTAAGTGATATTTATTTAGATGTGTCCGCTTTACTGGAAAGAGTTGAATACTTTCTGATACATTTTTCTACATTTGATATTTAAAGTATTCCGAAGAACCTTGTCAGAAGCCTAGCACCAGATATTTACTCTTTAAGATAAATACAGTGAATATTATGAGAGATATCAGTTGTTCTCCATTTTTATTGGGTATAGAAAAGGCTGAAACAGCAGCATGAGGAACTTAAAATAGTTACAAACAAAGAAGTATTTGCTGACAGGGAAGGCATGTGCAGGTCTAGAGAATCTTTGAGTTTTTCAAATATGATTGGTTTTCTTTTGTGCATGGTTTAGGTATATTCCTTCCTGAAGGTTAGTAGATAGACTAAATGGCCCAAGGTGTCTTCTTGTCTTATGAATTTTGTGATGGTATAACCTAGCAGTCCACACTTAGCTATTTCTGACTTTCTGCTGATTCCTCTGTAATGTCAAATTGTGGTTTGATGAGCCTGGCCCTTTTTCTTCAGCACTTTGGGGGTGGAGATGGAACTTTGTCTCAAGAAGAAATCGAAACCTAGAGGGTTTTTTAGTATAGTCAACTGTGTTTGGATACACTCTAATTTTTCCTCAGTGGGTTACTACAATAGAATTTGGTAACGCCTTTCCAGTTCTGTTGTTTGTAGTGAAATCTGAGATTTAAACTTTCTTCTGTCAATAAGGAAGTGTCTGATTCAATGTCTTTATTAAACTAGCAGTTATTAAGCTTCTGCTATGTGTCAGGTACTATGATAATTGTTTCCAAGGATTATCTCATTTCACCACCTCAATAACCCTACAATTAGTCACGTTTTTGCTGTTGGCTAAGATGAGACTCAAAATTACACGTTAATTAAATTTCAGAGCCAGTATTCAGATCCATCAGTTTTGTTTGCTTGGACTAATATAGCCCTTTTACTTGCCATATTAAATGAATCATGGATATAGGTCTGCCAGATTGCAAATTAATTTTCAGTTTGCTTTCTTTTCTTGAGATATGCAATTCCTTTTCCTCCCTGGAGTGGTCTATTGGATATCTTGGACATTTAGATAAACTTCTAATTGCATGAGAGGTACATGCAAATATAGTGCACTGCGGTTTTACCCTAGTGGATTTAGTTCATCTTTCCTGACCATGTTGTCCATATGAACAATTCACTTCTTAGACAAAAAGGTCATTAAACCACAAAGCCAAGTGATGTTCTCATTTGGACTTAATGAAAATTTCATTTACCAAATTCTATTGTAGTAACCCACTGAGGAAAAATTAGAGTGTATCCAAACATAGTTGCAGATAAAAAAGTTAACGGTGTGATTGATTGGATAAGACAGTTTGTTCAAGTGGGTGAATATGGTAGACCTCAGTGTTCGGTATTAGTTTCCTGCTTTTTTGAGAAAATCTAGTAAGAGTGAAAGCCTTGTTACTTGTACTTGAAGAAACAGATTGTCTTTATTTTTGATCTTGTGTCAGTATTAATTTGCAATTTTAAAGAGTATGATTTTAAAAGTTTACTGTTATATACCTCTTTATTTGATTAAACAGTTGACAGTGCTCAGTTTCTTTCTGGGTGTTGTAATGCATTTGCCATTTCAGAATGTAGTTAATATCTGGCCAAATGAGTTCCGGAGCCACGATGTTTGTCAAAAAATGCTCATGGATTTGCTTAGAGAAATGCTGTTAACTTAGTGATCAAAAACTAACTTTTTATTCTTCACATATAATCAATCAACTTAATATTTTTTAAATTTTAGTGAAAGGAGCACCTCGAAACCTAAAGGTGACAGATGAGACTACGGATAGCTTTAAAATTACCTGGACTCAAGCTCCGGGGAGAGTCTTAAGGTACCGAATTATTTATAGACCTGTTGCTGGTGGAGAAAGCAAAGAAGTTACCACTCCAGCCAATCAGAGGAGGAGAACGCTGGAGAACCTGACTCCAGACACAAAATATGAAGTATCTGTAATTCCTGAATATTTCTCAGGACCCGGGTCTCCGTTGACTGGAAATGCAGCCACTGAAGAAGGTAGACGAAATATGCTCATTATTTGGTAACAACTGAAATCTTAGACTAGGAGACACTTTGGACAACTATTCAGACACTACAAGCCATGAGATACTTTGTCTCAATTACTGGAGTATCTAAGATGCTAGTCCTATTAGATTTGATTTGCTCAGATATTTGACTTACTTGTGATCCCCATTTATTGGGCTTTCCTGATAGCTCAGATGGTAAAGAATCTGCCTGCAAAACGGGAGACCTGGGTTAGATCCCTGGCTTGGGAAGATCCCCTGGAGGAGGGCATGGGAACCCACTGCAGTATTCTTGCCTGAAGAATCCCCATGGACAGAGGAGCCTGGCAGGCAGGCTACAGTCCATGGGTTGCAAAGAGTTAGGCATCACTGAGCGACTAAGCACAGCACAGACCTCATTTATTGCTGTCAGCAGAAACCTGGCTTGTATGATACAGTCTAAATATTCTTTTAATATAATGTTATTAAATATTCTATTATAAATTAGATGATGACTAGGGATTAAAAATCACATTATGCACCATTCAGACAGATTACCTGTTATTTCTTCAGGAAGATCTAAAAATACTCACCTGTTTTTATTTAAATGGAATGATTAGGCTTCCAGGATAGATTCTGATATTAGTTGCAAGTTATTAATATTTAATGTATCATTTCATGAATAAAAATTAAGGCATATGTATTTTTCATTTTATTCCTTGTCTTTAAAGTTTTAAAAACATAATAATAATTCCATGTCAGCAATAATGAGCAGTTATTAAGTATCTGGAGTAGGAAATGGGAACCCACTCCAATATTCTTGCCTGGGAAATCCCATGGACAGAGGATCCTACTGGACTATAGTCCACGGGTCACAAGAGTCAGACTCAACTGAGAGACTAAACCACCACCACCATTAAGCACCTATTCACATCAGCTTCTGTGCAGAGCTTTTCATGTATTCTCTCACTTAATCCCTGCATAGGACCTATGAAGTTGTTACTTTTATTATCTTAGTGTTGCAAAAATATTGAGGCTAAGGAAACTGAATGTTGTTAATAAGCAGTGAATGTGAGTTTGTTGCCCTCCTGCAGACGCTGACTGCTTCATGATTCCTGTCCTGGTGCAGCCTAGCTAATTAGTCTGTCCTGAAAAGACCCTCTCCACCTGCCCTCTTCTTCTCTTCCATTGGAGAAGTTACTACCCTTATTCTTTCCAGTTGGGGATCTAGGGCTCTTTGTATTGGGCACCAAAAAAAAAAAAAAAAAAAAAAAAATGACCCAGTGATGCTTCATCCTTATATTTTTTTGAGTTAAAGCAGCTGGGGGATGTGTACCTGGAGAGTTGGGAGCCTTGAGACCCTTCAGAGACCACATGGCCCCATTACCAAGAAAGTCATGAAAAGCCAAACATCACAGTTGCAAAGGGATGGGCAACCCCTGACTGGAACCGAGGCTCGTTTCCTCTCATATTTTTCTAGAGACAGCACTATTTATCATTTTTATCAATTAACATATTTCATGGGCATCACATTTAGATGTTCCTAGCTTTCCTCCAACAAAGTCTTTTTATTGACTATTTCTTAGAGGAGTTAAAAGTCTTCATTGTGTTACTAATCAGCATATATACATTTTGTAGTGCTTTGTTCCAGTTTTAGAGAAAATGTTGTAGTTTTTTCACATGAAAGATTCTAGCATGGAAGACTTTAACCTGTGTGACTTCTGTTCAGAAGAGAAATTGGATGGCTTTTGATTTGTTTCTGCTAATACATAGGGCCCAATTTAGAGACGCTTGAACTCTGTTGACTAGTCAGCCGTTACAATAGTCATAATCTCACCCAGGATGTAAATTTGATTACATATCTATCAATAGATAGATAGATAGATATGGGTTTCCCAGGTGGCACTACCATAAAGAACCTGCGTGTCAATGCAGGAGATGTGAGAGATGCAGGTTTGATCTCTGGGTGGGGAAGATCTCCTGGAGGAGGGCATGGCAATTGATTATATATATATATATATATATATATATATAGCATCAAAATGTTTTTAAGTCGTTTTATTAAATAATGAGTTTTGATGTTGTTGTTTCTTTAATGAAGTTAGAGGGAAGCCGAGGGATTTACGAGTTTCTGACCCTACGACATCAACGATGAAACTGGCTTGGACGGGGGCACCAGGAAAGGTGAAACAGTATCTCATCACATACACACCGGTGGCAGGAGGTGACACTCAGGAGGTCACTGTGAAGGGAGACTCAGCAAGTACCGTCCTGAGAGGGTTAAATGAAGGGACGCCGTACGCCTTGTCTGTGACAGCCTTGTACGCCTCTGGAGCTGGAGATGCCCTTTTTGGAGAAGGAACAACACTTGAAGGTGATTACTGTCATAGAAGTCTCTGAGCTTGCTTGTGACTGTGCTTAGGAAGCTTAAAATGTTTTCAGAGAACGAAATCTGAGTGTGTGCCATCTTTTCTCTTAAAAGGAATTTGTATTGAAACATAAGTAGTCATAAAACCGCTTCTTATTCAGAGATGTAGGCTACCAGAAAAATTAAATTTGATTGGGAAGCAGTGTACTGGGGAGCTGAGTGTGTAGTAAGGCTGTAGAAATGTGTCTATTATGCCATAGGTTGGAGAATGGGTGTGTGACTCTCAGAGTGGACGGGGGAAACATTAATGGAGCAAGAGGGTTTGGCTTGCCTGAGATAACGTGGTTGGTTTATCACCCAGGAGCAGACAGGAGCCCTTTTCTGACTAATAACATCTTCTCCTGCACCGTGCCTATCAATATCAGTATCAGTTCAGTCGCTCAGTTGTGTCCGACTCTTTGTGACCCCGTGGACTGCAGTATACCAGGCCTCCCTGTCCATCACCAACTCCCAGAACCTACTCAAACTCATGTCCATTGAGTTGGTGATGCCATTCAACCATCTCATCCTCTGTCGCCCCCTTCTCCTCCCACCTTCAATCTTTCCTAGCATCAGGGTCTTTTCCAATGAGTCAGTTCTTCACATCAGGTGGCCAAAGTACTGGAGTTTCAGCTTTAGCGTCAGTCCTTCCAATAAATATTCAGGATTGATTTCCTTTAGGATGGACTGGTTGGATCTCCTTGCAGTCCAAGGGACCCTCAAGAGTCTTCTCTGACTGTGCCTATAAGCATTTATAAAAGCTTGAGAAATATGAGAATCCAAGTTACTGTTTGTTTTCTGAATGACTTCTAAAATTCAGTTCTGTGTTAGAAGTTAAAAGTTAATGCAGTACTTAGTAAGAACCATCAACAAGACTGGATCTGTTTCCTTGGTTCTCTAGAGTTCATTGTCGGAGGGCTTCATATTTCTTAGGCTCTTTTGAACTGTAATGGCAGCTTAGATTTGACTCACCATAACCAGAAAGTAAGTCATATGAGAGAGAGAAAGCACAAATTTAACTTAACTACAATGAAATGGATTGTAGTGTTGAAAGGCAGTATCAGTGGATGGTTAAAATGATGATGCAGTTCTATAGCTGGGGCCTAAATGGGAGGTTGGGTTTTCTTTTGTTATCACCACCTTTTCTATGCCTTATTTAAAATAATTGTAGGAAGAAAATGAAATATCTTTTGTCATGTGAGATCACAGTGATATTAGGCAAATATCCATATCAGATTTCGTGGATCCAAGAGCTTGGGGGACGATAGATGTTGTAATTCACAAGGGTGAGATCTACAAGAGGCAGTGTTGATTATAACTTTAAGACTTAGGTAAGAAATAAAAGCTAATTGACAAAAACAGTCTAATCAAAGTTTTGTCTCTAATAGTGATCAAGGGTTTAATCCAATACTTTGTGAAATTTGTTTTTAGAAGAGGGTTTAAATGAAAGATTAAATCCCAGTGTGCAAAGTACTGATTATTCGACAAGTCCTGGTTTGGCTACCATGTGACTTTGAAATAACCTCTTAACCCCTCTGAACCTGAGTTTATCCATCTATAAAGAGGGGATGACCATTTTTTCCCCTTTCTCCCAGAGTTATTGTGGAGATCACATGGTAGGGTGTTAAGTGAAATGCTTTGGGATCTGGAAAATACTCCACATATATAAAATTCATCAAGGGGAAACAACATTCAGTTTAGAACTGATATCTAAAGATACAGCTTTTGTAAGTATATCAAAGATGTTGACTGGTTACTCTAAAATTTTGAAAATAATAAGAGATGGAAATGGAAATTGCCTTAATTACGGGGACACAGTCCAAACAATGAAAGCATGTGATCTTTATACCTGGAGCAACATTCAGAATTTCTGAGAAATTTGTCCTTTTTTTTTTTGACCTTTAAGTTCTCTTTCTCATGCGCTTTCTATAGGCTTTCAACATAGATTGCTCTTCTAGGAGTTTTAAAGGATCGGCTTTGGAGCTTTTGCTTTTTTATAGAATAGTTGTAGATTGTTTATATTTGCGAACATTTCTCCCTTATAAGGAATATCTTGAAAATAATTTAGTAGTTTTACTTCTGCTTATACTTTTTAAACTTCTGATATTCTTTTGCATTTCTTACTTTATAAATGTACTTACACTTTGTCAAAATGTTGCCTCTAAAGATTAATGCATTTTTACTATGAATAATATATTATAAAATTTTAGAAAATAAAATGCACATTTTAACATCACAGCAAACATTCTATTGGGTAATGACTTTTCTAGGCCAAGTGTGTAGCTAAATTCTTTATAATTTTATGGCTTTGCACAGGTGGTATAGAAAATCCACAAATTTGAATGTGTGTGTTAGTGTGCACACCTATATATCTGGTCAGAAATAATCTCCAAGGGAGATATACAGGTAGTAAAATAAATTAAAAAAATGACTGTTTCCCATTCCCTGAGATGGAGGAAAGCTAGATGATTTGTAACTTCACTTAAAAAATATAGTTAATTCATAACTAGATTGTAATAGTAGATTTTTTTCCATTGACACCAAAGCTTTTCACTTTAGTGAAGGATTAGAGAAAAGGCTGCCAGCCTGATTTTGTTAACATATTTATCTCATTGCATGATGTGTGGTAAACTTATCAAATATGTGAAAGCATAGTTGTGACTAAGTTAAAATAATAGATTTTTTTTTTGCTCATGGTTATTCCATTTCATTTTATTATATTAACTCAGCCAAATCCACATACCATATACAGGAATAGGATATGATGGTAAATGCAGAGAATGGAAAGCCCAGAAACACAGCCAGCCAACTGCTCTTGAGGGTTGCTGTTTTTCTAATCTGTTTTTCTCTTGGGAGAGGAGGTGGTTAGAGCAGACCTTGAAGGAATGTTTCTTCCATCCAGAGGCATGGCTCAGCCAGCGAGGGCATTCTGTGGCTTGAAAATTTTATAGATTGACTGAAGTGCATTCTATTCAATTAAAAAAGAATTAAAAAAATATTTAGCATGGGCTATAACCATCCCTAACTTGAATCTGTTTCCTAGTGTTTTCTTGAAATGCAGCCAATGATCAGAAAATTCCCCTGTCCCTGGAAGAGAGATTTATTAGCATTGGCGTTGGGGAGGGTTCATGGTTGGCTCTAGTACTGTATGAAATAGAATCACAAAGGCAGAGTTTATTACTATTTCAGATCCAAACTTCAGAGGAATCTGAGCACAAGCTATTAGGTTTGATTTACATTGTTTTTTTCTCCTGTTGTTGTTAAAGTAGATTTAATGTAATTACTAAAACACTGCTGTACATGTAAATGAACTTCAGATCTTGAAAGAATTCTTAGTTGTCACTGCCAGTGTTTACAGAGGGAAACCTGCTCTTTTAAACCTAGAAATGAATAATTCCCACTTTAATTCAGAGATTTGCTGCAAATGAATGCAAATGTCAACGTTGGAATAATACAGTTCTTTTACTTTTGAATGTGTTTGATGGCTGTGGAAAAGATGATTTTTCAGAATTTCTTTTGTTTCAGTTGCCATAGCAACCCTCTGGTGTCCTAAACATGAAAGGCTTCCTATACATCAAACTGAGCTAACTCAGCTGACATTTGGTTACCATGAGGTTTTTAGCACATCACAGGAATTCTTCTGCAAGATGTTGAGTAACATGGGGTGCCTCCAAGATGGAATAAATAAGGCCTCTGTGTTTTCCTAGATTTACTGCTGTCTCATAATTAGAAAAATCATTCATTCTGTGTATAACAATTCTGATGTTTCCAGGGAACTTTAGTCCAATCACCAAACAGTAACATCTTTCCCACACATTGATGGCTTATCAGAGAAAATCTAAACTACGTTGGAGAGGTGACAGTTATGGAAGAAATCTCATCCATGCTTTGAAGTTGAAGGGCAATTTGTTTAGAGCTTTTTAAGAACTATGTGTTACTTAAAGTAAGTTAACTGATCAATAGTGAACTTTGTCCTTTGGAATGGTGATTACAAGTCGTTGCTTGTAAATCAAGTATGTTTCCACATGAACATTATCCAGAGCAGGTCTTCCTTATTCTGCCGTGGAAAGTTGGATGACTTTGAGTTGAGCTCTATCGGAAAAGACAAATTGATTTAGAAGTGGGTTACATTACATTTTCAATTTAATTTCTATTTTTGAAAGTGGTATGTGAAACTCAATGAAAGCTGGCTGGAACAATCTATAAGATGAAAATAGTTTCATTTCATAATGATTAATTTTTCAGTTATCACTGGCTAATTTGTGTTATAATTATATTTGAATTGGATGATGATCTGCTTTTCAGAAAGCAAGTGGAAAAGGGCTAAGGAAATGTAGGAAAGTTACTTAAATGAGGCCTCAGTTCTTTGGCCTCATATGTGGAAAAAGTAGAATCAACCCCATGTGGATCTTCAGATCATGAGAAATGCACCTGTCTAATTATTTGCCTCAGCAGCAGCACAGGGATGCATGCATGCAGGCACCAGCAGTGCTGCCTTTTGATATATGTGACTGTGGTTTGTAATCTGATCAGAAATACTGAGTATCAAAATTTCAAAAACTGGTGAATTTTGTTTGTTTAAATTTATGACAGAAAAGCTTTGTTATTTCTTATACTTCCCCTAGTACTATACTGGAGAGAGCAGAGTAGAAGGGAAAACTATTGAGAGGGAATCAAAGGAATAGAGATGAAGGCATACCAATATTACAGAAGATGATGGTATGACTTTCTTGAAATGATTGCCAGCAATTCCATTCCCAGAGGTAAAAGTAACATGCAAAGTACAGGCATGTGGTTCAGAATGGCAGGAAACAAGTACAGTGAGATTATATATTATTGAAAACCATGTCACTCAGGTGAAAAACGTGAACAAACCCAAACATCATAAAACATGCATTTGTGAGTCTTGCGGGCAGACAGAGAGGAGGAGTTCAAGATGGGGGAGCCTTTCCTAGAGTAGAAGTGGGTTCACATTTAGGGACAGGTGAGACAAAGTGGCAAAAGTGTGCTGGATTCATTTCCGCTCATGCCACTGTTTCTATGGTTCCTCTTTTGAAGAACTGCAAATGGTGATTCCAGCCATGAAATTAAAAGACGCTTACTCCTTGGAAGGAAAGTTATGACCAAACTAGATAGCATATTAAAGAGCAGAGACATTACTTGGCCAACGAAGGTCCATTTAGTCAAGGCTATGGTTTTTCCAGTGGTCATGTATGGATGTGAGAGTTGGACTGTGAAGAAGGCTGAGTGCTGAAAAATTGATGCTTTTGAACTGTGGTGTTGGAGAAGACTCTTGAGAGTCCCTTGGACTGCAAGGAGATCCAACCAGTCCATCCTAAAGGAGATCAGTCCTGGGTGTTCATTGGAAGGACTGATGCTGAAGCTGAAACTCCAGTACTTTGGCCACCCCATGAGAAGAGTTGACTCATTGGAAAAGACCCTGATGCTGGGAGGGACTGGGGGCAAGAGGAGACGGGGACGACAGAGGATGAGATGGTTGAATGGCATCACCAACTCAATGGACATGAGTTTGGGTAAATTCTGGGAGTTGGTGATGGACAGGGAGGCCTGGCGTGCTGCGATTCATGGGGTCGCAAAGAGTCGGACATGACTGAGTGACTGAACTGAACTGAAATGATCCTTTGTGGTCTTTCCTGTTAGCTCAAACAGTAAAGAATCCTTCTACATGCAGGAGACCCAGGTCTGATCCCTGGGTCTGGAAGATCTTCTGGAGATGGGAATGGTAACCCAGTCCAGTATTCTTGCCTGGAGAATCCATGGACAGAGGAGCGTGGTGGGCTACAGTCCATGGGTCACAAAGAGTCAGACACGACTGAGTGACTAATACTAACCTTTGCTGGATAGAGGCTCTATACTAGTCTTATATTTCTTTCTTGTTCCTCTCTCTTTCCTCTTCCTTCCCAGGTATATTAGAAATAGACTCTCTCCCCAAACCAGTCCAAATAATCTCTTTCAGTAGCTGCTGATGTCTGAACTTCTGTAGTTTGAGAAAACCTACAATTCAATATAAACTAAAGCAAATGGCTCGCTGGGTAACACTTGAGTGGAATCTCATTCACAGGAAAATGTGATCAATGCTTGACGAAGAAGCATTGAAAAGCCATTTCCTTTTGACACAGGATGGATGGAAAGAATTCTCTGAGGGTCGGCCTTGGGCTCACGCCACTACTGCTGAAAGGCTGACTTGTGTGTGGCCATAGACCCATGTGATATAGAGAAACCATCACACCGTGCTACACAGCGTCCCCATTTCCTCCAGTTTTGACCAATTTTGCTTTCACCCCACGGTGTTTTATTTCACTACACTTGTCTCTCATTTCTGAATGAAAGCAAGGGTGAGGGTTCCTTCCCACACTGATCAAACAAAGCTTCCAAATAAATGTCCCCTAAGTGAGAAAAGAGGCCAGAATCGTGAAGGAATTAGGATCACAGAGGAGTCTGAAACGATTTTTAGAAAGCATCAGGGCTCAGGCATGTCTTCAGACACTCCAGTTTAATTGGTCTGGGATGGCCGGGTCTTAGCCCTCCAAGTGATTCCTGTATCTGACCAGGTCCAGTCCAGGTTTTACTCCTGAAGGTCCCAGGGCTCCAGGAGGTAGCAGCATGCTCATCCCATTGCACACCTAGTCCCCAGGCCAGCGTGGCCCCTTGGCAGACTGCCAGTTATATCACAGGGTGCAATTCAGCTGCTTTTTTGGTAACTTAACATTTGGCCAAGTCAAGATTCCATTTTTAAAAACTTCAAGGGTTATAGGTCTGATAAAATATACTTATCACCAGAATATCATAGTCTCATGATTCTTGGATGTAATGCAACAGTTTGAAAACCCAGCCTTCCTACTTTTTGGAGAAAAAAGTGTTTCAATGTGTTTGACAACAGTGTACACTTAATATTTCAGTTCAGTTCAGTTCAGTCGCTCAGTCGTGTCTGACTCTTTGTGACCCCATGGACTGCAGCACACCAGGCCTCCCTGTTCATCACCAACTCCCAGAGTTACTCAAACTCATGTCCATCGAGTCAGTGATGCCATCCAGCCATCTCATCCTCTGTCGTACCCTTCTCCTCCCGCCTTCAATCTTTCCCAGCATCAGGGTCTTTTCCAAAGAGTCAGTTCTTTGCATCAGGTGGCCAAAGTATTGGAGTTTCAGCTTCAGCATCAGTCTTTCCAATGAATATTCAGGACTGATTTCATTTAGGATAGGTTAGTTGGACCTCCTTATATTTAGGATTATTCTTATCAAACTGACTGACTGACATACAAGAAACCCACTGAAGCAGTTTATATTTTCAGTCTTGGCTTCTGGTTTGAGGTGTCTCTTTTCTTTGGATTTCACATTTCTTTGTCACAAACATGGAATGTTGCAGCACCAGTACCTACAAATAATGCCTTTCTGTGCCAGGCAGAAGCTATCATTTTTTTGAGGACCTTTTATTTCTGTAATTGAGAATATAATTAGTGTTCACTTGAATTAGTGCTGTCATGCCATTAATGGGAACTCAGGAATATTTTTTAGTTAATACTGTATTTGGATCTTAAAAAGTGTCTTTACAGATTCTTTCCAGAACATTGACCAGTCTTGCGGAGGTCTTCATTGCAATTTTATTAATATTTTGTCTTAGCTTTCCAGGTCTTGCGAGTGTTAGTGTAGTTGATTAAAATCCATGGGAATACATATCTAGAGCTCCTTTTGTTTGTAGCTCAGAAATATCTTTGTGAATGTATTTTGCTTCAACCACAAATTCCCTTCCTATTATTTTCCCACAGTGAAATCATTAGCCTGTGTTTGTGAGATTGATGTCTGTTGCCATGGAAATAAACAATGTCACAAATTCAGAACTATAGAAAGTGGGCAGCAAAATAGGCTGAGAAGCGCAATCTTTGGGAAAACTAGAAACTGAAATTATTATTTGTAAATCACTTCAGTGTTAATTTGGAAGATTACCCCCATGTTGTAGCTAACTTTGTTTTATACTTTTGGGGAATGTTCTTAATGTAGCTTATTTAAATTCTGAATCCCTTTCAAGTATTTTCAAGTATTATTTCACAAAAGCTGTTGCTAACTGCATCCTGGGAAATTTAAGAGAAGAGGTACACATGAAAAAAGGGTGTAGTATATATTAAGCAAATGAAACATGCTGCGTATTTAAAACTTAGAGATCAGTAGTTGGAATATCAGCCATAAAAACAAAATATAAAGTGCAGCCAAGTCAAACCCAACCAACTCAGCCCAACCCAACCAAATAAACAAGTAGAGAAGATATAAAGATGTGTGACCTTAGTAGAAATACAATTAAAGAAGACCTTCAAATGAAGATGAGCCTCAGGAACTGAGGGAAAGAAGTCAGTATGTTCTTGAAAATAAATATTCTTGGTTGCAGTGAAATATGTAATTAATTTCCCTCCAGAGATGAGATGTCCTGTCAGCAGTTAAACTTATTTATAATAGAGTTAGAATTTTCCATTTGGTCTTGGGGTCTGGTAGTATGCCCAGCTTCCATTTTATTTATTTTTTCCTCTGTAATCTAACATATATGATAGGGTTTTGTCCACCAACATTTCTTTGTCATTTATTGTTATCTTTATGTACTTGAAATTTAAATAATTATGGGTATTTTTAAGATATTCATTTTTACTCTTTGATTCAAGTAGAATAACAGCCTTCAGCATTCTTGTAGCAGGACTATATATCATTTTCTTGAATACACAACAATTACTGGCAAAATGTATGCTGTAGAAGCAGATAGTTTTATATTTATGTCATACTGTGGCATAAACCCTAGTAAAGGTAGCCAGTATAAAATGACTTGTATATTTATCTTACATTTAAATAATGGAAACTTAGGGTTTTATTGGTAGACATCTGTGCCTCCTATTAAGTCGGGGTTTCCATATTTTTTCCACTTGAGTTGTATTTTTATTTTGAATGAGAAAGCCGAAATATAGTAGCAGGCATTTTCGATCAGTTAGAGCAAGTGGTGTGTTTTAGTTTGATGACTAATCATTTTTAGGTTTTCCAGAAGAACTGTTGGTTTTTATTTTCCTTAGCGTTAAGCTATAATTGAAAATTTGCATTTCTGTTTTTTTAGCTTTGTGAATGAAATAGACCTTTGAAAATAGATTGTGAAAAAAAGACTGTTGAAATTAAGATTTGCAAATGATGTAAGATTGTTGAAGTAACTGGAAGTGGTACATTGAAACTGAGCTTATTTAAAGAAGATAGGAAAAGATGGCAAAGAAATAAAGATCTTTGTGAAAAATGGATGAAGAGGACTGAGTTATGAAATTGAGGGATTTAGATGCTTTTTTTTCTCTTTGAAATTTTCTTTAGGCACTTACTTCTTCATATTTGAATGTCATTCTTGTTCTGAAGGACATTTCAATCTGACTGGACATATGGGGGCAAGGGTGATAGGCAGGAATCAGGCATAGTTATTAAGTTTAATCCCATCTTCTGTTCCCCTGACAGAATAGGACAGACAGCTCAGAAAGAAGAAATAGGTAAGTTAGACAAATTGAGTCCAGCAAGTCAGGGTGTCTGCCAGGATGAGGGAGTATTTACATATCTAATAGACATTAAAAAATGATCCCCCTTTCATTTCTTTTCTAGAGCGTGGTTCACCTGGAGATTTGATTACTAAGGATATCACGGACACATCGATTGGGGCTTATTGGACGTCAGCTCCAGGAATGGTTCGCGGTTACAGGGTCTCTTGGCAATCACTTTATGATGATATAGAGGCTGGAGAAAAGAGTCTTCCTGCAGATGTAATTCATACTGTGATAGAAAATCTGCAGCCAGAGACCAAATACAGAGTTTCCGTATTTGCAACTTACAGCAGTGGAGAAGGGGAACCCCTGAGTGGAGAAGCCATAACTGAATGTAGGTAACATTCTGAGCGGGCTTGGCAGTGTATAGCTCTCAGCTCACGATAACCTCTTGCATTTTTTTTCTTTATGTGACAGATGAGGGCTAAAAACTTATGACCTTTCATGAATGTGCTTTAAAATCAAGTTCGTTGTGTATCTAAACTTGTATCAAATTTTGAAATATTGAATCCCTGCCAACTACCTACACAGTTTACCCTTGAAAATGTGGGGGTTAATCTGAGTAAAATTTATAGGCAACTGTTCTTATCTGAGGTTCCTCTGCATCCCAGGATAAAACCAACCTCGGATCATGTAGTCCTGCAGCATTTGATAGTGAAAAAAAAATCCATGTGTAAGTGGACCTTCAAAGTTCAAACTTTGTTGTTCAAGGATGAAATGTGTTTCTCTCTGTCTTTCTCTCGCTTCTTTTTTTCTGGTGGAAAGATCAACTAGATAAGAGACTCAACTAGTAAAGAGACAAGAAGCTATGGAAACAAAGAGAATTCAGGCACATTTATAACTACATGGCCTCGGGCAAGTTCTTGAAACTTCTTTGAGCTTCAGTTTCCTAATATGTAGAATGCAGCATCAGACTGTGTTGAGCATTAAATAAAATAACAGTGGGCAAAGCAACAAGCATAGTGCCTAGCCACTTGGAGAAGACTGATGTATAATGCGGCTATTGAGCCAATGTTTGTTATACAACCAGGACTAATCCTAAATTATTTTTACTATGTTTGGGGAGGCTAATTCAAGTCTACTCAGTTTTCTGGTGGCTAAAATTTACCTTAATCTCATATTCCTTCCTGTGAAAAATTTTGAGTTGACCTCTCATCATTTATCATCAGGTGGCTAGTGAGAAATGGGTCTGTATTTCATAATTGTCTTTCCTAAAAAACAATTTATTAAAAATGGGCATTTCTAAGAATTTATAGGAAAGTTCATTCCTTTTATTTGGGAGGATTTTAGGAAAAGGGGAAAGAGTGGGGGTATTCTTGCATTTCTTTTGTTAAGAAGAGGTGGAGGAATTGGGTGGAATTTAGGCCACATGTTAGGTGATTTTTCTGCCAAAGGAGGAGAGAGGAAAATGCCAAGGGCAATTTCAGTGAAGTCCTGTATCCTGATTTGAAGTTGTCCTTAAATTAAAATCTTTTGGTCTGAGTTCTCTGTAGAAGTCATCTTTTTTTTTTTTTAAATCACTGGCAAACTCAGTTGGATATGTCTAAGCTAGGCCACATATGACACATCTAGCTAAATTTATTTGTAGGCATAAAGATACAATTCACATGGCTGAGAAATTCTCAAAAAAATACATATTTAGAGGGAAACTTTTTCAAAAATTCTCCTCCACCCTTTCTCCTGAAAAAATTGAATCCTCAGATATTTATTTGGGATTTAAAATCTCCACAAGGGATATGTTTTAGCTCAAAGCAAGTATGTTAGTAGAAATTCTAAATAAGCTTTCTAAAAGCTGAGCATCTAAGACATTTTCAGTATTTCTTGGCTAATTGATTGATTTAAAGCTTAGTAAATAGAAAGGCCTCTTTTGAACCATGAGCAGAGTAGGTAGGAATGAAAGGCACATTTTCTAGAGGGTATAAGTCAACTGCTCAAACTGCTAAGCAAATTAGATGAAAGATAAGGATCTTTCTTTGTTCTGCTACTATTTTTAAAAATTTTTATTTGGAGGACAATTGCTTTACAATGTTGTGTTGGTTTTTGCTTTACAGCAACACAAATCAGCCACAAGTGTATATACATCGCTTCCCTCTTGAGCCTCCCTCCCCATCCCCTATCTGCTACCATTTTTAGTTGTTGGTGTGTTTTAGTTTGCTTTTTTTGTGGAAGGTAAGGTAGTTTTGACGATACTTTGAGAAATTCGAGTCACATGTAGTGTCTTTGGCTGGTGGACAAGTCCAAAATGGTGTGTCTAACTGGGCCATGCTCTTAGAGGACCTTATAAACTTCCAAGGGGGATGTTTTGGAAATATTTTCTGCTTTCGCCTGACATTCAGATACATGGAATGCAGACTGTTGATACAATGACAATGACAAATTGTGGCTAGAAAGCCAGCAGGTGGGAAACTACCAGCCCTCCAATTATGGCAGCTAGTTTAGCCAAGGTACAGTGAGTTTTGGAGAGCATCTTGTGAAAAGCACTAAAACTTGAAAAGAACTTAGAAAGTGGGAGTGTTACAGCATTTTATAGCATGTGGCATACCAATGAATGGAGTGACAAATCTTGCCTTTTACTTATGGGAAGCCAACAAGGATTTTTTTCCCTCCTTAAAATTCAGAGTTTCCTGTTAAAGCTAGGATGAGATATGTTGTACTTTATTTAACTTCAATTCCTTTATTTTAAAGAGTTGATTAAAAAGCAGGAAAACAATTGAGATCCTGAAGCATTTCAAGCATTCATTTCAGTATGAAGTACAGTATTTGACAGTTATTAACATACTTAAATTTGGGAATATTTTCAACTTTGTGATCCCACTTTTTGGGGACATAGGCTTCTTTTTAGACCAATACTCATAAGATGTAAATATCCATTTTTCTCAGTTTTAAATGTTATGAAATGGGCTTGAGAATTTTGTGTAAGGAAGAAATGTCTTGTTTTAGTGAACAAGAGTTGAAGACATGGAAACAAGAGGTCAGTAAACATATTTAGCAGAACTCTTTCTAGGAAAGTGTTAGACACATGGATTTACTCAACTCTTGTGATAGATTGTTCTGTGTACTCTTCTTTCTCATATTCTTTCAAAAATCCTATGTAAGGTCTTTACTTTTTTTTGTTGAAAAAATATATATATATATTTCTTTTAATAGTTCACTTACCTAGAGAATAGTAATGGAGGATGGGAGATTAACTAAATACATTTTAATATTCCAGGAAGTAATGGAATTGACTGAGAATTCTCTTACTTTCTTTTTAACCCTAAAATTAAAAAAGTTGCAACTAATATACTGTTAGTTGAATTATTAGCATCTTTCAGAGACATAATTCTTAACCATATATTGATTTTCTTTACCTATTTTGTCATTCTTACCTTTGTCCTCTATACCAAATGTATCTTTTGCTTACATGGCTGCTGTCAAGATTTTCTTTTTATACTGATTTTAAGTAGTTTGCTAATAATGTGCCTGGGTGTAGTTTTTTCATGTTTCTTGTGCTTAGGGTTATTGAGATTGCTGGATCTGTGGGTTTATAGTTTTATAAAGTTTGAAAATATTTAGGCCATTATTTCTTAAAATATTTTATTTATTACTCTTCACTTTCTTCAGGTGCTCTGGTTCCACATGTGTTAGACTATTTGAAGTTGTCACATAGCTCACTCCTGTGCTTTTCAGTTTTTCAGTCTTTTTTCTTTTATTATGTTTCAATTTGGGTAGATTTCATTCTCATGTCATCAAGTTCAGTAGTTTTTTTTTTTGCAGTTTCTGATTTGATGTTAATACCACCCTGTGAATTTCTCATGTTAGGCATTGTATTTTTCACTTCTAGAGGTTTGGTTTGAGTCTTTCTTATATATTCTATGTGTTTACCTAACATGCTTAATATTTCTTGTACCATCATTAACATATGGAATATGGTACATATTATAATATTAATAATAGCAGTTTTGATGTCCCCTTTGAATAGTTCTGTCATATGTGTTATTTGCAGTTCTGTTTCTTCTTGCAGGACTTGGTTTCTGGTGAGAGCTCTCCTCCTGGTTTCCTGATGGTGGTGTTATTTCCATGTCCTCACATAGCCTTTCCTCAGTCTGTACATGTTGAGGGTGGGGAGGGGAGAGAGAGAGGGAGAGAGAGGAAATGTCTGTGTCTCCTCATCCTCTTATAAGGATTCCAGTTTCATCAGATTAGGGCTTTATCTGTAGAATCTCACTTAATCCTAATTACCTCCCTGCATGCTAAGTCACTTAGTCATGTCCAACTCTTTGCGACTGCACGGACTGTAGCGCTCCAGGCTCCTCTGTCCATGGGATTCTCCAGGCAAGAAATAATTGAGTGGGTTGCCATTGCCTTCTCCAATTAGCTCCCTAAAGGTCCAAATACTATCACATTGGAGATTAAGGCATTAGCATATGAATATGGGGAGGCACAATCATTCAGTCCATGATACAGATTATAATTTTTTTCTTTATTTTCATTTCTGGTCATTTTTATTAGAAGCCAGACTTTATGAATTTTACCTTTTTGGATGTCAGATATTTTTATGTTCTTACAAATATCCTTAAGGTTTGTTCTGGGATGTAGTAAACTCGCTTGGAAACAGTTTGATATTTTTGAAGCTTTCATTAACATTGTGTTAAAGCTAGACCAGAGAAACCTTTAGTTGAGGGCTTCTTTAACTCCACTCCTGGGGCAGTAACTCCCTCTTTGTACTCTATATGATGTTCAGAGAATTTTGAGATTTTGTACTGTGAAGAGGGGGAATATTTCTGGCCCCACATGAACTCTAGGAACTTTTTCTCCCTACACCTTCCAGGTGGTTCTTTCTCTGGTTTTGAGTAGTTTCCTTATTCATATGCACTGAGTAGTACTGGGTTGAAGACTCAAGTAGGACCTTTTGCAGATTATTGGAGCTTTTTCTCCCTCACACTATCTTTAGGACGTTCTCTTCAAGTTCTAAGTGCCTTGGACTCCCTGAGCTGACAAAACTACCTCCTCAATTAAGGGAGACCACCAGTCTCCATCTGGGTTCCCCTTTCTCATACTGGTGCTGGAAACTCTCTCCAAGCAATTAGTCAGGGCAGTGATCAAGCTCCTTCTCATTTGTTTCTCTCCGGAATCATGGTCCTATGCTGCCTGATGTCCAGTGTGTGAAAAATGCTGCTCCATCTCTGTGTGTGTGTGTATATTTTTTAAACCTTTCCAGGTTTTTTTTTTTTAGTTCATTCAAGTGGTCCTTACCTTTTTGAACATGAAGATTTCTTTTAGAATAAAAAAAGATTGTCTGCAGTGTTTCCTTCAGCTTTGTCTCTCTTTTTAGAAGATGCTTATTATTTTTGAATGCTAAGATTACTGAACTGAATGAAATGATCCTGCTTATAAATTCTAATTATATATAAGAAGAGGACTGTATTGGCTATTTGTGGATGTTGGGTGACCTGTTTCTGATATAGTTATTAATAAGATATAATTTAATAAAGTTTATTGTATATTAATCAAACCCTTCTTACATAAAGTTTTTTCTAAAATCACCCAGTGTATACTGGTTTATCTCCAGAGCCCCTGAGATATTTTTATGTGTCAGAGTTTCCTGTTCCTTTGTGTTGATTGTGTTACGTGTTCACTGCAATCACAAAGGATGGTGTTAACTACAGTCACTCTGGCTAGTCATTTATGCATTGTAGTTTTTTCTGAAAAGACTCAAGGAATATTTCTGACCCTGTATTTATGATTTTTCATATTCTGCACACTGTAATTTCTACAAGAATTTTTTACAGATGGAAATATAATAAAAATTCTAAAAACTCATCTCCGGAAATGGATGTTTTCTTTACTAAAGTCTCTGGAATGCAAATAGGAAATCCTTGCAATATGAACTTCCATTTTTTAGTTACTAGCCAGATAAAGAGAAAACATCTCACTGTAACCTCACTGAGATTAAGTTCACACGCCATCCTGAATTTAAGCGAGATCACAATGCTAAGTAAAGGAAGGGTGTATGTATTTAAGAAACCACACCTAGTGTCTTTTGACATAAATGCGGTGGTGGACATAAGCATTTTCTTTCAGTATGATATACACTATAGTCTTCTTTTCATCTCACAGTGTCTGAAGACTCGAAAACCTTGAAAGTGGATGAAGAAACGGAAAACACAATGAGAGTTACCTGGAAACCGGCCCCTGGGAAGGTTGTCAACTACCGTGTTGTGTATCGCCCCCGCGGGGGTGGGAGACAGATGGTTGCTAAAGTGTCACCCACAGTTACCTCAACAGTGCTAAAGCGACTTCAGCCCCAGACCACGTATGACATCACCGTTCTCCCAGTTTACAAGACAGGAGAAGGAAAGCTAAGGCAAGGATCAGGAACAACAGGTATGGAATCATAAGAATTTGGGGGGGGAAAGTGTGTAATATTTTAATGGGGGATTTTAATATATCTGCTTCATTTGTGAATATCTAAAATGAATTCTGTAATAAATTACATTATAACAAATAGTTGGATAAGATGCCTTGTTAGCATATGGTTTTTATCAATCTAGTTCCTTGTAAAATGATTCTACATATTAATGTTACTCTAATCTGAATTGTGAGTGCTATTTACACTCTCACTTGGCTTGCGTTCTAATATTCTGACTTTTATTGGGCATTATAGTTTGTGCTTTTTTGACTTAACCCTTTATGTAAATATTTATTTTGAAGTGTTTTGCTTGTAATGATTGATATGTGTGTCACTTAGATATTTAGAATTCAACTTATTATTGTAGGGGTTAATAAAAAACTCCAGAGCCTAGGTTTTTGGATAATATTTTAATTATCTATTATCTCTACAGCTTCTCGATTTAAATCACCCAGAAACCTCAAAACATCTGATCCAACCATGTCAAGCTTCCGGGTGACTTGGGAGCCCGCACCTGGTGAAGTCAAGGGTTACAAGGTCACGTTTCACCCCACGGGAGATGACAGAAGGCTAGGGGAGTTAGTGGTTGGACCGTATGACAACACAGTTGTTCTAGAGGAACTTAGGTAGGAGTGAACTCTTTTCATTTTTGTTAACAAATGGCATAATCAATGTAAATTTGTAGGCTTTCCACACAAGATCACTTATGTGTCTGTTGCCGGCAGAGTATTTAAAATCAGTCCAAGTCGCTTTCTCACTCTTGTTGAGGCTGAAGTTGAGGTTAGGGTTCAGACATTCGAATTTAGCCCTGAACAAGGGTACTATTTTAGTGATGTTTGTTATTAAGAGATCAGGAATGGTGATTTTTTTCTATAACATCCCACTTGCTCAATTTCACCAAGAGCAGCTTGTCCCCAGCCAGCCCTGTGGAAACGTGGGTGTTTCTGTGCTTCAGGAAAGGCCCAGGGGCGAGGGAGGGAGTGGGCCTTCATGCTTGGGGTCAGCTGAGAGGCTTGGGGAAGTGGGGGCTGATGGAAGGTCTTGCTGTAGGCTGCGCAGTGCAAAAGAAGGAGGTGTGAGTTTGAACAGCAGCCTACATCCTTTATAGTGAAATAAAGAGTGCTCTGCATTCATTGCCTAGTGGAAAGTTGACTTGTTTTGACTGTTCATTCAACAACACTGAAATCTGTTTGAATGCACAATACTTACTTTTATCAGAATAGGGAGGATAAAATTGATTGAGTCTACTGTGTGCCAGGGGGCATCCCTGGTGGCTGAAGTGGTAAAGTATATACATGCAATGCAGAAGACCCAGATTCGGTCCCTGGGTGGGAAGATCCCCTGCAGAACGGAATGGCTACCCACTCCAGTGTTCTTGCCTGGAGAACCCCATGCACAGAGGAGCCTGGTGGGCTGCCCTCCATGGGGTCACAGAGTCGGACACGACTGAGCAACTTTCGCACGCTATGTGCCGGGCACTGTGCCAGGGCTTTTTGTTTCCTTGCAAGTACAACATTTTCAACTGTTTTCTTAAAGCCCATTACTTAGCAGTAGTGAAAGTGAGAGCTTGATCCTTCCTGACTTGCTCAGTGGGAAGGCGGGAATTCTACATTTGATGGAAAGGCAAGGTGGAAACTGGTGCCCTGAACCCCCAGTGTCCTCTAGAATGCTAGTTTTCCCTCAATACCTCACAGTGTGAGCTTCAACTGGAATGTGATGGGAATTATTTTTCTTCTCTTGCAATGTTATATATTATAACTTTCTCTGAGTGAAAGTTTGTAAATCAAGGTGAATATTTATAACAAAACAAAACAAAAAATGCTACCACTTGAGCTTATTATACATACAGACTGTATATTTTAACATTTCAGGGCAGGTACCACCTATAAAGTAAATGTTTTTGGAATGTTTGATGGAGGAGAAAGTTCACCACTTGTTGGACAAGAAATGACAACTCTCTCTGACACAACTGTTATGCCAATTTTATCCTCTGGTAAGAAATTGGATTGCATTCCCCTAAGAAAAGTCAGTACCGTGCAACTTTTTCAAATGTAAATTGTTGGATTAATCATACCATGAAAATGAACCATTAAATTTTACACTGAAATTTATTTCAGTAATATATACTTAAAAAATTCTTCAGACATCCAGCTAAGCACACTTTGCCAACATTTTTTAAGGCTTTCTTGTCAGCATTAGTTACATAGTACTATTATTTAAAACTGAGTTTTTCAATGGGTAGATGATGTACATTTTCTCTCTTTTTAATGATTAAAATGCAATTTTGTTTCACTAAAGTAATTGTAGAAAGGATTTATTTGGGCTGAGCAAGTGGTGTTTGGTTATTGATGTGTTAATAGGTGGGCAGTTAAGACTTGGGAAGCAAAATGGTAACATAAACCCCTTAGACTTTTGCTCCTGCCAAGACTACAGCTTTGATACACATGAAGCTAGATTTGAACATTCTTAGCAGTGAGGGTGGTGGGTAGAGTTTACCTCTAAATATTTTCATCATTTGCTTATAAAAAGTAGGTCTTGGCAGAGCGGGAGCAGACTTGTAAAGGCGCAGGTGCTTGGATAGCGTTAGAGAATCCTCACTCTGATGGACCATCCAATATACCAGTGAAGCCTTTGTAGTATAACAAGCATCACTGAGTTTTTCTCAGTTTTTTTTTTTTAAATAATATAAAGTTCAGATGCTAACATGGCAAGTAGTTGGAAAATTCATAGCTGGTAACATAAGCTCTTGGAAAAGAAAGCATTTGAAAATATGGATGTGGATAGAATAAAGTCTGAACTCTTGCTGTTTTGCATTGATGTTCTGTTGTTTCTCTTATGATGATATTAACTGACTTATATTTTTATTTTGTAGCTTGTGCACTGAGGATTTGGGATAATTCTCTTTCCAAAGCTCCCTAGCTTTCTATCAGTGTGTGCTTGTGGTCTCTGTAGCTCTCAATTTCTATACTTGTTCGCATCTTTTTTTCTAGATTGTCTTCCTTCTCTCTTGATTTTTTTAATGTGCAGATTTCACCATCTGTACTTACCTGATTGTTATATGTAGTAGATGATAAGTTATTTAAAACTAAATAATAGCCTCAGATTTTTAAGCAATATATCTTTAATTCAGAAGGGTTGAGAGTTCTGTGCCTAATCCTTAATAATATATGTATTACTGAGAGTTTTCATTAATTCAAAAGATAATTTTGGCTCACTGAACCTTTTTCTGGCTTGCACATTTTAAAGTTCATCTCATATTTGTCTGCCAATGACCACTGAAAATTGAGAAAAATGCAAAGCTTTATTAAAATTATTATTTCCTTGTAGTCAGAAGGCTGTACATTCCCTCTCATATATTTCAGTGTTTGGGTTTGTGAGCCCATTCAAATTTATAATGACAGTTTAAGTCTCCATGTTCTATGATTGTGGCCGTAAATATAGTCAAAGATGAAGGACAGATTTTCCACTGAAATGATTATTAGAGGGCTGGATAGTTCCTGTGATTCTTATTTGAGGCTCTAAGTCACATGGACATGTTTTCAAAGTCTTGAACTCCTAATCGCCTCGCTGAGCCACAGAACTGAGACTGTTAGGTGAGCCCGGCCCCCGGGGTGGCAGAGGCGTGGTAGGCAGCGACCCGGCAAGTAATGCGCCCTGACCCTGTGCTGTCTCGTGGTTGCCGCGTCAGGGATGGAGTGTCTCACCCGGGCGGAGGCAGACATCGTGCTGCTGGTGGACGGATCCTGGAGCATCGGCCGGGCCAACTTCAGAACCGTCAGGAGCTTCATTTCCCGCATCGTGGAAGTCTTTGAGATTGGCCCCAAAAGAGTACAGATTGGTAGGTCTGACAACATTGACGGCATCTAGATGTCTTCGTCGGGTCCGTTTACATATGCTAATGCCACTGGTGTCCTTTCAGCCCTCGCTCAGTACAGTGGGGACCCCAGGACAGAGTGGCAGTTAAATGCTCACAAAGACAAGAAGAGCCTGCTGCAGGCCGTGGCGAACCTGCCTTACAAGGGAGGCAACACCCTCACAGGTGAGCGTATGGTCCAGGGCGCTGCCCGCTCTCGCTTTTGTCCGAGCTCGTGGCCGAACAAGGATGTGGCTGATTCTCTTTTAACAATCCCACTAGGGATGGCCTTGAATTTCATTCGCCAGCAGAGCTTCAAGGCCCAAGCTGGCATGAGACCTCGAGCTCGCAAAATCGGTGTTCTTATCACTGATGGAAAATCCCAGGATGATGTTGAGGCACCTTCCAAAAAACTCAAGGATGAAGGGGTGGAACTGTTCGCTGTTGGTAAGTATGGATGAGAATAGCCACGCCCCTACGGGTGACAAATATTTTTGCCGAGGATTTTGTAGTTAAAAATATTTTCTGAAGCATGAAAAATACAAAGACACACTTTCCCTATCACACAATTTATCAAAATAATGTGCCAGGAAGTTCATCTATCTTCTTCTTTTCTCCTTGTAATGGGAGGAAACTACATGGCTTCTTGGAAGAGAGTAATAAATCAAGAGGACAATTGTAGTGTTAATAGGATTCAGGAAAATTCCTATTTTGTTTTCCACAGCATCATGTTTGTTTTTGATATCCCCTATTTTATAATACTTTCCAGAAAAAAGCACTAAACAAACTCTTTTTGGTGGGGAATTGGTGTTAGAAGCATTGAGAAGAAGCCAAACAAAATAACCTTCAGTTTGTATTATTTTTTGTTTCTATTTAATTTATGTAATCATTTTATTATTGGGGAAAATCTTATTTACATTCTAGTTAACACTGAATGTATAAGGGTAGCCTATGAAATATTTGCTTTGTTCCATGAATTTTTTTCTGAGACGTGCTTTTAATTTGTGTATATCCATTTTCCCCGAGGAATTAAAAATGCTGATGAAGTTGAGTTAAAGATGATTGCAACAGATCCTGATGATATCCACGCATACAACGTGGCGGATTTTGAGTCACTCTCTAGGATTGTGGATGACCTCACCAACAACTTGTGTAACAGTGTCAAAGGTCCAGGTAAGATTAGCCCAGGTTCTCACCCTCAGAACTGTTGGTATTTTGGTCCAGATAATTCCTTGTAGAATGGAGGGATTGGATTACTTTGTGCATTGTGAGATATTTAGCAGCATCCCTGAACTCTGCCCACTGGATACCAGTAGTATCCCCTGAGTTAGGACAACTAAAAATACCTTCGGAATGTGCTGAATGTCTGCTGGGGAGAACACTGCCCCCAGTTGAGAATCATTGATTTAGTTCTTGAATTTTCTCTGATGGCATTAAACTGTAAATGACTTTTAGCTTATTTGAGGATACATTTAGTTTATATGTGCCTGTACCAAACACACGCTTCCTAGGTGGCTCAGTGGTAAAGAATCCTCCTGCCAATGCAGGAGATTCAGTTTTGATCCCTGGGTCGGGGAGATCCCTGGAGAAGGAAGTGGCAACCCACTCTAGTATTCTTGCTGGGATAATCCCATGAACAGAGGAGCCTGGCGGGCTACGGTCCACGTGGTCGCAAAGACTTGGACATGACTGAGCGACTGCACACGTGTGCTGCACACACACAGACACAACTGAGATTAGGGAATAAAGAGGTTCTTTCTTTCCTGGTGTATATCTATTCTCTGGTAAAGCATCTTCAGTCCATATCACTACTAAATTACTATTAAATGCCCCAACCAGAGATGATCACATTTGGTACTTTGTACTTGTAACCTCTAAACATAAAGACAAATTACAATGTTAGAGTGTGGAGTTTTAGAAAGGGTATCATCTCTCTTTACCACTGAAGAAATAGATTTAGAGAGATTCAGTTACATACTCAAAGTCAGATGGGTAAAGATGTTTTGAGAGGTCCTTGAAAAAAGGTAGCTATTGATAAAGAATTAAGATTTAGAAATAAAATTATAGAAGTGAATTTGTAGTGACAAGTGGTATAAAATGATTACTATCTGTGTAAATTGTAGGTCAAATCATGGTAAATACTAAATTGAAGGTATTTGGAAAATTAATGATATAAATGATGGTTTTTATTGTATGAGAAAAATTTCTTTCAAGTAAATGTAGATTCTGGTAAAGACTGTCTTTCATTAACTTACTCTGGTTTTGGAAAGTTGGAATGAGTTTAACAAAGTGGTAGAAATGGTTCACGTGCTTTGGATACTAAGGATACGTTTATTTGAATGTTCCTTCTTGAATTTCTCTCTTCAAAATTTTGCAGATTTTCTTTTTGGATTTTGAACAATAGACTGACCTTTTCCCAGGAGAAATAGACTAGCCAGGAAGCCAGAATTTGTAGGCGTCTGGCTCTGGATTAGCTGAGAGAGTTGTAGTTTTATTTAGTTGGAGAGAACTTTGAGTGGGGATGAAAACATCTTTTATCTGTTTTACTTTATTTTTTTTTACATCAGCTATGTAATAGTTGCATTCATTTAGTTTCCCAGACAGTAAAATTGCTTGATAATTTTGTAGGCTTGATTATGACCCAAGTACAATAAGGGTTAGGATACTAAGAATGGAATTGCTTTTTCCCAGCTTTGGCTTACAAAGAAAGTAGGAAGAGTTCCTATGAGAATGATTTGCTATGCTCATGGAGTCGTTGCATTAACTCTCCCATAATTATTATTTGGGACATCTCTCTAATGGTCATATTGAGCCCAATATTTCTGTTTTCATTTATATTGATTCCAAATATTTTTCTATATTAGTCATTTCACCTACACTTATGAACAGAAAAAAACAAAACACAGGCAGTAGGATATTCCTAAATTTTAGACGACTTGGTTGTTTCTCTCTGAGTGAGAAAGTAAGTAGGTTCTCTTACCACTGAATTAGATCCTGAAAGAAAAGTAAACTTAAATAAGAAATCACTTCTGTCCTCACAGAGCATAACTTAGAGGTAAGAAGATAAGACATGAATGTAAATAATCAACATGATAATGAGGGCAGTGAACTTGGCTGGTACCACCAGTGATAGAAGCAGTAGAGTTGTCAGGACCATGTTGTCATTTACTGATACATGTAGAAGGTGGGAGAGCATAGAGAGTATCTCGGACGAGTCAGAGGTTTTGAATCTAGGTGACCAATAAACTGTGATGCTGTCAGGATGACAAGAGCTCACATTTGAATTTCCTGAGGGTGAAGAATCTTAGGCCACCCATTCAGAGAGGACTTATAGGCACTGGGCTGATTTACTGGAGAAGACTCTTGAGAGTCCCTTGGACAGCAAGGAGATCAAACCAGTCAATCCTAAGGGAGATCAAGCTTGAATATTCATTGGAAGGACTGATGTGGAAGTTGAAGCTCCAATACTTTGGCCACCTGATGCAAAGAGCTGACTCATTAGAAAAGACCCCTGATGCTGGAAAAGATTGAGGGAAGGAAGAGAAGGTGGCAGTTGAGGATGAGATGGTTAGATAGCATCACCACCTCAATGGACATGAATTTGAGCGAACTCCAGGAAACAGTGGAGGACAGAGGAGCTGGGCCTGCTGCAGCCCATGGGGTTACAAAGAGTCAGATATGATTTAGCAACTGAACAAGAACAACAACTGTACCTTCTCAGTATATGGAAGAATGTGTGTAAAAGCTTGAAATATGGAGAGGAACACCACTGCAACCTAATTTAAATATCACCATCTTGCTATGATAATGAAAAAGTCTATGTACTTCATTTCCACGTGCAGGTGACTTGGAAGCACCTTCCAACCTGGTTCTTTCTGAGCGGACCCATCGTTCTATGAGAGTGAGCTGGACCCCTCCTTCTGACAGCGTGGACAGGTACAAGGTGGAATACTACCCAGTGTCAGGAGGGAAACGGCAAGAAGTGAGTAGACAGTCCTTACAGCCCGCTCCTTCCTGTCCTGAGACTGGGTCCTCCTCCTTAGGGCTCTGGGAGGAAGGCCGGGGGGAAGTAGGGGGTAGAACTGGGTTCATGGTGGTGGTCTCCATTTCTTGCAGGGCAAGCACTTCCATTTGGGTTTAATTAGAGGGAAGAGCTTTTAATTTCTTATGCTTTCCAAAAATTGCACAGTATCAAATAAATTTTTAATTAGGGGTTATGAGGGCATTTAATTTATTCATGAGTTTATACCAGAGTCATTGAGTAGGAAGGAAACATTGAGGACGTTCTAATTTTATGCACTCATCTTACAAATAAGGAAACAAGAGCGGGGAGAATAAACTGTATGGATTATCCAAGATCTCACTGTAATCTGATAGTTTTTAAAAACGAAAACAATGGCCTCATTAAAGAATATTTCCTAAGCTCATTGAAATTAACTACTTCACAATCAACAGTAGAAAAGAGGGAACTGATTCTAACAGAAGTTGTTATTATTTGTAAATTTTCCTCCCTAGTTTTATGTGAGCCGATTGGAAAGGAGCACGGTCCTGAAAGATCTGAAGCCTGAAACTGAATACGTTGTCAATGTATATTCTGTAGTGGAAGACGAATACAGTGAGCCTCTGAAGGGCACAGAAAAAACATGTAAGTCAGATTAAAAAAAAAACTCATCGTTTAATTTATTAAGGTAAAGAGGTGACAGGCCATGTGGGAGTTTTTTTCATTTTCATTTAAAAAGAATTACTGAAATATTGGTGATTTACAGAGTTGTGTTCGTTTCAAAGGTACAGCAAAGTGATTCAGTTACATGTGTGCATTCTTTTTTTTTTAGATTTTTTTAGATTCTTATAGATTATTAAAAGATACTGAGTGTAGTTCCCTATGCTATATAGTAGGTTCTTGTTGATTGTCTATTTCATATATAGTTGTTGTTCATGTCATGTCCGACTCTTTGTGACCCCATGGACCCAGCTCACCAGGTCTCCCTGACCTTCACCATCTCCTGGAGTTTGCTCAAACTCATGCCCATTGAGTCATTGATGCCATCCAGCCATTTCATCCTCTGTCGCCCTCTTCTCCTCTTGCCCTCCATCTTTTTCAGCATCAGGGTCTTTTCCAATGAGTCAGCTCTTCATAATATGCTATCTAGGTTGGTCATAACTTTCCTTCCAAGGAGTAAGTGTCTTTGAATTTCATGGCTGCAATCACCATCTGCAGTGATTTTGGAGCCCCCCCAAAAATAAAGTCTGACACCACTTCCACTGTTTCCCCAGCTATTTCCCATGAAGTGACATAGTACCATGTATATTTTAACCCCAGCCTCTTAACTTATCTCTCCCCACCTCTACCACTATCCCCCTTGGTAACTGGTTTGTTTTCTATGTCTGTGAGTCTATCTGTGTTTCGTAAATAAGTTCGTTTGTACCGTGCGGGATTTCTGTAAGCCTTCTGAATCATTCCTTTATTTGATAGCTCTTCAACACACATTTACTGAATGTGTACTTTATGTAGGTACTCGATAAATACTCTGATTTTCTGCTTTTCATGTCTGCTCCTGCCATCTTAGGACCCACTGGGTAGTCATGGCCAGAGTTTACTGTAGAGGGAAGGGTACCTTTCACAATTGTCCACCTCTTAAGGGAAGGTAGCGTGTGGGGAGTGGGACTCAGAGTATCTGGAGGAGCAGCTGTGCAGGAGTGATCCAGTTCAGTTCTGCCTGAGGCCAGAGCTCCCCGCTGGCAGTGCGAGCTCCTTTTTTATTGCCTGTTGGACTCTGGCCTTTACTAGAGAAGTTCTGATGGCTTTGGCTTTGAGTAGAGCTTTGGGGAAAGATAATCCTCACTCCTATTCCTGGTGGGGTTTCTGAGGCCATATGAAAATACTCTTTCCTTCTCCCATCCTCTTGGCTGGCCTCCAGGAAGAAGGGAGGCCTCTAAAAAGAAAGAGGAAGCAATGGGTGTAACTCCAAGGCAAGAATCTACTCCACTGACTGCTCAGTCCCTTAGGTCTTTATCTCTTCTATTTCTCTTCCTATTAGACCATTAGGCTGGAAATAATATATTTCATAATGGGCATGATTAATCTGATAATTCTTTAAAACTTTAAAGTCCATCTTGGGACAAAAAATAGAAAGCTGTGTGTATATTAAGTGAAGAGGAGACTGTAAGCCTGTTAGTGTGCCTCATGGGCTAATCTCCTTGAAGAATCCCCTGAGTTCCACTTATTAATAGACATCACTCTCACTAATTTTTTCTAAAGTAAAGATGAAATGAAATGAAATACTAGGTTGGCTTTTTGTGTATGAAGTTCTATGATTGAAGAACGAAAATGGTCAACTTACAGATGTTTCAGAAAAAGAGACTGAAACCTCAGGAAATTAGTCTCTGTTTTGGCTTTCGTATAGACATACTAGAATGCCATTTTACATTTAAATGTCTTTTCTTTATGAATTAGCTATCACATGCAGTCCTAGTAGGTGCTGGCGAGAAACAATGAGATTTTTGAGGGGAGAGAAAGGGATTATATTAACTCTCACTGATTTCTCAAAACAACCCGTTTTCTATTTACCATATACAAAGGACGCGGTTAACCGATGAGGAGAATGACAAGAGTTAGAATGATGTCTGCTTTTCCATTTCAACAGTGCCAGTGCCTGTGGTCAGCCTGAACATCTACGACGTTGGCTCAACCACCATGCACGCGCAGTGGCAGCCAGTCGGGGGCGCTACTGGCTACACCGTGACCTACGAACCCGTCAACGCCACGGTTCCGGCCAAGCCCGAAGAGGTGGGAGCCCTGTATTTCTCTGTCTTGGGTCTTCTTGAGCCGTCACTGTTGTCGAGTTCTTTACTCGTTAGCGCATTGATAGCTTTACACGCAAAACAAAAAACAGATTAGATTTGTGGCCTGTGACACATCTTAAAAAAAAAAAAAAATCAGTATGTAAAAGGAAATGACGTTCAGAGAAATGAAAAATAAAAGTTGTGCTCAAATCTAGTGGTCACAACTTGGTGTGATTGGCTGTCCCTCATTAGCGGAAGTGTTTCATTTGAATGTGTTCTTCCGCCTCGGCTGGTCCATCTGCAGATGCGCGTGGAGCCTACCGTGAATGACGTGCAGTTGAGTGACCTCTTCCCCAACACCGAGTATGCGGTTACAGTCCAGGCGGTCCTGCATGACCTCACCAGCGAGCCCGTCACAGCAAGGGAAGTCACCTGTAAGATGTCGCTAGGTTTCCTTATTCCCTCATTGCTGTGAACGTGACTCATTCGTTACGCTTTTTCTTTTGCCCAATGATGCTAAAGATGATTTTGATTGTTTGTGTGTAAGTTGTAGGGTTATTCCTTATGGCCAAGGTTGTTTCTGGACTTAGGGCAGCATCTTAAATCGATTGTTAAGATTTGCATTTATTTTTCCATATTTAACGTATCAGATTTTCACATGGTATCGTACAATCAGTGGTGTCTTACAGTTGCTCTTGGTGAGGTGTCAGTCAGGGAACAGAGCATAAAATAATGGTGCATCTTACAGTCCATGTTGTTGTCGATCCATGAATATGGTATACACCGTTAGTGAGAAGGGGATGTTGGAGAAAAATACTAGGTTTAAGATCAAGATGTTCCAAGTTCTTGTTGAAGTAGAAGCTATGTCACATCTGGATCAGTCTGTTTATGTTAAGTAAATTAACTCAATCCCCAAACATATTGACCAACTGTGACTTTGCAGTCTTCTGCCTAGGTATTGGGAATGTGCTGATAAATAACGTAGGGCAGAGTGGAGGACCCTGACTCCTTCATGGTTTGCACTTCTCTTGTGTGTGTTGTTCGGCCTCCTGTGTGTTTCTGGTTTGTTTCACTAGCATTTAGGTGCTTTTTTCTTGAAAAGTGACAGTGATGGCACTTAGGACCCTGGTCTCACCCAGCTGGTAGTTTTGTTTCACGCTTCTTGGGGTGGGCATGCTGGGATTCTAAGCATGTCTTGGCTTACATTTTGTGAGTCTCAGCCTGCATTTCTAAGGAAATTAAGAAGTTGTAAGAAACCTTCAAGGGGGTATGGGGCTGAGACAGAAGCATGAAGAGACAGAGAAGAGAAATGCTGCAAGGTGGGGCAGGATACAGTCACGGACATCAAATAACCACCTTTTACATGTCAGACCCTATCTGGAGCTTGTGGTTTGTAGAAATGGGGTGGTGGCGGGTAGAAAGAGTAGGGATCCAGCCAGGCATGGAGACATATTTTGGAGATGCTGAGTGAGGGGACCCAAGTCATAGTGGGATTAAAGACAGACATGGCTATAGATTTGGATATAGGGCTGGACTGCAGCACTGGGGGAGGGGAGGGTACAGAGGGAGGCTGAGAGAGGAAAGCATTGAAGGGATGGAGGTGTAGGAGCATAGAGGTGGCGAGACAGATTCAGGAAGAGACATGTGCAGACTTGAAATGAGAGACAGAAAGTTGGTCAAACAGGCAGCTAGAGTGAGATACATCTCATGTGGCGAGAGAAAAACTCTTCTTTAGTTATCCTCCTCCTTGTCCTTTTTAAGGTAAAGCTTTGTTTGACTTGGGGAAAATTTATTGTTGGATTTGCTCCTAACCATTTGGGCTTCTGTGGGTTTTTTCTTATGAACTTATTGGATGCATAATTTTGAATCATCTTCGTTCTTCACTCTTGTAACCATTTGTTTTGCTATCACATACTTCAGGAAGCATGACACTTTGATTTCAATCTCAACTGATTTAATATTTGATAAAGAAACATAAGCTGTACATTTATGGCGAATTATGATTTACTATAGCTAAGCAGCAAGTAAGAGTTTATTTAAATAGAATGGGAGAAAGTTAAATATAAACGAGAAAGTTATAAAAAAATTTAAATTTATCCTATTTTAAAAACGTCTTCTTAAGAATTCAGCTGTACCTCATAGAATCAAAGTGCTTTTGTCATCATAACTGATTTGTTTAGTTACTTTGCTGCACACCTTTAAGTTTTCTCCAAGCGACTTCTTGAAAGCTTGTGTGGAAGCTGTAGAGCTTTGTGGTTGAGAATAAATTCTGGTCCTAATTTATCATGCGTCTCCAGTGCCTCTGCCCAGTCCTCGAGACCTGAAACTCAGAGACGTGACTCACAGCACCATGAACGTCCTATGGGAACCTGCGCCTGGAAAAGTGCGTAAATACATAGTTCGCTACAAAACCCCAGAAGAGGAAGCCAAAGAGGTAGGTTGAGGTTGGAAGCGGTTTAGAAATATTTGTTTTCCTAGTAGGTTTAACAGAAGAATTTAAACAGGTATAGCATGTTTTGAATACTTGTCACTTTATGAACATAGTGTTGATAATTTGTCATATATTAACAAAGCACTATTTGAATATTGATAATATATTGGACTGTTTTGCATTTAGTTTAGAAATATTTCGCTGTGTGATATTAATCCTAAAACATCATCCCTTAGTAGATAAAGGGTTACAGAATCTAGATGGTATTTCACTCTCCTCCTGATGCCTAATATGGTGCTCTGCATTCTATGAATGATTAAAAGATTGTCATAATGATGTTCCTAAAAATGAAAGGTAGCAAGGGGATTCAGGAAAGAAGGGGGGAGTTTGTCTGGGAATGGAGAGGTAGGACAGTTAAATAGGACAGAGAGAAAGTATGAATATAGTGTCAGGAGAGTGTCTCTTTGGCTTTGAACGTTTCTGAGTTGATGCTGGGATGATAAAGCTATTTCCATGACAGCCTGCTTCAGAGTGGGAGCAAATTGAGGGGCTTCACCAGCAAATGGGTTTAAAATGTATGTTACCCTGAAGGGACACCAATGTAAGCACCTCAGAGGCAGTTTTGGAAGCTGGAACTAGTTTCTGTGAGCACCCAGTTGCAGACTGCGCTGGTCTTCTGAACTGCATGAAAGCTAATTTAGACCTGTGCACATATTCGTTTCATTCTGGGTTTCAATTTTCGGAAGCAGTACAATGACCAGTGGGTCTTATAAGCTAATGTGCAGGAGAATTTTTCTGAAGGAAGCGAGGCAGTGACTCTTAGGGAAGTGGGGAGAAAGCGATCAGGTTTTTTGAATTCCTAGGCTGTCATCATTTACCAAACACAGGGCTCTAGTACATACACCGTTTCCACTTTGGAAACTATAAATGGTCTTCAGTTCCTGGACTCTTAGGCAAATTGGAAAACTTTGCTGTTTTTTTTTTTTTTTTTGTACTGCCGTTCTCATGCTCTCATGCTGAGAGACACAGCCAACAACAGAAAGATGTCAAAACTAGACTTTGTAAAAATAGTTCCACCACTCTATTGTAGGTAGAGGTGGACAGGTCACGGGCCAGCACGCCGCTTAAAGACCTCTTCTCACAAACCCTGTACACCGTCAGCGTGTCTGCCGTATACGACGAGGGGGAGTCTCCCCCAGTGACTGCGCAAGAAACCACCCGTGAGTTTTGCTTATGCTTTTTTTTTTTCCATTTATTTTTATTAGTTGGAGGCTAATTACTTTACATCCTTACAGTAGTTTTTGTCATACATTGAAATGAATTAGCCATGGATTTACATGTATTCCCCATCCCGGTCCCCCCTCCCACCTCCCTCTCCACCCGATCCCTCTGGGTCTTCCCAGTGCACCAGGCCCGTTGCTCATGCTTTAATGAAAATTGGGAAATAGCACCGCACGCATGTGTCACTGACTAACTGGTTGTTTCGTTTCTTAAAACTTTTCTTTATTTTTTTAATGGAAGTATAGTTGATTTATCATGTTGTGTTAGTTTCAGCGAAGGGATTCAGATTTATATGTACCTCTGTTAATATATACTTTAGATATATGTATATTCCTTTCCGGAATCTTTTCCCTTACAGGTATTACAAAATATTGAGTATAGTTCTCTGCGCATTTCTTAATATTATTTTTGCCAGAATTTCATAATGTTTGGGATCATAGATTGTTTTTCACTTAGTTACTTCCCATCTTCTATCCTTATGTCTATTCCTTTTGTGATAATTTCTCTCCTATTATTCTACCAGCCACTGTCACTAACTAATTCATTTTCCAGATACTTAACTGGTGTGTGTGTGTTTGTGTAGGGGGATGGAGAGAAAGCATGCTACTTCCACAGTATTTAACTCAATTATTATTGCCTGTCGGTCTTTTCCTGTCTATACCACTTCCCTCTAGCTCCCTCCTAATGAAGTCTGAGACATGTATTTTGCTCAACTTTGAACCTTCAGTTTCTGGCTCAGTGCTTACCACGCCATTTTCTAGATAAATTGTGTTTAAGATATTGACATCTAGAGCCAGCAGAATTCCCAAGAAATATAATATATTGGGAGCCACATAGGTAATTCAAAATTTTCTAATAGCCACATTAGAAAAGGTAAGGAGAAAAATGAAATTAACTATAATAATGTGTTGAATTTAACCCAGTGTATCCAAAATATTAGCATTTCAAAATTTACCAGTATAATAATTATTAGTGAGATATTTCACATTTTTTTGATAATAATTTTTTTTAAAAAATCTGGTGTGTCTTAATTTGGGGCTTCCCTACTGGCTCAGTGGTAAAGAATCTGCCTGCAATGCAGGAGATGCAGGAGATGTGGGTTTGATATCTGGGTCAGGAAAATCCCCTGGAGGAGGTAATGGCAACCCACTCTAACATTTGTGCCTGGAGAATCCCATGGATAGAGAAGCCTGGTGGGCTACCGTCCATGGAACTGCAGAGTAGGATACGACTGGGTAACTGAGCGTACATGCACACACGTGTCTTAATTTATGCTTTCAGTGCATCTCAACTCAGATGCCACATTTCAAGTACTTGATAGCCACATGTGACTGTTGGCTCCCATGGTGGGCAACACAGGTCTAGAGAATTCAAACAACTTGCCCAGCCTTGCCCAGGAAGCTAGTGGTGGGATAAGTGCTGTGGTCCAAAACTTTTCCAGTGTCTTTATCACCAGAGGATCAGAAATTTCTTCAGTGCCCTGCTCGCTGTACATGATCAATGCCTCTTGTCAAATATCACAGCCTCCTATGTAACTTCAGACAGTCTCTACCTCTGTTGTTTTCTTACCATGTGAAATCTCTTAGCAGCTTCAGTTGCCTTCTTGGCATCAGTTCTGGAAAGGGTAGTGGCTGGAGATGAAAATTTGCCCATAGGTGCACACTGGCATAAATACAACAGGAATAGTAAAGGGAAGGGAAAGTTCAGGAAGAAAGACTAGTGAAAGCAGGGAATTTAGCATACTAAATTAATGCTTGTTTTTAATCCTTAAGATTTCCTAGGAACTTCTAGACACATCCAAAGTGCATGCTTCATGGTTCGTTTGTTCTGCAGTCATGCTTGTCAAAGTGGGACCAGTCTCTTTATCTCAATGGGCCTTTTCATTGTCATTATTAGAAACAAATTTTTGATAGCTCTGGCTTTTGTGTAGTTAGCTTTGGTTACCAGGAGATAGAAGAATAATTGACAATGAAAGCTCAGAACGGGTGGCAGACGTTCCAAATTGCTTGCGCTGCAAGCTCGCTGGGGTGCCTGGTCAGTAGAAGTGTGAGGGATTTCAGCCATCGTCAGCACTTCAGGGCTGTTCCTGTCTCTGAATAGAGCTGATACAGTCAGCTTCACATTGTGTATCAGGTTAGTAATCTGTAAGAAAAGCTTATCTGTGGGTTACTTAGATCATAAGATTTCATGGACCATGGAGGTTCATGCACTCTCTGGTACTCCAGGCTAAAGTTTGGCTTCTGTGTTGCTGTGGAAAAGAGTCCAGGGTTTTCTTTAGATTCTCAAAAAGTGTGAAGGGCAAAATGATGAAGAACCACTGTGTTAGAGTAGTATGACTAAATGGTACTTTTTAAGGAAAAAAATAACCTTTTTAATAGACTTAAGTAGTCTGTTATATCCATAAAATACTTGCAGTTCTCAGGGCTCTCTCCCATATTTACTTTCAAATGAACTGAATTTGTAAGATACTTGGTTCTCATGTTGTCAGCCAGTTTCCTCATGTCCGTTAAAATAAAACAGGGCAGTTTTATTATACTGAGTTTGTAGATCACATCCAAACATATAGTCCTGCCTTCTCTCATGACAGACACTGTGCCAGCCCCAACAAACCTACAGATTACTGAAGTAACACCAGAGAGTTTCAGAGGGACTTGGGACCATGGAGCTTCTGATGTGTCTCTCTATAGAATCACCTGGGCGCCTTCAGGAAGCGCAGATAAGATGGAGGTAGTGTTAACTCTTTTTTTTTTTTTTTTAATATATGACCTTTGTTGCCTGAAAAGCATCGTTTCCTACTAGTTACATTTGAGCTCATGGCATGCCTCAAAGCAGGAGGAACATCTGGCTAAATGATGTCAACCAGCTGCTCTGATGCACACAGTGACTTAATCTTGTCTGGGCTTTTTTTTCCCCTCTTTCCTGAAGACCATCCTAAATGGAGATGAGAATACTCTGGTGTTTCAAAACCTGAACCCCAACACTCTCTATGAAGTTTCTGTTACCGCCATTTATCCTGATGAGTCAGAAAGCGATGACCTGATTGGCAGTGAGCGTACACGTAGGTGTTTAACCTTCAGTAGGACATTTTTTTTTTAATTAACAGAATAGAACTATGGCTGAATTAGTAATATTTTGCCACCTTCTTTTTTTTTTTTTAGAGCGTTTGATACCCTTAACAACACAAGGTAAGAATTTAATTTGCTGATTGTATGAGTGACCAAAGAATGAACAAATGAATGAATGAAAAATACCACAAAATCTATTGCAAATAGGCCTTCTGCTTTTACAATAAATTGTAAGGTGTTGATTGGGACCTCTTTTAAACAGGTCTCTCTGGAAGAATTTTGCTCTTGGCTACTATCTGTTAAGGAGTCCTTTGAGACTCAATGACCATCATTTGTTATGGGGTCAGATTTAGTTCTGAGTCTAGAAGTACACAATTCTGTTCATTTCCTTGGGGATGGTGCATATTTGTGGGGGAGGCATTCTTCAGTTTGTTTACTCTATTTCTCAACAATCTTTCCTCAGCTCCAAAGAGTGGCCCACGAAACCTTCAGGTGTACAATGCAACATCTAACAGCTTGACTGTTAAGTGGGATCCTGCAAGTGGTCGTGTGCAGAAATACAGAATCACCTACCAGCCTTCAACAGGGGAAGGCAATGAACAAACGGTAATCTGTTTGGGAAAAAACATACTGGGTTATATTCTTTTTCTCCTCAAGCTCTCACTCCCAGTGTTTAGCTAGTCAGACTTACTGTTTTGAGAGTTATGAAATTTACTGTATTAGTTGGAATTATTTGGCTTTATCCCTAATGGAGTCTCATAGCATTAGGCTTATGCCTCAGTGCATTCATGTTTTCTTAAAAACTATTAGGGCTGGGTTATGCATGAAGATATTTAGATTTTTGAGTCTATTTGTATTTTCATTTCTTATATCTCTGACTTGATCAAGTGTTGAGAGAGTTTGCTAATCTTCCATTTTTCTAATTTTTCTGTTTTTTGCATGTCATGATGTATGTCTTAGTTCTGATGTTTCTTGATCTAGGTACCTGTTCAACCTAACTTATACTATTTATCACTTTTGCATTGATCCAAATGGAGGTTCCTGAGGAAGACAGTAGGACTGTAAACTTGGCTTTCATCTTCTTTATCTTCCGAGCCTTCCCTTATTTAACAGAGCCCTTATCCATTCACTTTGCTTACTTTGAACCTTCTCCAACTTTGTTTTATGAAAGGTGTGGCCCAAACTGCACACATTACCCTGGGTCAGGAAGCAGTGTGATTTTTATTTAGGTAGAGTGATGCTTTCTGATTTATTTCAAATACTTCTTTTGATGAGGTCTGGCATTTTGTTGACTTTTGCAGCACTGTATTCTTTCCTCACAAAGCCTTGGAGAGAGATGACTTATTAAGTTTTAATCATCCCACTCTTTGAGCTCCAGCAAATGGTTCATACCTCTTCCCATTTTAGGGGCGTTAGGAGGGGTAGATGCTGGCAGTGGTTAAAGGTCTCTGAACCCGCACAGTAAGTGGATTGAGCTGCACTCATGCTGCTTGTGAGCCGCTCTGTTGAGGTTTCTGTAGAACCTGACTTTGGGAGTGTGATACATTTGGATTAAAATTTTCTTAGACTTCATCATAATAAACTAAATACCAAGTGTCATCAACTGGCTTTTATATAGAATAAGACATTTAATGGACTGATATTGTAATGGCAGAAACAGAACTTTCACCTGTTCTGGGCCAGATTTAGATAAAACGTGTCCTTAGCATTTCTGTTCTTGGTGATACTGACCATCTAGCTGCTGCCTCAAGTCTCTTTTCCCTATCCCTCACCTGTTTGTTGTAAGTAGAAGGTGTGTCCTAAACTTATCTTCTGTAAAGTATTAGCTGACAGTCCCTTAGAGTATGTTATTCTTAGGAGTATTTTACTTTAAATGCTGGCCCATGTAATGACTTACTGATGCTAGCATTATTTGGGAGAATTGGATGTAAGAAGTAGGCACACTCTTCTGTTTCCTCATGGGGCTAATTCTACTAAGTAGATGCTTTCAGATTTGTTAAGTATCAGATACATTGATAGCTTGCTCTCATAATCTCAGATACTAAAATTTGTTAAAATTAGCCACTGTGGGCTTCCCTGGTGGCCCAGGCAGTAAAGAATCCGCCTGTAATGCAGGAGACCTGGGTTCGATCTGAGGGTTGGGAAGATCCCCTGGAGGAGAGCATCGTGACCCACTCCAACATTCTTGCCTGGAGAATCCCCATGGACAGGGGAGCCTGGTGGGTTACAGTCCATCGGGTCGCAGAGAGTCGGACACGACTGAGCGATTGAGCAGCAGTGGTTAGTTTGCCTGTGCTGAGGAGGAGTGCAGTGATGCACTGAAGTTTTCCCTGAAACTCAGACCACTTGAGTGGATGGGTGCTAAGCAGGGAACATCTGGACTGGCCGTGGCATGTGCACTCATGGTGGGCAGCATGCCGTTTTCATGCGATTTTAATGAGTCTGGCATAAGCGTCTGAATTCCATAGACTGTTAACAAATCATACAAATTTCCTTTCAACAAGATAACGAGATGGTCTTAAGCAGTGACTCTGTAATCAGAGGACGTTGAGAAAGCTTCATACTGCAAGGCTGGAGTCCTGGGGTGTGGCCTGGCAGAGGGTCCTGACTCGTAGTTTACACAGCTCATGCTGTGAGAGGGGTAGTTTTTGAGGGGGAAAACCAAAAGCTTTAGATCTTTTGCTGAATCATTTTAATGTGTTTCTAAAGCAAACAAGAAACATCTGTAAAAAAGGTAAGAATAACACTGAATGGTGTGGCGCCTCCACTATTGTGCAGTTCTTTGCTTTATTGAAGTTCCTTTGCAGCTCGCTTATGATTGATGCCTTTTTTGGGGGAAGAGATCTGTGAAACGTGTTTTGGATGAAATTTCACAGTGCTAGCAGCTAGCACGTTGAAATATCTTTTTAAGGTCACCAGGTTTAAGGCTTAGAATCCTTTTTATGATTGAAGGTGCATCTTTTACATTTAAAGTTATACCTAAGATCTATTTCCAACTTTCACTGTGGGACATGTTTCCAGATCTTGGCAAAGGTCTCTCTATAACTACTCTGTAGAAAGAGCTTTTTTCTAACAGGTTAGTGAGATGGAGAGACAAAGCTGACACTTATCCTTGTTTCACTCAAGACCACGATAGGAGGACGGCAGAACAGTGTGCTCCTGCAGAAGCTGAAGCCTGACACTCCTTACACCATCACCGTGTCCTCCCTGTATCCGGATGGCGAAGGTGGTCGCATGACAGGAAGAGGCAAGACCAGTAAGTGAACCCAGAATCCTGTGGCTTTAAAAACAAAAAAATTTAATTCATTTATTTACTTTTGGCTTTTTTGGGTCTTTGATGCCGCTTGGGCTTTTCTCTACGTTTGGTGAGCGGGGGCTGCTCTCTATTTGCAGTGCTCAGCCTACTCATTGAGGTGGCTTCTCTTGCTGCAAAGCACCAGGCTCTAGGGCTTGTGGGGTTCAGTAGTTGCAGCTTCCAGGGTCTGGAGCACAGGCTCAATAGTTGTGATGTGTGTGCTGAGTTTCTCCGTGACATGTAGGATCTTCCCAGATCAAGGATCGAACCCATGTCTCCTGCATTGGCAGGTGGATTCGATACCACTGGGCCACCAGAGACGCCCAGTCCTGTGACTTTAAATAACCTTTATGGAAATGGAATCATATCTTTCTCTGGAAACCCTGGGGTGACACAGAGCTTTGCTAATCTTTTCAAATGCATGTTGAAAATGATCTCAATTGTTTTTAATATCCTTGCAATTCTCTGTCTCTGTTCAGGGAAAAAAGACGTCTATAATCACTCTCTCAGTTCAGTTCAGTCGCTCAGTCGTGTCTGACTCTGCGACCCCATGGACTGCAGCATGCCAGGCCTCCCTGTCTATCACCAACTCCCAGAGCTTGTTCAAACTCATGTTCATTGGGTCGGTATTATTCTCTAGGATAAAGCAAATAAAAACTGCCTTGGAGCCAAAATATCTCTGGAGAGATGAGAGACATTCATCAGACGATCACAGACATTCTTTCATTTATTCACTACTTTGACAAATATTTGTGGGGTGCCTACTATGGGGGACCTGCTGTGTTCTAGGGTTCCTGGGAGACATCAGGGAACCTGTGTTTTGTGTGTGCCTGGTTGTTCGCATCACACCGTGACTGTGTGTGTGTTTCAGAACCTTTGAATACCGTGAGGAACCTCAGAGTGTATGACCCTTCCACCAGCAGTTTGAACGTTCGCTGGGACCACGCCGAGGGCAATCCTCGCCAGTACAAGCTCTTCTATGCACCCACAGCAGGGGGGCCGGAGGAACTGGTAATTATTTCCTGTAGGGAAGAATGTGTGTTTGTTTCAACTGCAGCCAAATGGTTGCAAAGTAGAGCTAAAGAGTTAAGCATTTACCTTAGAGTCTAAGAAGTTCATATTCATTTAGTAGAACTTGACGGAGGCTAGTAGGTTGGTGTCTCAGTGCCTGGGTGATTGGGGAGTTTTGGGGACAGAGAATTGGAGCTAAGGGAAGTGATAATTCCAGGGAGTTCTAGGAGAGAGTCTAGGATTAGTGTAAGAAGTCTTCTCAAATAGTTCGTCTGGGGGCACATCATTCTGTCCCAGTATTTCCGAACTTGCTTCTTGACTTGGTCTTGAGTGATTATATTGAGTATTGTGTCATTCGAAGCATTATTTCCTTTGCAAGTTTTTCAAATCAAGTACTTTACATTTTATTAAAATCTTTAGGTACCAATCCCTGGGAATACCAATTATGCCATTCTTAGGAATCTGCAGCCAGATACCCAATACACCGTTACAGTGGTGCCTGTTTATTCTGAAGGTGATGGAGGACGCACATCAGATACTGGAAGGACCTGTAAGTAAGAAGGCAGAAAATGTAGCTCTTTCATGATACACTTTGCTTCTCAATGTAAAGGCCATATAGGCACATTAAAGAATATTTGGAAAATTCATGATAGAATAAAAATGTAAAAGTTACTCATAGTTTGTCATTCAAATACCACCAACTGTTAATATTTTAGTGTATAAAACAGAAAAGTTATAATGGCATTCTTCTTTTCAAATGGTAATTTCAGAATTTATACATGTGTATATAATGGTCCGTATTCTGTTTCACTGGCAAAAATTCATGAACTTTGCTTTGTGCTTTATAAATTTATTTGGAGCAGTATTTTGTAACTGGCTTTCACAGTGTCAATTTTTGAAATCTGTTCGTCACATTACTTAATCGCACATTTCTTTGGTTTGCTGATGAAGTGCTCTTTGGCATTGAAAAGCTGAGTGCTTTCATTTGCCATTAACATCCTGAGAAACCAGTTTATAGTGGTTTTACAATTCTTTGTAGTATTGCTTAAAGGCTTTAGGGCATACCTATAAATATTTCTTTGGCTTTAAAAATACACTTGCTGATGGCTAAAAGAGAGCAAGTTCGGATGACTTCTTTTGGCAAAAGATTAGTGGTCTGGAAAGATGATGATATTGGCTAAACTAGAATTTGGGGTTAATACATGGATTTAATTTGAATGTTTTTCTAAGACCTGGTTGAGGCAGTTAACTGAGAACTGACTGTATCTTTTCTCCTTCCTTTTGCCTTTTATTTTAATCACAGAAGACATTCAGTATCGATTTGCTGAATGAGAAGAAATGAATGGGTGAAGATAGCTATTTGGAATTAGATGGCTTCATCCGTGTTGCCAGGTTTCCCTTAGAAGGCAGAGTTATAAAATCATCTCTCTCTCCAGTACCTGTGTTGGAAAACTGAGGCTTCTTTTCAGTTTCTTGTTGCTTGTCTGTTCTTTTATGGCCATGAGTGCTCAGGCACTTGGTCGTATACTATTCTTTGTGACACCATGGACTGTAGCCCACCAGGCTTCTCTGCACATGGAATTTTCCAGGCAAGAATACTGGAGTGTTTTGCCATTCCTTCTCCAGGGGATCTTCCCGACCCAGGGATTGAACCCACGTCTCTTGCGTCTCCTGCATCGGCAGGTGGATTCTTTACCACTGAGCTACCTGGGAAGCCTGTTTTATGGCCAACCCAGTACTATTGCTTTTACTTGCTTGTTTTTATTGGCAACAACTTTGCTTCCCTATAGACCAAAGACATAGTTGGCTAACTTGGACTACATTTGGATTTGAAAATTTTTAACCTGCTTTTGTGTGTGGATAATTAGACGTTTAAGGAGGACAATATTTTATCCTATTGGAGAGTGGAAGTTCTGGAGAAGTGATAACAAAAACTCGACATAGATAAACAAACATAAGAAATATGTGTTGGCTTTTCTTTCCTCAGTGGTGAGAGGGCTGGCGAGAAATGTCCAAGTGTACAATCCAACACCAAACAACCTGGACGTTCGTTGGGACTCGGCACCTGGCCCAGTGCAGCAGTATCGCATTGTGTATTCACCTCAGGATGGTACAAGACCCTCCGAATCTGTAAGTCCTGCTGTTGCCTTAGAACTTGGCCAAAGAATGCTGCGGATTTCACTGTATCTCCAGCTTTAGTAGTTGCTGGCCCTGGGCAATAAGTCAGTTGGTGTGGCACTGGGTCTCCTGGAAACTTCCTTTCTTGATAAGCTTGATCTCATGTTTGTGTCCTGGTTGGTTGCCTGTGAGAATGCAAGCCATAGACAAGCCTGCATGTAATGCTTAAATGATTGCTTTTGATGAATTAAAGTATTACCTATAGGGTTAGTTAGCAAAAATGAATTTTATTGTAAAAATGAGAATTAGCTATATAAGTTAAAAGCCCCAGTAGTTAATGCAAATCATTGTTCAGTTCAGTTCAGTCGCTCAGTCGTGTCTGACTCTTTGCAACCCCTTGAATCGCAGCACGCCAGGCTTCCCTGTCCATCACAAACTCTGGTAGTTTACTCAAACTCCGTCCAGTCATCTCATCCTCTGTCGTCCCCTTCTTCTCCAGCCCCCAACCCCTCCCAGCATCAGGGTCTTTTCCAATGAGTCAGCTCTTCATATGAGGTGGCCAAAGGATTGGAGTTTCAGCTTCAGCATCAGTCCTTCCAATGAACACCCAGGACTGATCAATATGGGCTTTTGTTATAACATACGCATGCCTTTGTTAAGAAAATACTTTGTTAAAGTTTGTCTCCATTGGCTCTTAACAGATTGCCCAATCTATCTTCAATTCATAGTACTGTGCTTTTTTTTTTTTAAAGTAGATTAGTAGAGATCAGAAATTACTAATTTGACTACAAATATGGGCTTCCCGGGCGGTGCAGTTGGTAAAGAATCCACCTGCCAATGCAGAAGACACTGAGATGTGGGTTTGATCCCTGGGTCAGGAAAATCCTCTGGAGTGGGAAAGAGAAACCCACTCCAGTATTCTTGCCTGGAAAATTCCATGGGCAGAGGAGCCAGGTGGGCTACAGTCCACGGGGCAGCAAAGAGTCAGACATGACTGAGTATGCACACATTGTCAGATCCTATGGGAAAGTAAACTTATAAGCTAATTTAATTTATAAGTCTTTACAAAATAAACAGTGATGATGAAGAAAGATTAAACAAATGAGCAATGGCTGTGTTCTGTAAGAATATTGATTTGCATGTCCCTGTGTGTATGGTGTATATTCAGACAACTTTGCCCTTACCCATTGAATGGAGTTGCTATTTTAATAGAAAACCTTTGCCCCGTCAGTGTGTGTGTGTGTGTGTGTGTGTGTAAGTGTTGCTTCTCTTATGTGTACCTAACATTCGGGACACTTTTGGTTAACTGTCATGAGCCCTGGATGTTGTATTTGAGAATCTTTTACCATGAACATAAATAGGAGATAATTGAAGTTAGTAAGGGTCCCGTGTGAACTAACTTTTTTTGGAGAGGAAATTTCTGAGGCTAAATTGCATCGAATGCTATGGCTTGGGCATATCCCACGAGGTAGCACAGAAGTCGGCTTCTGCTGTATTGGGCTCCACTTTCGTTGTAAACGTTATTTTGCTGACTAATGAAAGACTTAGTAAGTGTTTGGGTTGTCATCAGACAGAATCTGGCATGTCCTCCCCTCCAGATTGTGGTGCCAGGAAATACCCACACGGTGCACTTGGAGCAGCTGATTCCGGACACGCCCTATTCTGTGAACATCGTGGCGCTCTACTCGGATGCAGAAGGGAATCCCAGCCCTGGCCAGGGCCGCACATGTGAGGCGCAAATCCTTTCTCCACTGGGTTCTTTTGTGACTCAGGCTGGGTGGCCTGGGGGGGTGTGGGTGGTGAGTGAGGGGTGCTGGGAGCTGCCTAAATGAAGCATGGATAGCTATGAATACAGCATTTTCTACTGTTTCTGGTTTCACATGAGAACCCTAGATGTCTATTCCATCATAAGGGAGTAAGCAACTCAGAGAGTGGTGAGGTACCTGCCCTGGGGACGTTTCTTTCACACCCACCCCCACCACGTTCACCATGATGACAGACTGGAAACTAACTGTTGCATTTATTTATTTAGTACCACGAAGTGGACCAAGAAACCTCAGAGTCTTTGGGGAGACCACCAACAGCCTCTCAGTAGCCTGGGATCACGCTGATGGGCCAGTTCAACAATACAGGATCATTTATTCTCCCACTGTTGGTGACCCGATTGATGAATATGTGAGTCTGATTCTCATTCACCTGAGCATTTTATTTTGTAGTCTCTTACCTGTTGAAGGGTGAACTTCAACTTTCCTCTTTAGGAAGTCCTGTGATCACAGTTGCATTCTTGTCTCTTGTGAGACGGTCACATTTTGTATGACTTTCTCTGGTGTGATATTGGAGCAGCTGCCTGTGCCTAGCATGGCCTCCCCCACCGCAGCCTATCAGTGTCTTTGGGCTCATTTCTTTTCTAAAGACAGGTTGAAAGATTTGTCTTCTCTAATATAAATGTGTATATTTTTATCCTATCATGAATTTTCCAAATATTCAGGTAATGTGACTCTTTAAATCTTAACCTTGCTTTAAATATAATTTCTCCACAATATCTCCCTTCGATTGTTGCTGTTTAGTCGCTAAGTCATGTGTGACTCTTTACAACACCATGGACTGTAGCCCACCAGACTCCTCTGTCCTTGGGTTTCTCCAGGCAAGAATACTGGAGCGGGTTGCCATTTCCTTCTCCAGGGGATCTTCCTGACCCAGGGACCGAATGCATTTCCTACACTGGCAGGCAGGTTCTTTCTCCCTGAGTCAGCAGGCTAATCAAGCGGTCTTTTCTCTGAATTGAACATTTTTGGGTACACTTTAGTTTTTAAGAGTACATACTCTCATTTTAGTCTTAAACTTTTTGAGTGTTGTATTTTGTCACTCTAGAACCCAATTCAAGTTTCTTCAAGCTTCTTCCTAGTTCACAGTATGTATATCCATCTATGACAGAGGGATGAACTCACTACTTTCTTTAAAGTTTAATGGTTAATTGATGTGATAGGTTAGTAGAATATGACACAGAATGTTGATTGTAAGGCAGTGAAGTCTGTGCTTTGTAGCCATTTTGTAACATGTATCTTCTTTGACTCAATGGACATGAGTTTGAGCAAACTCCGGGAGATGGTGAAGGACAGGGAAGCCTGGCATGCTGCAGTCCATGGGGTAGCAAGGAGTTGGACATGGCTTAGTGACTGAAAAACAGCAATTGTCTTTGATAGTTCTTCTTTCATAATCCCCATGTTGTATCATTTGTTATCTATTTGAACTTGAAATATTAAACTCGAATTCAAGCCCCTGTTTTTATTAATCAGAAAGTCACATAACTGTCTTTGTTTCTGCTCAAGATGAGATAAGCAGTATTACCACACTTAGTTTGCTAAAGCAGAGAGGCTCATGCTTTAGTGTTTATTCAGCTTTGCCACGGACAAATATGCAATTTCCTGTCTTTTTCTGAAGACACTAAAAATGTAATTTCCCCCCACTTCACCATTTGGATTTAGGGGACACCATGCTGGAATTCACTGGTCTAAGTGATCCCTGTTGTTTGTAGAAGCAGAGCATAGGGTTGGAAGAGAGATTGAGAGCTCTGTCTTCATTTCCTCTTCATGGCGGCAGTTGAATGCATCTTCCATTTCCTCTTTTTCACCTAGCTAATATCAGCCAAACTGATCCTCTTGAGGACAGAACCTGGGTCTCCTTTTGCTCCCTGATGTGCTCCCATGGCGGGTGTCACGCCTGGCCCGTGGTGGGCCCGGGTGCATGTGTGTGGAGGGGGCACCATAAAACTGCCACAGAGGGGTGGGTGAGAAAGGACGGGCACAGCGGTGCATGGTCACGTGTGTGCGAGATGCTGCCTTTCTTTCTCAAGGCTTCCTTCCTTCCGAGAGGCTGAGCCACAGGACAGGGACGTGGCTGATGTAGGATTTGAGCTGAGATGTACCTGACTCTAAAACCATTCCCCTTGCTGTTTGGCTGCAGGGAAGACAGTTTGCCCCACTGTGAACACTGTACAACAAGAAGGAACCAGGAAGAAAACATTGCTGTTTATGGGAAAACATACTGATCTGAAAATCCTCTAGCTGGTAATAACCTCGTAATTTAATTTCCCCTGCAGACCACTGTCCCAGGCAGAAGAAACAACGTAATTCTCCAGCCCCTGCAGCCGGATACCCCCTATAAAATTACCATTATTCCCGTTTATGAAGATGGAGATGGTTCCCATTTGACAGGAAATGGAAGAACTGGTAAATGTCTTCTACCTTTCATAATCTTTAAACTTGGTGGACTTTGAGTAGCTGCATCTCAGATACTGCATTAATACTGCATCAACATTTGTACCATATATTGCATTTTGGCAAAATGATATGACAAGAGAATGTGTTTTTAACTTTTTAAAGGTCCACTAGAAGAAGGAAAATGAGACACAAGCCTGCAAATTTTTCTTTGCTTGAGACAGCTTTATCCTTTGGAAAGCCACCGGCTAGTCACTGAATAATGTTTTAGTTTGTGTGGTGTCAGTCATGGCTGTGGCTGTTAATCAATTAAGTGTCAGCAAAAAACACCATGTCACCATTGAATTTGTCATAAAAAGCAAGATGACTAGTAGTCATCTGCCTTTACAAAGTTAGGTTTTTAAAAAAATTTTTTTTCTATTGTTCAGTTCAGTTCAGTTGCTCAGTCATGTCCGACTCTTTGCGACCCCATGGACTGCAGCACGCCAGGCCTCCCTGTCCGTCACCAGTTCCCGGAGTTTACTAACTCATGTTCATTGAGTCAGTGATGCCATCCAATCATCTCATCCTCTGTCACCCCCTTCTCCCGCCCTCAATCTTTCCCAGCATCAAGGTCTTTTTCAATGAGTCAGTTCTTCGCATCTGGTGACCAAAGTATTGGAGTTTCAGCTTCAGCATCAGTTCTTCCAATGAATATTCAGGACTGATTTCCTTTAAGATGGATTGGTTGGATCTCCTTGCAGTCCAAGGGACTCTCAAGAGTCTTCTCCAACACCACAGTTCAAAAGCATCAATTCTTCGGCGTTCAGCCTTCTTTATAGTCCTAAGTCGTTTACAAAGAATTACCAGGATTCAGGTGTCTTTTCTAGCCCACATGGGTGGCGGTTTCTTATGATTTAGATTACAAGTTCTCTAGTTCAGTAGCTGGAATCACCTGAGGACCCTTAGAAAGGCTTACGCCTTGGCACCACCCACAGAGACACTGGCGTAGTCGGTCTAGATGTGGCCTGGACCTGCTGAAGTTGTAGTGCATAGCCAATGCTGAGAGTCTCTGGCTGAGCTTGGAGGCAGGCTGGCTGTCAGTATGCTGGGTTCTGTTAACTGGGTGACATTGCTAAGACTTTTTTTCCACTTCATTCAGCAAAAATCCCCTTAAGTAACATGATAATTGCTACACTTAATTGCCCAGACTCTTTCTCTGCTTAAACGATCTTGACAACATTACAGGATTTGGGAGAGGAAACATTTGAAAGCTCCAGAGAGAAAAGCGGGACCAGTGTTTTCAGCTCAGTCTCTGGAGGCCAGGAATTTGTATTTCTCGACACTTGTTGTCTACAGAACTGAGTCAACAGAGACTCTGTTTAGTGACTCAAGATAATTTTAATTGAACAATTTCCAATTTTCACTCCTGCCTGAGGTTTCAGAATATATTTAGATACTTTTCTAGAGGAAATGCCATATTTCAGAATGTTGTGCTTAATCACAGAACATGAAAAATCTCTCCTAGATCATGAGTTTTCTAGGAAGGGCCAAAGCCACTTCTGGTTTCTGTTATTAAAACAGTTTTTTAAGTTGAAGTCGTTTTGTGTGTAATGCTATGAATAATAACTCAGTGGCTGACTATCATGCTATTTCACAGCATTGCTCTTACTGGGAGTGGAGTTAGCCTGAACTCTGGAAGCCGAGGATTTTCTCTAGGTCTTGCTGGTAGAGGTTATAACGGTGCTGGGCAAGAACCTTGTTTTAGTCATTAGCTATCTGTGTAGTCTTGGACAAACCATAGTTTATTTTTGTGATAAGATGGTTGAGCTAGATAGTCTCAAAATTGCTTTTTTTTGGTCTAACAATCTTTGATCTATAACATTCAAAAACTGGTATGAGATGTATTTTAGTCTCTATGATTCTGCATCATATAACATACTGGTTCTGGAAATCACCAGTTCCTGAGTCCGTTTGATTTGCTGTTGGAATTTGGAAAATTTCCAAGCTTTCTGTTGAACATTTCAGTGCTTATTAATTGTTTTTTGGATCAGAACCTTATGGGATATATTAATATGCTTTCATGGGGCTACGCTGCCAACATTCATAGTCAGTACTCACTAAGTTCTATGCTTAATGTTTGTTAGTCCTTGTTTGTCAATAAAAGGTCAGTAATGTGTGCCAATGTTTGTTTTCAGTGGGATTACTTCCTCCTCAGAACATACACATCTCTGATGAGTGGTATACCAGATTCAGGGTGTCCTGGGATCCTTCACCCTCTCCTGTTCTTGGATATAAAATTGTGTATAAGCCAGCAGGTAAGGAAACACCTTTGTCATCTTAAATATGCATTAGAGGGTTATTTGTGTGAGGGTGTTTTTAATTGCATCCTCCATTAGATTCTCTTGATAGTTCAGTTATCACATCAAGTTCTCTCCTACCAAAGGTAACATTTCTGGAAATAGTATTTAAGCCAGTGGTTTAAAGTATTATTGTTACTATGGGTTTAGATGTTACTCCCATTAATTTGCATGACTAAGATGTCTGATCTGGTTCATAAAATTCCACAAATTGAAATTGTGTTCAGACAACCTATATGTTATTATGCTTGTGAAATGATGGGTGCATAAACAATATAAACTGTATTTCTGTATTTTTCCCATTATGTCAAGGTATTATTCCATTTGGGGCATGTGCATTTTAGTTTATTCACAACAGGCTTGCTTTTCAACTTCCCACTGACACTTTCACCTAAATGGATATCCTCTCTATTAAATTATTTGCCATCTTTGTTTCCATATTCTATCTATATGTTTAGCAAAATGGAATAAATATACTCTTTGTGCTAAATTTGCTGAGGTATCTTCCCTGTGCCCAAGAAGGGTGTGAGCCAGAAAAAGGAAAAGGAGAGAAGGCAAGTGTCAGGATATGTGAGCTGTGTAAGAAGCAAAGAGAGAACTTCAAAGTGGAGGAATGGGATGCAAGACAGATGTTCTTAAATCATCTCTACAACAGAAAAAATGTTAACTGAGTACCTAGTTAATGTTAACATAGTACCTAGAGTACTATGCTGGCAAAGTGAGGCTTTAGAGAAGAAACTTGAGAGTCTAGAGTAGTTGACTGTGTGATGATTTATTCATTAAAGGAACATTAATTGCACACATGCTGCATTCATTAGCACACATGCTAGATGTGCTACACTTTGAGAATAACAAGAAAAGGATTGTTTCTGCCTATAGTTTTGTATTCACCACATAATGTAGCATGTATTACAGGGAGCAAGTGCATAAGGGCTGTGAAATCAATAGTGTTCATACTATCGTTTAAGTCACTTGATTTTAAGAAAAAACTGAGACTAAGGATCACATATTTCCCTGTATTTTTGTGATTGTAATAAAAGGTTCCAATGAGCCCATGGAAGTCTTTGTTGGAGAAGTGACATCGTACACGTTACACAATCTCAACCCCAGCACCACCTATGACGTGAATGTCTATGCTCAGTATGATTCTGGACTCAGTGTTCCTCTGACCGACCAAGGCACGACATGTGAGTCACGTAGCTTTCTGTGGTTGTAAGAAAAGTGTCATAGAAATGATCAGGTCAGTCTGTTTTAATTTTCTTTCTTAACATGCATGTTTCCTCAGCATTGAGTAGGTAATCCTTTTGTGTCCAGCTAAACAAATACTCAGGCCATATAATCAAAATTACAAAATGTGTATGTTGAGCTATGTTTATTTCATATAAAATGCGGTTAAAATATTGAAAGATAAAAATTTTGGAAGTACTATTTCATCCATGAATAATATGTAAGATCATAGAATTGAGAACTATGTGGTTTTTCTTGACATTTGATGTTAAACACGGGCTCCACAGGAGGTTCAGTGGTAAAGAAGCCACCTGGCAATGCAGGAGACGTGAGAGACACGGTTTAGCCCCTGGTTTGGGAAGATCCCCTGGAGTAGGAAAAGGCAACCCACTCCAGTATCCTTGCCTGGAAAATTCCATGGACAAAGGAGCCTGGTGGACTACAGTCCATGTGGTCACAGAGTCACAACTGAGTGACTGAGTAAATACATACACAGTTGAAAGTTTTCATGTAAATGTCATGATTACTGATTCAGCCCACAGATAGGCTTTGTTATCATCAAATGCTTTAATGACTATTTTAAGAACTTAGCAGATAGAATTTCAGAAAAAATTCTCATAATTTTTCATGAGATCTTGGACATTCATTGTGTTGAGAGGGGCTACAGACAGACCTCGTTTTATTGCACTTGGCTTTATTGCACTTTGCAGATGCTGCATTTTCTATAAATTGAAGTTCTGTGGCAACCTGGCATGGAGAAAGTCTACTGGTGCCATTTTTCCGTCAGCATTTGCTCACTTCATGTCTCTGAGTCACATTTGGTGGTTCTTGAACTATTTCAAGCTTTTTCATTATTATTATGTTTGATATGGTGATCTGAGATCAGTGATCTTTGGTGTTGCTATTGCAAAGAGATTACAATTAGCTGAAGGCTCAGATGATGGTTAATGTTTTTAGCAATCAAGTATTTTTAATGAAGGTATGAACATTACTTTTTTTATACAAAAAGCTATTTCACACTTAATATACTATGGTATAGTATATGTGTATAGTGTATAACTTTTATATGCTCTTGGAAAGTCAAAATATTCATGTCACTCATTTACTGAACCAATATTTGCTTTATTCTGGTGGTCTGGAACCGAACCTGCAGTATCTCAGAGATATGCCTGAATGTAGAATTTCCTTCTCTTGAAAATCAGTGATAGAAAGGGAGATCCATTTTGACTGTACCATATTTTCATGTTTGTTTCATGTATATTTCTTAATAAGGAAACACTGTGAGACTTTAGGCATTATGTTTTTCTGCCACATTGAAAGTTTTAAAATTGTGCTAGGATTAGAAGTATGCTTTTTGCCTTTGTTTAGGAAGTAAGTCTGTTTCTTTCTGCCTTTCTTTTGTAGTATATTTGAATGTGACAGATCTGAAAACTTACCAAGTCGGGTGGGATACATTCTGTGTCAGATGGTTGGCTCATCGAGCAGCTACTTCCTACAGACTAAAACTAAGCCCTGCAGATGGTACGTGTACAAAACAAAACAAAACAAAACAAAAATACCTGGAGCACATAGTAGTCACATTTTAAACTTTAGTAAAGATGCTATTTTGGTTATAAAACGATACATCAAAATGCCTTTAAATATAACTACTGACAATGCTGGCATTGTCCTACCCAGGAACCAGAGGGCAGGAAATCACAGTGCGTGGATCAGAAACCAGTCACTGCTTCACCGACCTGTCACCAGAAACTGATTACAGCGTCACCGTCTTTGTGCAAACACCAAATCTTGAGGGACCAGGTGTCTCGGTCAAAGAACGTACTAGTAAGTGCTTGAGTAATCTGGGGATTCTCCGTAAGGCTTCAGAATAGGATGCTCTGGGTGCGGGAGGCTGAAGTGACTCCTACGTGGACACTTCTTGTGAGCAGCAATAGTGACGTGATGGCAGATCCTTGAGGTGGGGTCTGTGGTCGGCTCAACACCCTTATCTGCAGCAAACCTGTGCTGCCCCTGTTAGGCTTGGAATAATCGTAAGGAAAGACCTCAAGGAGGGAGCTGGCTCTAGCAGACAGTGAGAAGGCGAATATGTGTTGCATTAGTGACCTTTGCCCATTCTCCCTCTGATTCTGGGCTTCAGTCCCTGCTGCAGTCAATACTGAGTGTCTGCCAATGGTACCAAATTTGGACGAAATGGAACTCCCAGCGTCAGTGCCAGGGAGACCTAATTTGTTGTTGAGGGCTTAAATGGCCCTTATGATTTACTCTCTGTGATGTGAAATATGCACTTGTTGTGGTTTTCTCATTATTCTTTTAAATTCTAGCCTTAAAACCAACAGAAGCCCCTACAGAGCCACCCACACCCCCTCCTCCTCCTACAATTCCACCAGCCCGGGAAGGTAAGTGATGCTGTCAAGTCAATGCATTCAGCTGATGGGGACTGAGATCCTTCTTACTTATGCAGCCTGTGCATCATTTACAGTTGCTATAGGACATTTCTGATTTATTATTCCTGCTGAAGCGTTTTTCGATCAAAGGCAAAGATTACCAGTCATTGGCTCTTCCCCTGCTCCAGACACATTTTAGTGTGACTAAAATCAATCATAAACCCCTGCAGCTCTTCAGTGGAACTCTGTTTCCTCAATTTTGCAGATGAAGGTCTAGTGATGCCTTATATAATCCATAGTCACATGGTGGGCATTTCTTTCTTTTGGCTGTTGGCATCAACAAGCACTGGGAACCTTTGGGGCTAAATCTGCAATGTAACTCCTGTGGCCTTTGACTTTGGAATTCCTGGCTTCTGACCTGAGAGGCCCTGGATTACACAAAGCTGAAAAATTTCCATTCACCAAAGTTGGAGACATAATTGTCACTTGCAGAGAACTGATAAAAAGACATATACTGAGCTATTCCTACTGGTCTCTCTGTAATTTGGGGCAGTGCTCAGCGTTTCATCCAGTTAAGTTTCAGGTGACAGAGGATGAGATGGTTGGATGAGTCATGGACATGAGTTTGAGCAAGCTCTAGGAGGTAGTGAAGGACAGGAAAGCTGGCGTGCTGCAGTCTGTGGGGTTGCAGAGTCGGACACAACTGAGCCACTGAATAGCAAATTAACTACTGGTTTATTCTTTTCCTACATTCTGTTTCCAGCATTTAACTGAAAGCATTTCAGACTTTAAAGGTTTTTTTTTTTTTTTTTTAATCCTGGAAGACTTAGAAGGCTATGATATTATCTTAGCCTTTTTGATATGATTTTATCAAGTCTATTAAAAAAGTAAAATTAAAAGTGTATTATTATAGGATAAAATAGTAATGAGTTTCTTTAAGTTAAACTTTTGAAAGGAATTCAATAAGTAATTTTGGCTTAAAGACATGCTAAGGTCTGAATAGACGTTAAATTTTATTTTAGAGCAGTTAAATTTTAGAGCAGTTTTAGGTTCATAGCAAATTTGAGCTGAAAGTACATGTAGGTTCCAGAAATGCCCTACCTCCTCCCATCCAAACCTCCCCCAACCCTCAACATCCCCCTGCTGCCAGAGTGGTATGTTTATTACATCCTGTGAACCTATATTGGCACATCATTATCATCCAAAGTCCATACTTACATTAGGATTCATGCTTGGTGTTAAATATTCTGCACATTAAATTTTTGTCACTAAAACGTTGTTAAATTCTTATTTTCAGAATTTTTTTAATCCTTCAAGTCTAAAGATTTAAAGATGTTTATTTTATTCCCCCCCCTTTTCCTCCTTCCATATGATTCTAGTGGCTTAAGTTAAAATTTAAAAGACCTTATCTGCATCAAGTCTTTGATAATTATATATAGAATCTCCAAACCCACCGATGACTCAAGTTCTGTGAATAATTGTTTTTCATTTGATTTCCTCCACATTTATTGTTTGAAGCTCTTGAATTATTCTATATGGTGGGAGTTTGTGTTTGCAGAGTGAATGAGAGCAGGTGGAGTAATTCTAGAGCAGAGATTGAGAGCACTTCTCAAAGGTTCCTGTTCACTCGAATCATCTGGCACGTTGTCACTGTGGATTCTGATTCAGGAGTCTGGGGTGGGGCCCAGCACTCTGCATTTCTATCAAGTTCCCACATGATGCCGTTACTGCTGGAACCACAGGGGAATAGCAGGGTGTTAGATTACATTTCTCAGTTTTGAAACTTCACTTGAATGAAAGAATTTATGAGATTTGGGGCTTCTTTTGTGTTTTCTCCCCCAGTGTGCAAAGGGGCCAAAGCAGATATTGTATTCTTGACCGATGCTTCCTGGAGTATTGGGGATGATAATTTTAACAAAGTTGTAAAATTCATCTTCAATACCGTGGGAGGCTTTGATGAAATCAGTCCTGCTGGAATTCAGGTGGGTGTCGTTTCAAAGGTTATTCATCTGTAATGTCTTGCTGTTTCCTCCAGACTTCTTAAGTACAAAGACTTTTCAGTATAAACTCCATTTTGATTTTGGTTTCTATTCTCTTTACACATATGCTTTTGGAAAGGGCTTGGGTGTAAATAACAAAATGAATAGAAAAAATAAGTATTCCTCTAGGCATACTCTTGGCTAAATGATGTTCTTGTTGAAGAATTTAGGGAATTCTAACTGTTTTGCAGCCTAAAACTTCTGACAAGGATCCGTTTTCACAAAAGATCATTTTGTATTCTGGAAGTTAAATGCATTGTAACTGTCCTACCCTGTTAACTTAGAAGATCCAGGGATGATTAGTGACTGGTGGAGGTGTGGAACCCTGCTGTCCCCTCTGTCATGACACTCAGGGCCAGTGGCTCTGTTACTTATAATTCAGATTCTGCAACCTTGAAGACCCACTTCAATTCCACCCTTTCTGGAGAAGTTTCCTTGACAGTCTTAGGCATTCCAGACTCCTGAAGGGTTCTGTTCGTATTGCTCTTGTGGCCCATACCACTTTATATTGTCATTATTTGTGTGTTTCTCTGCTGTCTAAATCATTGACCCCTAAAGGCAAGAGACTGTTGTTTTATTATTTTTTTGGAATTTTGTTCTTTCCTTCCACATTTCTCTTGGTGAGTTTTCTTCTTTATTTTGGCTGTTTGTACCTCTTCATTGTGACATCTTAGAGATGTTATGAAAATAAGAGCTTTTGATATAAACCACAAATAATTCTGCAAACAAATCATGTCTTCTTTTATGGAATAATGTTTTATGGAATATATTAAATTTCAAATCCCCAAATAATCCTGTGGATGTTATTCCAACCCAAGATGAGTAAAATGTCAGGCTAGTTATGTTCTTAATTTAATGTATCAGCAACTAAGCCATTTAAAAAATCCTCTTAGAAATTAAGATTTCTGATAAAATATAAGAATAAAAAAGCTACCATATTTTATTAGCTTCTATGTGCCAGCTACTTAGTATATATGATTCTTCTTTAAAATGACTGTAGAAAGTAAGTATAATTATTTCCATTTTACTGATTAAAAAAACAAAGACCCAGAGATGTTGGGAACTTGCCCAATGTCACAGAGCTATTAATCGGCAGAGTTTTGATCCCATTGATCCTGTGCATAAAGCCTATAATCTTTCTACTAAATCACACCACCACCGACTTTGTGATGAGTGATGATTATTATCACACATGTGCCATTTTAATGTTACCATGAAGAGTAGATTTAGTCAGTAGAAGTGAGAAACAATTGCTTAGCCAACATTTGAGCTCAAGATCGTATGTTCGCGTTTCTCATCCTGGAACCTCACTGCTTTCTGGCTTCACGTATCCCTTCTTGCATCCTGGACAATAAACACACTGCATGTACTTTATCAGTTATCAATTACTGACACTTTTATGAAGATCAGAAATTCGAGAATTTAGTGAGATAATGGTAGTCAGTGTTATAATATTAGCTATAAAGTGTTTATAATATTTCATCAGGTCTAATCCACTTCTCTTTCCCATTCTACAACTAGAGGAATCATTTGAAAACTGAAACATAAAAAGAGTTGACTTACCCTTACCACCAAACTGCCTTTCCTTTCAGGTCTCATTTGTGCAGTACAGTGATGAGGTCAAGTCTGAGTTTAAGCTGAACACATACAACGACAAGGCCCTGGCCCTGGGGGCTCTCCAGAATATTCGGTACAGAGGAGGAAACACAAGAACAGGTACCGCTCATCAGCATGTATTTAGACTTTCACTCTCCAAAGCCTTTGGAGTGATGGGCTGAGTATAACTCTAACATTCAAATTCTTACCAGCTGGGTGTGACTAAGGGCATTTGGATAGTTTTTACTGATATGACACGAACATGTTCCATGCCACATTCTACAGGCAAGGCTCTGACCTTTATCAAGGAGAAGGTGTTGACCTGGGAGAGCGGCATGAGGAAGAATGTCCCCAAAGTGCTGGTTGTGGTCACGGATGGTCGGTCGCAGGATGAGGTCAAGAAGGCAGCTTTGGTCATCCAGCAGTCAGGTAAGCACAGGCATACATTTGACACCCAGGGATGGCATACATTTGACGCCAGGGATTGCCCTCGTTTATTTTACAGTTTCAAACATTCAGAAATGCTTGCAAAAGACCAAAATTATGGATTTTACTTTATTGTTTCTCTTTGACTCTATCCTCCTCCACACCCTTCTAATGTTAGTTTACATTTAATCATGGAACAGTTGGATAATTGCTCAGCAATGACATGGTGTATTCTTTGTGTAAGACATGCATGCCTCAAGGTCTGTCCCCCATAGTGGTTGGAAGGCTACAGACAGCAGTGATGGGATGATCCTCAAGCAGGCTTCCTGCTGTAGCAGAAGTAAATCTTGGTGTTGGTTCAACCCACTCTAAGGAGGGACATAGGTTTAGCATGACCTGGTAGACTCACGCCCCAAACAGGTTGCTGGAAGGTTCACTGCAAAGGAGCGGAGAGGCGTCTGGGGAGACGCGATCCTGGCGATCAAACATTTTGAAAGCCTGTAGCAAGGATGTTACATTGCCTTTCAGATTAGTCATGTCAGATGATTAGAGATGAAACTAGATCTTTATAGTACTTGAGTTAACAACCTCACTCCTTCAGGCAGGGTCCAAGGTGGACATATTTTAGAGAGAATTCTATGCTATGCATGATTTACTGTGGTCTAAATTGTGAAGTGCTTCATTACATGGAGTTTGTCATCTGCACATGTGTGGGTCTTTGGCTAAAATTCTGAGTCATTATTAGTACTAAGTCATACTGTCTTCTTACAATAAAGACCATTCTATGTACTGGTGTTTCTATAAATTATTTCCATTGTGGTTAGGCACTTTGAACAGATTTCTTCATATGTTGGGCTCCTCGCTGATTTAACTTTGGGGTTATGAATGACTGCTCCTCAAGTTATCTTGTTTCTAGCTAATTATGTAACCAGTTCTTTATGTAGCCTATTTTTCCTGCTGTCACATTAAACTTTTGGAGTGAAAACTTTGTTTACTTGTATTAGCCTAAATAAATGAAAGTTTATTGCCACTGGCAGTTGTAGATTTCATTTTGAAAGTGGTCAAAGTGCTGACTTTGAGCCTGAGTTTATTGAGTAAATTAGTTTCAGGAATTCAGTTTAAAATGGGCCTATTGTTGGTTTCTGAGTCACATCAGCTTAAAATGCTGATGTTGCCTAAGACGTGTAGAATTAATGGGTATGTTAGGATGTGTGGAAGGAAATGAGTGCTACATTAAGTCATTTTGTTATTAAAATGTTCACCTTTTAATTATGAAGATTTTATTTTAGGAAGTCCAATTAATTGCATTTTTTATTAATGGGTATGTTAGGATGTGTGGAAGGAAATGAGTGCTACATTAAGTCATTTTGTTATTAAAATATTCACCTTTTAATTGTGAAGATTTTATTTTAGGGAATCCAATTAATTGCATTTTATATTAATGGGTATGTTAGGAGGTGTGGAAGGAAATGAGTGCTACATTAAGTCATTTTGTTATTAAAATGTTCACCTTTTAATTGCTAAGATTTTATTTTAGGAAATCCAATTAGTTGAATTTTATAAGCCAGACAATAGGAAAAAGTGTATATTAATTAAGGAGACTTTATGTCAGTTGAAAGAACTTGATGCATAAGCTGAGAAAGTTTGGCATCATGTCTGATGAGATTTTATTTTCAGTTGTTTAGGCCCTAAAGGAGGCGCAGAAGTCTGTGTAATTCTATGAACATTGCTCTGCAGGGTTCAGTGTCTTTGTAGTTGGTGTGGCTGATGTCGACTACAATGAACTTGCCAACATAGCCAGCAAACCAAGCGAGCGGCACGTGTTCATTGTGGATGACTTCGAATCTTTTGAGAAGATAGAGGACAACCTCATCACATTTGTGTGTGAAACTGCCACTTCAAGTAAGTCATGGTCCATATGGATCCATAGTGTCCCGTGTTTTGAAAAATAACTACTGAGTAGACCATTCCTTAACCAAGATCAAGTCTGTGCATAAATAGATCCTGGGAAACCACTTGAGAACCTGATGAATCACTGGTCCTATTGAGGTCATGCTAACTGTGTGCTTGTCAGAGGTCCATTTTTAGTCTTGAAGATGCAATATTCCTTGTATGGAAATAAAATGTTGGTATATATCCTTTTCCCACCATCTCAATGCCTGTGACATTTGAGAAAATGAATCTTCAACTTAGAAACGCATTTATAGAAGCATTTCTGTGAGATGAAGGTTTTCCCTGTTAGTAATCAATTGGTATTTGTTCTGTCAACATCTGTGCTTCACGAGAGCCATGAAAAAACAGCCTTATGTGAGTGTGCCCTGTAGAAATGCACTTGGTTCTCATTTGTTTCTTTGGGTATATTCATGGTATACTGTAGACCTCCAGTTTAACTTTTAAGATACAGTGAAGGACAAAAGATTTAAATCCATTTGTCCTCCTCCCCATTCATGAACTCTGATTTTTGGAGTATTAGATTAAGGAGATAGTTGAGTGGCTCATCTAAACCCCTAATCCCAGGCAGGGCTGTGTTTTTTAAGTGTTGTGTTTTCCCCTGTTAAACATTATATTAGACTCTCAGAACTCTGGTTCGAGGCAGCGGAAGTAAACAAATGTCAGTGGCTTACTGTAAAAATTAACGCTGAAGCTCAGAATGGAGCTGCCATCATGAAAGTGAGCGGGAGCAGCAGCTGCTCCGTCCATTCCAGGGGGTCCTGCATGCAACCCTCCCTGTCCCAGCTCCGGGCCCCAGGTTGAGACCCCCTGCACTCCTACCCCTGGACGGTTCAGTGATGAGCACGAGCCTCCAGCGTTTGGCCGAGAAGAGGATTGACTGGCAACAAATTCCTCCTGCCCTTGCACAAATTTAAAGTTCCTTGGGCAAAATGTTCTTTAATCCATCGAAAAAATATATAAATTTCCCCCTTTAATTCTATCTTACCAATCTTAAGAACATTGTAAAATTCCAGGTGGACTGGAGATGGTCCAGAAAACATTCCACTGCTCAATAGTATGATTTCCCCTACAAGTTGAAAATCTAGACAAAACCACTTAGAAGAGGTTTGATTGTTGTGTTTTATAAATGAATGAACAGTTTTGTTACTTGCAGTATATATGCAGTGCTTTCTGTGCGTGTATAATGTTGGTATTCCTTGGTGAGCTGTACTTAAACAACACTGTATGTTGCAGGTTGTCCTCTCATTTATTTGGACGGCTACACCTCGCCAGGTAAACATTCATACTCTTGGGCTAATTTATTTTAGGATTTAAGCAATAAGATAATTCAGATAACCTCATTGCAATATTTTCTGTTCTGATGTGAAGGTTTTAAGATGCTTGAGGCATACAATCTGACAGAAAAGAATTTTGCTTCTGTGCAAGGGGTCTCCCTGGAATCCGGCTCTTTCCCCAGCCACTCGTCTTACAGGCTCCAGAAGAATGCCTTTGTGAGCCAGCCCACAGTGTGAGTCTGACAGCTGGAGGGTCTCTTTCTTACCATGGGCCGGGGGCTTTTCGGAGGTTCTTAGAGTCTTTGCTAACGTAGCACTCTGGTATTTTAGAATTGTCGGAAAAGTTGCATGGATGACCTGATTTAGTTTCCTTGAGTCCAGTTGGGTTGTGTGTGTGTGTGTGTGTGTGTGTGTGTGGGTGTGGGTGTTGTGTGTGTTCAGTTGCTCAGTCATGTCCGACTCTTTGGGACCCCATGGTCTGTAGCCTGCCAGGCTCCTCTGTCCTTGGGATTCTCCTGGCATGACTACTGGCCATTTCTTCCTCCAGAGGATTTTCCCAACCCAGGGACTGAACCTGTGTCTCCTGCATCTCCTGCATTGCAGACAGATTCTTTACCACTGAGCTATCAGGGAAGCCCCACAGCTGAGTTAAGGGTCTTTTATCGGGTCACGTGGGAGACTAGTACTCAAGTCTGCTACTCTGAGAATCTCATCCTGTGTCTGCCACATGATGGATTACTAAATCCTTTTGAATTTAAGGCTAGGACTGTAGTTATGCATCTTCTAAGGGAGATTATTTAAGCAGGGAGGCATCTTCTTCTCTTGAACGCTTCTCCGTGGGTGCAGAGGGGCTGGATGGAATCAGTGCAGAATGGGAACAGGCATTCTTCCTAGAGTTTCTGACTCCAGAAGATGAAAGACTGCAGCAGTCTGTCTGTGATCTGTGATCTGACAGGCGGCAGTTAGTTTTTATTGGCTGGTGCTCCGGGGACCTGTTGGGCAGCTCTAGATGTTATTTAACTTGATGAAAGTTTGTACCTGGTCCTGATAACCAAAATATGTGTTTGGCACCTTCTGGAGGGGAAAGAACACGAAGAAATAAAGTTTTCAGAAACTTAGGACAAGGTCAGATGATGATGCCTGAAATTTGAAATGCTCTTGGAAAGCTGACGGAAAATTCAGACTAAAACCAAGGCTAATTTCTTGTAAGGAAGCACAGATTGTATTGTTGTAGCGTGACCACACTGTGAGTTCCTAACTCTTTTATGGTTAACCACACTAGTTAGCAGTTTTAGGTTTTGCAGTGAACCTAAGTACCCAGTGTTTAACTGTCACCTCAAGCTATGATTCCTACATTTTCACATAAGACAGCCCACTGTCCTCTTAAGATTCAGAACTTGTGGCTGAAAGAGGCATAAAATGCAATTAAATACTTTTTTTTCATGACCATTCATTAACTATAAATGGAGAAAAATGGGCTAAGTGACTGATGAATTTATATGGAGAAGATATTATTTTTAATGTGGAATATTATGAAGATTCCATGGACAGAGGAGCCTGGCAGCCTATAGTCCATGGCTTGGCAAAGAGTTAGATACGACTGAGCAACTCTCACTTCACTTCATTATGACCATAGTTGGTTTTTGAACATATAAAAGACATTGTGTCAGCTTGCCCAGAACATATGCTTTAAGAAGGAGGGCATTACAAAGTATTGAGCAGAGTTCCCTCCCTGTACAGATGGGAAAAGAATTTAAAAAAGAGAGGCTCTATGTATTTGTATAACTGATTCATTTTGCTGTACACCAGAAGCAAATACAGCATTGCAAATAAGTATATACCAAATAAAAACTGAAAAAAAAATGTAGGCCAGCATTATATTCCAGAAGCGCCAGCACTGTGGTACACTGAGGCTCAAAGCCCCAAGAGCCGTTCTGGGCCCTGTGTCAAAATCTGTGGAGCAGTTGCTTCTCTTCTGTCCATGAGCCGATTATCAAGGCCCTTTTCCTATCTTTCCGAAGAAAATATTTTTAAATGGTCTCAGGCAAAAATCCATTAATTCTTTTCAGAGATTCCCTTAGAACAATGATTGACTCAAGTCTAGAAGGACACATGGGTCCACGTTTTATGTTCAATAGCCTTAGAGCCAAGAAACTTGAATCACATCCGTTTATCAGCACTAAACATTTGCACATGTATGTGGCCATAACATATATTATTGGTTTTGTTTCTGGGAATGTGTGACCTTCTGAAGCTTATTTGATTTATTTGATTTTAAGGGAGGACTTTGGAAGTGTATAGGGAGGGAGAGATTGAAACCTTGAGCCATCTTACTTATGATCTCATATCCCTGATGTTGGAAATCGAATATATTTAGTGAGATTTATGCTCTTTAAATTACATCCATAGATAGAATGTTTATCACTCTAAAGTCATTATATAGTTTTATAATCATCTATGTATTGAGAAACAATGATTTATTAACTGTAGGATGAAAGACCATTTGGCAGTTTCCCAGACTTTTTGACTTTATCAGATTATGAATAAACTATTACTGTTTACATAATGGATCTTTAGTGTTTGCTATTTTGAAGTCATTCTTAAATTTTCCCCCTTCTAGTAATGTATTATTAGAAGGATTATTATAATTGGATTATTATCAATGGCTTCTAATACTAGTCATGAAAAGATGCTAGTCCCAAAACTCTAAGTATCATCTATTTCTGATGAGAAATCCTTACTAATTAGCTAATTAATTCATTTTGCTTTATCCAACAGAGAACTACATCCCAATGGACTCCCTCCTTCATATACAATTATATTACTGTTCAGACTCCTCCCAGAAACTCCCAGCGACCCTTTTGCAATTTGGCAAATCACAGACAGAGACTATAAACCACAAGTTGGGGTGATTGCAGATCGTAAGGATTTTTATCTTCTTTTAGGGCCCACGCATGCATATTTTTGATTATGTTTTTCCTTCTCTTTAAGAACCTTCTGGATGTGTGTATATATATATATTTCCTTGATTATGCTTTTATATTTAAAGGTTTTAAAAAATATGTCAGTAAATATTTGAATTACATTTTATCTTAACTGAATTATTAATTTTTTAGAGATAGCTTCAACAAGAATTAATTGTTAATACTTTCAATATAGTATCTCCATGCATTTGATTTAATAACAATTATGTGTTGATTACAGCTTCTAGCAAGACATTATCATTCTTTAACAAGGATACAAGAGGTGAGGTGCAGACTGTTACATTTGACACAGATGAAGTGAAGGCATTATTTTATGGAAGTTTCCATAAGGTAAAAACATAAGATTATCTGGTTATTTATAAAAGAAGTATATGGACTTAAAACTTAAACTAATTTATTATTTATTAAAATGTATGTTAAACTGGTGGAAACATAGCTATGTCTTTTGAAAACATCTCATTTCAGAAGATTTGATTAATTTTCAAAGAAGAAAATTTAAAACAATATTTCTACTATGAGATTAACTACTATTAACATTTCAGTATATATTCAATGCTAATGTCTTTTTAGAATATGCGTTGTGTAGTATATACAATCTTGTATGCCCATTTTTCTACCTACCATTTTATTTTGAACCTTTATGTAATTTTGTTTCAAAAGCTCAATTTTTGTGGATTGTATTTAGTTGATAATATTATTTATTCTTTTATAGAGCATAGTAAGCTGCTTCGCTTGCTCATTTATTGAAAAGTTACAAACATGTCAGTCCAAAAGTTTTCACTATCTACCAAAATAATTAAGATAATGTTTATGAGATTAACTTCTGCATGAACACATTTACAACTTCTCTGAAACATTTTATTAAAACTTCTAAGATAAATTCTTAGGGAATTATCTATTCTTGATGATCTTAATTTTTTTATTTTAAGATCCAAGGGTAATATAGACTTGCTCTCAGACAATTAATTGACAGATAAGAGTACTGGCGTTGGCAGCATCAGAAATGAACAGTCTTGGTTATGAGTGGACTTTTTAATGGAATTTTTTCATCAGTTGGATCAAACGAACAGGAGGAAGACTACTTGCCATGCAATCTTTAAAATTTCCCCAGTATGATGCTCAGAAATTTAGTCCCCATATGTAGAAAACAAATATTTCCAATTCAGTCTGATTTTTCAAGTGAAAATTGAAGAACTTCCCCATGATTAGGTAGATTTAGATGAATTTCTTGCTGATTCTCTTCCTAAGAATCTTGGTTTCTTCCCAGAATGTTTTCTTATTCATGAATCAGATTCTTGGTGAAGATAGCAAGGGCCTCTCCTCACAGGACTTGGAGAGGCCTCAAAGTGCACATTTTTATTGTTGTTGTTCAGTCACTCAGTGGTGTCCGACTCTATGGGATCCCATGGACTGTAGCCCGCCAGGCTCTTCTGTCTGTGGAATCTTCCAGGCAAGAATCCTGGAGTGGGTTGCCATTTCCTTCTCCAGGGAAGCTTCCTGATCCATGGACTGAATCCCTGTCTCCTGCACTGGCAGGTGGATTCTTCACTACTGAGCAACCAGGGAAGCCCAATGAGCTCATTAGTGATAAGCAAAAAAAAAAAAAAAAAAAAAAATGATGGAAAAACAGAGATCTCTGAGTATAAAGGCATATTTGCTCAACAGGTTACAGACTTTACTGGTAAAAGTACAGGAAAATAAATGCCTTATTGGGAAAGAAGATTCTGGTTTGACAGATTTTTACTAGCTTCAATTGCTTCTTGTCCAATAATAGATGCTGAATCTGGCAAAGTTCTTATGAACTTTTTTTGGCTCATTGATACACCTATTAAACTTACATTTGAGTAACTTGCTAAAGAGGACCATTTTATTTTTCTTCCATACCCACTGAAGATACTAGAAACTCAGCCTGCTATGAACCACCTGATAATTTAGGAACTATTGTTATTATCTTTTTAAACTTTTTATTTTGTACTGGGGTATAGCTGATTAACAATGTTGTGATAATTTCAGGTGAATAGCAAACTGACTCAGCCATACGTATACATGTATCCATTCTCCCCCAAACTATTCCCCCCATCTAGGCTAGGAACTATTATTTTTTAATTTCTGACTTTCATTGAATGTTTCATTGTACTTGACTGAAATAAGGTAGTAATTTTGAAGAGACCTACAGGGATAGTTTTTTGACCGTCCCTTCTTAATTTGCCTTTATAGAGAGGTATTTGTACTCTTAGGTTTTACGTAATGACTCTTCTCCCTTTTCCCATAAACTCTTTTCTTTTCAAATTCTCTACCTTCTTTTTTCATAATGCCTTTCTATTTTTTTGGTTCCTCCTCTACTTTTTCATTATGCTTTCTTCCCCTCCTTCCTTCCTCCACCCCGTTCTTATAACCTACGCTCATTTATCGCATCAATTCAAGCACCAAATTCAGTCTCTATTCGCTACTTACATTCTTCTGATCCAAGGACTTGGAGCACCCTTCTTTCATTTCCCATGTAATTTGGGAACTGAAGTTCTTCAGTCTTTGAGATAAGAACAAGTAGTTCTCTGAGTGAAGCAGCAAGTGAAAATAACATGCAGGAGGCTCTTGGGAGAGAGGGGATAGATAAAAGAGCTTATGGGGGGAAGGGCAGACAACTGCAGCTTCTGGAGGATTCTCTTGAACAAAGTTCTGTGTCTCTATCTTATTGTATCAGATGACATAGATTCCAGTGAGAAATTTGTAATAAGACAAAAAGGTAGAATAGATGAAAAATAAGGAATGGCAGACCTTGGGAAGGGTGATGAGTTGACAAGAGTGTTCATGTTTCTTTCTACTGGTCCGTGACCAACATGCTTCCCAGTTGGGAAATAGTCACTAACTACTTGGGACAATGGTGCCCAGATGAAGAGCCAATCTGAAATGTAATTATGCACGTGTTTAAAGTGCAATAAAACACTGAAGAGATTGTAGCAAAATATATTTTTAGCATGTGTTTCTTTTTGGTTCACATTGAGTGACGAGTGTATTTGGAATAATTTTGTTTCAAAACTTCAAAGCTTTGATTTTGAAATAATTTTTCCAGATACTATGATTTTTCAAATAGCTTTTGAATGTTAGCCTCTGAGATTGTTCATATAAGATCCAATAAATAAGTTTCAGTTCTTACTAGATATTACTAGATAATAAATACCTTGGGAATTTCTGTATGGTATTCATCTTGAATTCAGTATTAGATGATTGTCCTGGGGTATTTAAAATTATTTTTAGTAAGTCATATATCATTTTTAAATAAAAGCAATATGTAATTCATACTACTTATAGAGACACTAAATTAATGTTTTGGTGGTGATTCTATGTGGAAAAAATATCTACTGTTAAAAAGAAATCTCTGGAGACTGTCCTTAGGCTTATTTACTGTAAAACATTTAACAGAATTTCTGTTCCTTAACTTGGAACCAAACTTTTTAAAGCAATCAACATGGGCTTACTTAGGTATTTGGGCTGTGATAAGTGGAAGCCATGGGCATACCTATGAAGCCAAAGATTGCCTGCAGGCATTCTTTACATTATTGAAATATAGATGTTTTATTATTTATCTGTACTAATAGATTTCTTAAGATTCTGAATATCTTCAATATCCTATAACAATAAATCAACATAAGTTTGTTTTCTTATGAGGAAATTGAGTCTTGAATTTGATTTCCAGAGCTGACTCTTTATAAAAGATACAACCTAGCTCTTTCCTGTATTAGGTATCTACATGGTGTGGAAGGTCTTTTTGGCAAGGACTATTGTTGTTCAGTTGCCCAGTCATGTCAGATTCTTTGCAACCCCATGGACTGCAGCGTGCCAGGCCTCCCTGTCCCTTCATCATCTCCTGAAGCTTGCCAAGTTTATGTCCATTGCATTGGTGCTGCCTTCCAGCCATCTCATCTGATGCCCTCTTCTCCTTCTGCCCTCCATCTTTCTCAGCATCAGGGACTTTTCCAATGAGTTGGCATGGATTCTGGACTAAGAAACTAAAAACTGAATTTAGCAAAATCAGTGGAAGACATTCAAGGCTCCTTTGTTCTGAGTATAACAATTTATTAATGATTTATTAACTTGTATTTTAATTCACTAGTTTATTTTTTAATAGTTATTATAAAATATTGACTATGTTCCCCACATTGTATAGTGTATCTTGATAGCTTATTTTATACAAACTGCTGTGTACCTCTTAATCCCCTACCCTGATTTTCCCCCATGCCCCGCCACAGGTAACCACAAGTTTGTTTTCTGTATCTGTCAGTTTGCTTTTTTTTTTTTTTTTAAGCTCTCTATAGTTTAAACAGTCATCTCATCTACTACATTATCTCTAGCCATCTCAGGAAGAGTACATAGTGGGGAAAATAAGAAATTATAGTGATGTATAATAGCGTAGGAAACTGAGACTCAGAGATGTTAAGTGGTTCATTTAATTTGATGTTGTTAAATTAAATGACATTGACACTGCAACCTGGTTCTTGAATTTTTAGTCCAAGGCTCTTTATTTGGGATGAGAATAGCTTTCAGTTCAGTTGCTCAGTGGTGTCTGACTCTTTGCAACCCCATGGACTGCAGCATGCTAGGCCTCCCTGTCCATCACCAGCTCCCAGAGTTTACTCAAACTTATGTACATCAGTGATGCCATCCAACCATCTCATCCTCTGTTGTCCCCTTCTCCTCCCTCCTTCGATCTTTCCCAGCATCAGGGTCTTTTCAAATGAGTCAGTTTTTCGCATCAGGTGGCCAAAATATTGGAGTTTTAGCTTCAGCATCAGTCCTTCCAATGAATATTCAGGACTGATTTCCTTTAGGATGGACTGGTTGGATCTCCTTGCAGTCCAAGGGACTCGCAAGAGTATTCTCCAACACCACAGTTCAAAAGCATCAATTCTTCGGTGCTCAGCTTTCTTTATTGTCTAGCTCTCACATCCATACATGACTACTCATTGGAACTCATTCCATGCCAACTTATTGGAAAAACCATAGCCTTGACTAGACGGACCTTTGTTGGCAAAGTAATGTCTCTGCTTTTTAATAAGCTGTCTAGGTTGGTCATAGCTATTCTTCCAAGGAACAAACGTCTTTTAATTTCATGAATAGCTTTAAGTACACATTTTTTTAACGTGTGATCTGATATATGTAGAAGTCAGTCATATTGCTCTGGGTAGAAATTTTGTAATGGAAACAAATGATCTTTTTAGGTTCATATCGTAGTGACCTCGAAAAGTGTTAAGCTTTACATCGACTGCTATGAGATTGTAGAGAAGGATATCAAGGAAGCTGGAAATATCACCACTGATGGTTATGAAATTCTTGGAAAACTGCTTAAAGGGGAGAGGAAGTCAGCCACAGTAAGTAACACAGTTTTATTTTTCTTGGTACCTTGTACGAAGATAGAAATGACATTTTTCAAAGTAATTGGTACTTTTTCTTTTCCCTCGATGATGTTTTTAATTGTTTTATATCTTGGTTAGATTGAAACACTGGAAGTTACACTGAGGTAATACGCTACTGACAAAACATGATAATATGCTTTACTGCTAGAAGCAAATTAAGATGTCAGGGCACCAGAGAACATCATGTAGTCGACTTGAAACCGAATCAAACTGGAGAGTACAGCACAAACGGTTGCCAGGAGAATCAGTGAAATGTAAACGAATTCATTTTTTTTGCTTTTCAAAAGTAGGAACTGTTGACACAGCTTTGTGCATTTAGGGCGTTTTGCATTTGTGGACTCTGTGACCGTCACAGAGCTACGCTCCCTCACAGAGGGGTCAGGCCTGCCTTGAAGGAAGACGAGTGTAGGGTGGCAGCCGCCTCACAACCGTCATTGAGGCGGGGGCTTGCCAACCCTTTTACAATGCTATTTAGCAATAGACTGTTAAAACCTGAGGTTTTCATTGTCCCAGGCTAAGTTCATAATACATGTTGATTAATAATAACCTTGTTCTGAAAGCAGGACTACTGTTTTTGGCTTCTATTATTTTTTAAGATAATTTTGCTTGTTTATTTCTGGCTGTGCTTGGTCTTCGTTGCTGTTCGGGCTTTTCCCTTGTTGTGACAAATGGGGGCTACTCTCTGGCTGTGGCATTTGGCTTCTCATCGCTGCGGCTCCTCTTGTGGTAGAGCATGGGCTCTAGGGCATGAGATGCTCTAGTTGCATCCCGTGGGCTCAGTAGCTGTGACCCCCAGGCTCTCGAGCACAGGCTCAATAGTTGTGGTGCCTGGGGTTAGTTGCTCCATGAAATGTGGGATCTTCCCAGATCAGGGATTGAACCTTTGTCTCCTGCATTGGCAGACGGATTCTCTACTGCTGAGCCACCAGGGAAACCCTTCTATTATTTTTTCAATTGCTGTTACTGAGCTTAGCTTTCTTCCATGGACAGAATTTTCTTCCCTATTCAGAAATGAAATTTTTAACCCTCAATGGAGAACTTGAACTGGCAAACACTCCTAGCTTTCACCATGTGAAGTTGAAGTGAAGTTGCTCAGTCGTGTCTAGCTCTTTGTGACGTCATGGACTGTAGCCTACCAGGCTCCTCCATCCATTGAATTTTCCAGGCAAGAGTACTGGAGTGGGTTGCCATTTTCTTCTCCAGGGGAGATTCCCAACCCAAGGATCAAACTCAGATCTCCCACATTGCAGGCAGATTCTACCCTCAGAGCCATGAGGGGAGAACTAGTTAGTGCAAATTTCATATAATTGCAATTAAAATCTTTTATTGAATATTGGGTTTAGTATTTAAATAGAGCAATTACATTAAGTTTATAAAAGAATGACTATATCTAAGTGACCTTTTCTTTTTTATCCAAAGAACTCTGTTTTTTAAGTGTAGAAAGATAGAAAAAATATATATATTGAAATAGTTAAGCTGAAGGTAAACATAAAATTATTAGTTAGCCCCTAGGTAAGAATTTGTAAGAAGAAGAGCATCAATTTAAGTGAGGAATTTTTTAAAATGTTACTTTTTTTTTTAAACAGAGGTAGACTCTTAGAAGTTGATTTGAATGTGTGTAGTCTTCAAATTAAAATTCTGAATTAAATACACCCATCATTTTTAAGGATATAAAGAAATCAATGTTCTCTTAAAAAAAAAAACTCAATGAGACATTTCATTTTAGGTAAGGAAATGAATCAGAAGTGGAACTACCACATATGCATTTTGCTTTACCGTCCCTTTCTCTGAGGCATAGGTTTTTTTGCTCTTAGGAGGTAAGGATCACATTGCTCTCATTGCCTGGACCCTCAAGAGAGTCTGTGTGAGAAGTTAGCAGAGGTTAAAATGTGGAAATGTTAATATGAAATGTTTTTCATGCATCTGAAGCTCATGTTGCTGTTGGTTGTTTACAGTTCCAAATCCAGAATTTTGATATTGTCTGCAGTCCGGTGTGGACCAGTAGAGACAGATGCTGTGATATTCCCTCCAGAGTAAGTGAAACAGAATGGAATTTTGTCATGGTTTGATTAGTCTTCAAGGAATAAGAGATGTGGATGAGGATGACCTGGGAGAGGAAGTAGCCCTCAGCAGCTGCATGTTCAGGACGGAGCCAGGGACACGCATGGTGTGTGTGCTCATCAACGGCCGCAGCTCAGGCTGGGGAGCCCTCCCTCGAAAGTCAAGAATGTAGAGGACCGCATCTGGAAATTCTCCCTAACAGCCAAAGTGGTTAGGCATAGTCAGAAAAGTCCTGCTTTAATCAGCATGTCTGATAAACCCATTTACTGCGGAGTCCTCCTAGTGCTTGTAAAATACCAGCATTTTGCAATAAATGCTTATTAAATCCTTTACAGGATCAGCCATCATACCTCTCTGGATGTCTAAGTAGAAATGCTCAGTGATGATGGCCTTCCTTCATATTATCTGTGTAGGTGGTAATGGTTACGAAGTTGAATGCTGATGATGGATTTGAAGTTCTCGGCAAATAGTGAGCTGCACGCCCCCACACAAATACTTACTGAACACCTCTTATAAGCCAGGCACTGTCCTGTGAGCTGGGGTTATAGCAGTGAAAGGGAACATTCTAGTGAAAGGCAGAGAGAGAGGAGGAGTTAATAAGTAGGTGTATACTGTGTTATCCAGTGAAAAGAAATAGAGAGAAAACCAACCAGGGTACAGGGACAGGTAGCCAGGTGAGTACCCTCAGCCCTCAGGGATAAGGTGAGTTTTAAATAGAGACCTGAGTGAAGTGAGGGGACAAGCAACGTGGATAATGGAGAAAGAGCATTCCAACCAGAGGTGACTGTAAGCGCAAAGGCCCTAAGGCCACAAGGTGCCCTGAACATCTGAGAAGCAAGAAGTGGATGAGGGGGGCTGGGGCAGAGTGAAGGAGAGGGGAGGTGGTGGGCGGTGGGCGCGGGGCAAGGTGATGGGGTGCTGTTTTGCAGACCATGTGAGGCCTGTAGGCTCTGGAAGGGACTTTAAATTTTATTCTGAATGAAATGGGCATCCATATCTGGAACACTCAGCATTTCTCTGATACCAGACTAGAGAGAATTGGATTAAATTACCAGGGGTCCTGATGATGGTTTTGTAAACATATCTTATGTGAGATTTCCTAAAACAAAACTTTTAAAGACATAAAGGGACATAGCAAGATTGGGTGTAAGACTTTGTAATCATAATTAAAAATTATCCTTTAAGTTGGGAAATAGATTTCCCTGTGTGTATAAGATAAGTGGGTGTGGAGGATAAGAGGCTGTATTTACTTTCAATTCAGAGATAAATATTCTTTTCCAAATTTCAGAGAGATGAAGCAAAATGCCCAGCTCTTCCGAATGCTTGCACATGTACACAGGACAGTGTTGGACCTCCAGGACCCCCCGGCCCTGCAGTAAGGAAACTGAAATAGTCCTTCTAGTATTTCCAGTTAAATCTTTGGCATAATCATTCTTTGGTCAGTGTGTTGCGGATAAAATGCTTCCAGCCACTGGTGTGTTCTAGGACAGAACAAGATGAATTACAGACCATTTTCACAGCACATCTTGAGATCTGAACTGGAATAAACCCAGAAGAAGATCTTAAAGCACTTAAATACACTTCTCTACTCACATGAGAATGAATGATATGGGCTAGCATTCAAGAGCTTTTCAAGATATGGATTTGGGTTTCTCTCTGTAATTAAATGATTTTGAAAATTCCTTACATCTCCTGAAAGCTTCTTGTACCTGTGTTATGGAGCCATGATTGAGAGGCTGACCCAAAAAATCTTTAGAGCCTAGGATATGTGTATGTTATTAACAAGCATATCATAGAATAACATATAGAGGATAATTTATGTATGTGATGATATCGTAAACTCTGGGTGAAAGTGTTGGGGTTAGGAATAACCTGAGTGAGAAGACTGACCAGGTCTTTCTATGGGGGTAGGAGGGGAGACCAATAAAATGCAATGCAAAAGATTGAAGAGTACAGTGTTAGATCCTGTTAATCAATTACATGTGACCTGGGCTGGCTTTTCAGAATGGAAGTGGTACCACTAAGCTTTATTGACCTCTTTTAAGAACATGAGTTAATTAACATAGAAACAGCTTAAAGAGCCTTAGAACACCAGATTTTACTATACATGGTTGTTAACAAGTAATGTAAATTGATTTTAGGTTAATTACAAACCAGCTCCTCATATATGGAATCAAAATATATCTGGAATTAACATCATTTATTTTCTTTAATTAATAGTAACTTACCTGACTTATATTTATAATCATAAACTTATACCCTGGATGTGACTTCGATGTTTTTGAGAAGTAGGAATTTTTTTCCTAATTGTAAGATATCATGTCAGTATCATGTTTATTTCCTCTTTGTTCAGTGAACAGGTCTCTGAATTTCTATTACTAAATTACATGTTCTGAGATTCTGAGAGAGATTTCTTATTGCATATTATTTTCCCTGAAGAATATACTCATATAATTCTGAAATAGATTTTTTTCCTTAGAAATGCTTAAATATTGTATTTAATGCTTTTTTTAAGTAAACCTCAAATTTTCAAATCAACTTCAAAATTTGCTAACAATTAGGGAAAGATCAGAATATAAAAATGAGATCCTTAAGAATGTTTTGAAATTCTCCTTTCCCACACGTTTGTATGATAGAAAGTATTTACTTCCATATTTCATAAATATTTGTAGTAGTATTGGTTGACTGGAGAATGCGCTGCTTCTTAAAGCAATTTTTATGTATCAGCTTCTTCCTAGTTTCCTATGTTCACCCTAAAATGTGCTCTGTGTATTTTAGGGAGGACCTGGTGCTAAAGGTCCGAGAGGTGAAAGAGGTGTCAGCGGGGCAGTTGTAAGTATATTTTAGAGTGCATTTACATTTTCACCTATATGTTGAAGTCTCGTTATTCAAATTTCCGCTCACAGGGTAATGTGACCTTGAACAAGTTGATTCAAGTTTAGTGAGCCTTAGGCAATATAATGATCTCTGTCTTGCCTCTGGATGTCAAAATGGTAGATTAGATTAGTCAGATAAAGGAATGTACAGGGGATGTCACTGAAGTGGGAATTGCCCATGGGAGACCTAGAGAAGCACCTAAGGGCTCTGCTCTCATATGGGCAAGCAGAGGGGGGGACCTGGCCATCAGCTGGAAGACCCCCCTCAAGGAGCAGAGTCCCACTAGCGGGGGCTGGGGAGGGTTCATCTCTCTCAAAGAGCCAAGCCAGCCACATCTGCCTTCGCTGGGGGTCGCTGGCCTCTTCTACTGGTTCAAAACTGTCTCTGTAAGAGAACTCCAGCATCTTGGGAGGATGTATCGTGAAGGTGATGTGTAGTTTTTGTCATACTGTCATTAAGCTAACTCAGGAAAGTGAGGCTGGGGTGCTGACCCAGGTCTGTCTAACTCCAGGTCTGTCCTTTTCTACCTGGACACCCTGCAAAGAAGCTCCAACATTGAGTGAACGTACCTGCTCTTTCCTTTCTTGATGTAGACATATGTTAGTCCCAGAAATCAGCCCATATGAGAGCATATGAGAGGATGCCCATTTGAGAGCGGAGCCCTTAGGTGCTTCTCTAGGTCTCCCATGGGCAATTCCCACTTCAGTGACATCCCCTGTACATTCCTTTAAGTCTAAGAGGAATCAGGACCAGCTTAAAAGAAATCAAATCTAGTGAATTGTGAGGTTTGACCTCTGAATGAATCTAGGACTATAGATATATGAATATATTTGATGTATTTTAGTTTTTAAGAAACCTATTCCCTTGTTAAAATAGGAGGTTTGGAAATTTAAGTGCTCTTGTGAATTTATTGTACTTTCTAATTCTTTTAGTGAGTAGTCAAAGGAAGAAAGGGATGACATTAATAAATGCTTTTATATTGGGTTGGCCAATAACTTCGTTTGGGTTTTCTGGTCAACCCAATAGATGGGTTGATTTCTAAAACGTTTGCAGATTCTGATTGGTATCTTAGAGTTGTGAAGACAGCCCTGGAAGGGCAGTCTATGACTCTGTGCTTGTTTCTCTGTTCTGTGTGTAGGGGCCGCCCGGTCCTCGTGGAGATACAGGTCCTCCTGGTCCCCAGGGCCCTCCAGGCCCTCAGGGACCCAACGGCCTCTCTATTCCCGGTGAACAAGTAAGCACAAAGACTTTCTGTATGAAATGAGGATGGTGGATTAACGTTGAATTTAACTGGAACATTTTCTACTCTATTTTGCCAAATTCCAGTGTTTTTTCAGAAAACTCAACAAGTTTAGTCATTGAGATGGCTTCCTGTGACTGTAATTTCAGATATGTAAATAGCATATGTAATAATATGTAACTGTAGGAAAAATTGTTGCTACTTCTTTGACCTTTAAAAATTATTTTAATAAGTAATGCAAATATCCTTTAATATCCTGAAAGCTTTGAAATGGCTTTGAGTCTGTGGCAGGCCCTGGGGTTCTGTCTGATATTTATGACTTATTTATCTAGGTCATTACTTCAATAAAAATTTGTTTTATTCCAAATGCCAATCTGAACTTAGGAGAAGTGTCTTACCTTTTGAGGCTGGTGTTTTATTTAACTACTTTTTTCTATACTTTAAAATAAAACAAATACAGCATATGAGTAAGAATCCAGATAATTACATAGTTTTAAATTTAGGTCTAAACTCCCTTTAAAGACCTTTTTTTAGCACTTAGAGAAAAAAATAATCTATATCAGATATAGCTAGAAATGAAACATTTGAAAGAACTGGGTTTTTCTTTTCACTCAAAAAGGTTGAATGCAGGACTTCCCTAGGGGTCCAGTGATTAAGACTGAGCTTCCACTGCAGGGGGCACAGGTTCAGTCTCTGGTCAGGGAACTCAGATCCTTCATACCTCTCAGTGCAGCTATAAAAAAGGAACAGGGTTGAATGCATCTACTTTTAGCTTCGAATATCCACAGGGGAGTTTGGGGGAGTTTTATTTCTATTTATTTTCTTATTACTACTATTAAATTATCAGCTTTAATTCAGATCTGCCTATTAACAAGTATCTTCTAGTATGTAGTTATAAAGAACAAAATTATGTTACATTTCATTGACTCTCCATTGCAATTAGCACCAAATTAAATATGTTAAATAATAAAAATAGTTTTCCCTTCAACTTGGGTTCTTTTAAAAGAAAGGCATATTATCCCATGATTATATAAAATGATCCCATAACACGATAAATGGAAATTATAACAGCATTTGTAGTTTAAAAAGTGAGCATCAGTCCCCAAAATAATTTATTCATCTCCCTTCACAAATATGCTTCATTGGATTTATGAAGTGATAGAGATTTCAGGAATGACTCACGTCTTCCCTTTTCACTTAATTTCTGTAAAATGCTGAGACCTGTTTTCCCACTGCTTGCTCCAGGGTCGCCAGGGAATGAAGGGCGATGCCGGAGAGCCAGGACTTCCAGGCCGGACTGTGAGTTGTTCTTCACCTTGCCTTTTCTTGACTTGTCAAGTGTTCTTTGCAAAGTTGCCCTCGTAGTGCCTCAGAAGGTGAACCAAGGTTAAGCCGCAGAGCAGAAGCCTGGCCGTTTTCCATTCCGTCGCCTGGCCTGAGGCTTCAGGCTGGGGCTGTGCAGTCAGGTCTGGGCTTGTTGACTGAGCTAGCGTCTCCCTCGCGGGCTGGCTCTGCGCTTGCTACTGAGTTTCTATTCCTTCGCAGAGTCCCTGCACTTTTCTCCCAAACATTTTGGAGAAGGACACAAATTCCTTTCTCACACAAGTTTATTACCGTGTTTTCTTGTTTGTTTCCTTTTGTGTAGGGAACTCCAGGATTACCTGGCCCACCAGGACCAATGGGCCCTCCAGGAGACAGAGTAAGTGTTCTTGTACGGCCTCTAACGACACTGGACATGATTGTTGCTTATTAATTAACCCCCCCATAGTTCAGTTGGTGTGGCTGAAAATGCAGAGTTCACATATCTCATAGGAGGCAGAAAAGCTAATATCAGTGGGCCAACTGACACCAGGGCAATCTCAAAGTCTATGAAACAAAATGGTGGGACTTTAAATGAGTCGTTAGAATTCTGGAAATTTAAAAAAATTCAGCATACTCAGAAAACCAATGAATTTTTGTTAATTGGAAAGAGATTCAAGAATCCTAGAAAATTGCGTTAAATCTGAAAATTAAAAATTTTTTATGAGGCATCTTTTATGTAACTCTAAGAATAGTCTTGATTGCCGTGGCACTTTGTATGTGGTCAGGGACATCTTTTCTACACCTTTAGAACTCAGATACCATCAGCAGGCCTCTGTGATGGATAGCAACTGGAACTTAGTAGGAATTTTGCTTATTTATGTCAGATCTCAGGTCTGTTCTTGAGTTATGAGGAGACCAGTGCAGGAGACCCAGTTTTTTCTAGGACAAATAGATGAGAAGCACAGTGGCTTCTGTGCTCTGTTTAACGTTACAGAAACATTTGGTTTCATAGGAGACCACAGACACTTTAATAGAAGGTTTTAGAGCTGCTCAAACCAAGGCACTAATGACTTCAGCACCTTCTAGTTTAGACAGCAGTCTGAGTGTTGTCTGTATTCTGACTAATCAAGTCAAAACATAAGACTAGCAGCAGGCTGTGAGAGGGCCAGAGCTGTAATAGTTGTCACTCATGCATTGATTTGTTAACCTTAACACCTCCAAGACCCCATGGGGCAGAAGAATTGGGTCAGTCGGATGGAGCAAAGTTTTGCCCAGATAATACCAAATGTTGGATGATTTGCCAATGAAATTTATTTGCTCCAATGCCTACTCTTGAGTTTATGAGAAAATGAGGTCAAAGAGAAAACTGTTCTCTGGGAGCCTGGGACCCACTGGTACTTATACATATTCTTCTGACTCTTTTGAGACTGGCACTCTAGTTTTATTTGAATTCTTGTCTCATAATAAAGAACCACAATGATATTGCAAGGGTGATCAGTCGGCCTATGCAATCAGTCAACAAAACCAAAAATATCACATTCAGGAAGTAATGACGGATATTAAATATAGTTCAATGTCCTATGATAAGCCATGATAAGAAAGAATATGAAAAAGAAAATATATGTATAACTGAGTCATCTTGCTGTATAACAGAAATGAAATACAACATGGTAGATCAATTGTACTCCAATAAAATAAAATAAAATAAAACAGAAGTAATGATGGGCTGCCTCCCTTGCCACCACTACTGCGGAAGCCATGTTGGCTTGGCACGTGCTTCAGCATGGGTTCCATGCAGACTCGCTGGGTGGTCGGTGCCCACCCCATCAACACGTTCCTTCTGAGGTGGCGGTCAGGCAGCCATCCCTGCCATCACTGCTTCCCTGAAAAGTGAAGGGGTGGGAAGGATGGTGTTTTCACTCTTGCATTTTAATCTGTGAATCCAGCTTTGTGGTGAGGCAACCCAGGACCCTCATGTTGAGAGTGAGGAAAGTTTTCAGGAAATTATTCATCTTTTTTCCATCACAGCCTTGTACCTACCACTCAATTTCCTGTCACTACAGCTGAGAGTAGGAGTCACGGCTGATGGAACATAAATGGTTTTGGAAAGTTAGACTTTGGGTGCAGGCATCTCAGCCAAAAGAGAAAGAAAGGGAGACAGAGAGGAAGGAAGGGATGAAGAAAGAAAGGAAGGAAGGAAGAAACTTGAAACCTGTGGTGGGAGAGAAGAGAATAAAGCTCAGGAGAGCACGCCCAAGACCATGGTGATGAAGGAAGATGTCCTACCTGGATGGAGTTGTCAGAGGCAAGAGGCTTGGGTTGCCTTCAGCTCAGATCGATTTTCAAATGAGCCACAGTTTTGGGGACTGTTAGAAAGTAGCAAGACAAGTACGTGTTCAGGCAAGTCATACACGTGCATCTGTGAAAGCAACCACAGGTCCTCTTGGCCACCCTCCCATGGAGGGAAGCAGCAATAACTGCTGCAGCTTTGAAAATGGAAAGTAAAAAAAAAGAAAAAAAATTTGCAGCACAAAGTTCTGCAGATGGCTCAGTGGTAGCCCTTCTGAGGTCCCCAGAATAGAATCCGCCTCATCCCAATTTAGGTATATGTTACTTCTAAGAGAAAATGACTGGTTAGACCTAACTGTCCACCCATGAATGAGGGATAAAGGTGTGATATTTTAATATATGAATATATGTTTAATGTATATAATGGAATATTATTCTGTCTTAAAAGAAGAGGGAAATGCTATCATTTCCCAAAACATGGATAAACCTTGAATCTGGAGGACATGCCACCTGAAATAAGCAAAAGCGCAGAAAGAAATACTGCATGATCTCACTTATGTATGAAATCTCAAAAAAGCTGAACTTCTGGAAGCAGGTAGCTGCCAGGGGCTGAAAAAGAGAGAAATGGGGAGATATTAGACAAAAGATACAGAGTTTCAGTTATGCCAGATAAGTTCTGGAGATCTAATGTACATTTTGATGACTACAGTTAATACTATATTATGTACTTGAAATTTGCTAATAGAGTGTATCTTAAATAGTCTCACCACATAAAAAATGATAGCTCTGTGAGGTGATGGATGTGTTATCTTGATTGTGGTAATCATTTCACAATGTGTACATGTATCAAAACATCACGTGTACACCATAAATATATACGATTTTGTCAATTATAGCTCAGTAAAGCAAGGAAAACAGAGAAAATGATTGGTCAGGAAGTTCTTAGGATGACTGAAGGAGGATTATTCATAGACATGATACTTACCTTAAAAAATGAAAGAAAAAGAGTGTTTTCTACAGTGGTTGGAGGAAATTTAGATGACATTCAACTGTCCGAACCATACTCGGAGCAGTTTTGCTTCTTAAGTGGCTCCCAGGAGTGGTGTTGATGTTACATCAGATGAACTTAGAGTCTGTTTTTTGTTAAGCAGGACTGGATCTTCCAGAAAACAGTCTGAAATGTTTATCTCTATAAGTTTCTGAATTTTTTGGAAAGGACAGACTATTTCTAATGTAATTTTAAAGAAATAATTTAAACTTCCTCTTTTGTAAATTCAATGGGAGTCCACTTAATGCAGGCAGTGATCCAAATGATCTTGACTTTTTGCTAGGATCCAAGAATATGCATAAAATTATCACTTATTCTCAAAGGAGGCAAAAATTTCCTTTGACAGAGGAATGCAGCAACCATAAAAAACTGCCTGACTCAGAAATCCTCGGCTGGATTTCAGAGGTCCGCACTTGGGATGAATAGTAGGCGGGCAGTGAGTGACTCATCCCAGGCAGAGGTCGTCTGGCACTGTGCAAGCTGCACAGAGATGCCCACTACTCCTGGGTAGATCTCTCCTCTCAACCTGACCCGGTATGGGTCTAGCCTGTCTGTGAGATGAGGAGAGATGGACCACTAAACAATTAAGTGAGGATTGAGGATTTCCTTTCTTTTGAGTGGTCGAGTTAAGGTAGTTTTGCCTCTTTCTTGGAGGGGAGGAGAGGAATCACCTAGGAGTGAAGCAACAGTGGTCCTGTCCTGGCTGCCTGGAAGCAAGGAAGGGGGTTTTCTAACAGGTGGTTGGCCTCTCCTGCATCTTCTATGACGTCACCTGGTTTCCTCAGCAACATTCCCTTCATCCTATTTTGATCCTTCCCAGGCCAGTTCGTGGACGTTGACTTTTCAGTAGAAAGGGCTAGTCTTCCTATAGATTTCTTTATACTCTTATAAAAGCAAAAGGCAGTATCTTCATAATAGGAAACTGCCTTCTTTAGAGAAGACTAGTTTGATTCTTAAAATGATTTTAATTGTAACCCTATAAATGGCTGAGTTTAGAACTGAATTATTCAGTAAAAGGCATAACTTAAATGGAAAGCATTTTTTGGGGGGCATGTTTGTCTTTATGTTGAAAAGTTACCTGCAATTGGGCTAAATCTTTCACCTGTCACTTTTATCATCCTGTTTTGTTTCTTTCAGTTTTGGCTGGTCATTATTTCACTAATCCACACTTAATTTCATTTTTACAATAGGGCTTTACTGGAAAAGATGGAGCAATGGGACCCAGGGGTCCCCCTGGGCCACTGGTAAGAATGGAATGGGTGACAGTCATCTTCCTGTCCTGACCCCCTACCACCACTTGCTAGGAAAAAGCTCAGAAACCTGACCTTTGAGGCATGTTCCATCTGTGCTGTGGACTGCACTGTTGAGGGACCTGCTTGTTTTTATTCTCCTAAATCAAAATCAGCTAGAGAAAACAGATGTGTTAAAATAATCTTTCTGTTTAATCAAATTATATTTGAAAAACAGAAAAATATCTCTAACTGGTTAGTGCCCCAGTTCCTTCATTGTGTACATTAAGTGGTGGGCTTTATGATCTTGCTGGTCATTTCCTGTTCTAGAATTTTAAGAGTCTGTAGCTTATGATATTTGAATTTTAAGGATATTAATTACAGAACAGCTTTAAGTTTTTCAAAGGATGTAATTCTTACTGAGTAAGTTTTCTAATTAAGATCTTTGGGAAAATTACTGAGGCCATTGACTCTGAAAGAAGTATCTGTATATCTGCATCCAGGTGAGATCGCAATTACATTGTTGGAGGTAATGGATGTTCTTCATGGCTTCTGGCTGGATAGGAATGATTTATGTTTAATATATATGTACTCAAGTAGAGTTGAAAATGTACAGTAAACTTTCATTTAAAGTATTTACTACAGAGCTTGACCTTTATATGATTGATGAATGGAGGATTGTTTTATAGAAATCTGATGATTCCATTTTAAGGAAATTTTAGCTTTAGAAGATAATCTATTGACTAGCAATATTATAAATATTTTACTAAAATATGGATGTGTGAAAGTCGCTCAGTCGTGTCAGACTCTTTGCGACCCCACAGACTAAACTATGGCTAAAGTTTCTTAAAGCTGTGCTAAAAGGGAGAAATTCTTATGGTTTTGATGGGGTTGAGGGTGCTGATATGATAGAAGAGAATTATGCTTTATTCGAATGCACCAAACCAGTAAAAGTGAGTTTCTAGGCTGAGCTACGACTTCCTGGAGATAAGGGGAACTCCACCACATGGTGCTCAGATACCTTCTCAATTTCTTCCCCAAACAAAGTTTTCGCTCTTGTCTTTTGATGTGTTTTCTATTTTGATAACAGAAATAAACGAACAGAAATTGCTTTCTGTAAATTCACTTGGTAGCCAGTTTACTAGGATCCCAGTCTGTGAATGGTGAAACTGATTAAAAACAGTATATGCATATATTTTTCAAATGGTTTCAAATGTAATTTTCAACTATACACTCCATAAAGACTGAATAGGAATTTTCAAGATTTTTTTCCTCCATGTCATCTTAAATTTGATTTTATTCTTCCTTAATACGCTGAAACCTTTCAAAACCTTCCGCGCTTTGTTAGCTTACTTTACGTGGGACTCCTCTTTCACGGTAACCTTTTGTTTCTCTGCCTGTGTGTTGCAGGGAAGCCCAGGCTCCCCGGGAGTCACAGGACCAAGTGGGAAGCCAGGAAAGCCAGGAGATCACGGCAGACCAGTAAGTGGATGGCTTGCATGCCTAGTCCTTCCATTGTGAGTGATGAAGAAACTGCAAGACTGTGGCATATTTATGTTATCTCTGCCGTAATACGTTTGAAGCATTTGTTGAAACTATGCTAAACCCATGGATTTAACTTGGTACTAGTTCTAAAATTTTTCTCTCCAAGTTATAACATTCTGGGATGAAAACTGTGGTCATAGGGTTTCTTTAAAAGGAGAATGGGATTATGAGCCAAGACGCATATTTCTGCACTGTATAAACACTCAGAGCTGGGTCAGCAGAATCATTCTTTTTATTTAGGAGCGGTATGCAGCTTAAGATAGAAAAACACATGATGTGCATGGCGCCTCCATGGATGCTCTGCAGAAGTTAACCCTTTGTGAGCGTCCTGTAGCCCTGCCACTTTCTCTTTCCCCTTCTGTTGAGGATGCTAGAGCATTAGCCCCAGAATTAAAAGAATTTATCTAATCCATTATCTTACTTTTTTACACTGCCCTGCTCCAACTCATATCCAGTTTACCTTTCTGATTATCAAATGTTTTGGTTAAAATAATAGTTGAGCTGGTATAATGCATATCTTCTATTTTCAAATTTGTATCTCCAAAACTGAATGCTTCCCAGGTGGCGCTAGTGGTAAAGAATCTGCCTGCCAATGCAAGAGACAGGAGTTTGATCCCTGGGTCGGGAAGATCCCCTGGAGTAGGAAATGGCAATCCCCTCCATTTTTCTTTCCTGGAAAATTTCATGGACAGAGGAGCCTGGCAGGCTACAGCCCATGCGTTCGCAAAGAGTCAGGCATGACTGAGCACATATTTGTAATGACTGTTGGGCTCCATATTCTTCCTTACAAGCTCTTCCCTATTTGTGTCTATGAAGAATAAATGTATTTTAAGCAGTTTTTTTGTCTGAGTAGAACTCTGAAATATAAAAATTTATTTCAAAGATCATGAAGTCCAATATTAGTGATGGCACATCTATCAGAGCTGTTCTCTGAATGGAACTTCTCTCTTCTTAAGTATTGTCCAAGTTAAAAAAAAAAGTATAAACCCAAGTATAAACCTAAGTTAAAAAAAAAACAGTTTAATGTCCCCAAGTATAAACCCAAGTTAAAAAAAAACAGTTTAATGTCAAACTAACTTAGGGTAGAATCTTTATGTGACATGGCCTGCCTTCTACGTTTACATAAAATTAAGCAAGCAGCATAAAGATGAAAGGCCTCCTGATATGCCTCATACTCTGTGTATACTCTAGCACATGACTTTATTACTCTCTTTTCATTAATGAATCATGGCAGAAACTTCACAAGAGCAGTTAAAAGTACACAGAACTTTTCAACCCATTCAGAATTCTATTTCTTTTTATAATGACCAAAATAGAGTCTAACAAGAATATCACTGATGTAATTGGTGGCTGCAGCTAGAAACCTGAAAGAAATGTCTACTTCCTTTACTTGAAATGACATCTCAAGATACTGGCAATAAAGATGAGTTCTAAATCATATCTAGACCAGTCTCAGAGAGGCACTAAATTAAAAAAAAAAGGTGAGGGGAACAAAGTAGCAGTTAATGCAAAAAAGATTCCCTGAAATTTACAAAAGGTGCCAAGCTAAATAATGTTTTCATGAGAGTGGAATACTTTTGGTAAAGAGAGAGTCAGGCTCCACTTTTTCTTCGAACTACAATTTGGTGACATTTATCTGGACGTTATCTACCCCGTTCCCCTCCTTTAACCATCCTTTTAAGGTGATAAATTGCCTCTCCTTTTCTTCTCTCTTCTATTTACGTTTAGTTTCTAAAACCAAAACTAGCAGTTGCATGTATAAAGGTCTTAGCAGGGAACTTAGCTCAGCCACTGTTAGCTTGTCATTAGTGCTTGTATGCAGAGTTGTCTTCCTGTTAACATATATAATACCTGATGGTTATAATAATACCTGAAATAGTGGATGTTTCCAAGAACTGCTGATGGAATGTTTTTATTCATTTACTCAACACCCTTTGGTTGGTGCCTAATTGTGCTAGTTGGCATTCTAGGGTCTTGATAAAACCATAAACAGGGTGAAGTCCTTGCCTTCATGGAGATCCTAGTGGGGGATATAGACCAAAAATGTAAATACATAATATAGTTTCTGGTGATGATGAGTGATATGAAAGAAAGAGGCATAGAGTAAGGGGTCAGGGGCTCATTATGGTGGTGTGAACGGGCTATTTCAGATGCAGCGGTCAGGGAGCCTGTCCGAGCAGGTGCAGTGAGGTTGGGAGCATCTGTTGGGAACATTATTCCAGGTGTGGGGAAAGATGAACAAAGGCTGAGGGAGGGTGAGTGGGGCACGTGGATGGAACAGCAGAGAGATCTGAGCACCTGAAGTGAAGGAAGTGAGGAGAGGTGAGGTCAGGTAGCTGGGCAGAGACCATCATGTGGCCCACCCAGCCCACACTTATTCTAAGTGTGATAAGAAGGCCTTGGAGCCAAGAGTGACATGGGCCGATTTTCCTCTTAAATTAACAGTCTGGCTTCTCTGTGGAGAACAGACTCGAAAGGGGCAAACATGGGAGAAAGGAAGACCAGTTGGATGGATGTTGAGGAGTTGAGGCAAAAGTCTTGGAGATGGTCAGATGCAGTTTGGGATGTTATCTGAACGTCAGATTTGTCAGTGGTGTGGGTATTCTTTTCAGGGGGTAGCCTGGAGATATACAGAAAGACAAAAACTTCTTACACTAGCAGGAAGACCTTTTCCAAGATGTTCTTGTGGCCAGTGAGAGGCCTGACAGAATAGGGAAGGGGGCGGCAGAGGACGAGATGGTTGGATGGCATCACTGACTCAATGGATGTGAATTTGAGCAAGCTCCGGGAGATACTGGAGGACAGGGAAGCCTGGTGTTCTGCAGTCCGTGGCGTCGCAGAGAGTTGTATACAACTTAGCAACTGAACAACAACAACAACAAATTCTGTAGTTGTGTTTGGATATGGGACCACCATTTGGGTTAAGTTCTTTGATAATTGAGGCATGTAGCCCTTTCATATCCAATGCACAAAATCACTAGGAGTTAGAGATGCATGTTTAGTTAGGGAATTGATGGAAGGTCTTACTATTATGAGATCTTATGGGTTCTTACTAGAACTGTACCAAGATTAACCTACAATAGCCAGCTGAGCTCCCTAGCCATAGTGACATGAAAAAAAAGAATAGAAACAAGGGCAATGTGACATGTATTTCAGTTCCAGATCTCTACTGTGAATGGGCATCATAAAATGCAGGTGCAATACATAACTTCTAAACGTGATCATAAAATGCACATCTCAGCACTATTTTGGAGGATATGTGCTTCTGAGAGAGGGAGAGAGAGAGACAGGGAGACAGATTAGATTCCTTCTTACAGTCAAGCAAAAGGTGAGTAACTTGAATGTGAACACGATGTGTGATTTTGTTAATTCGTTGGAAAATAGACCTTGCTGTCTTTCATCATGTCCATTCAGAAGTCATTGTAGTCCGTGTTTGTCAGTTTGTAATATCTGAAATTCCTATATTTCAGGGTCCATCAGGATTGAAAGGAGAGAAAGGCGATAGAGTATGTATTTCTTAAAATTTGACTTACAAGTTTATTTTGTGTGTTAAACATTGAACTCTGGAACTATGTAAATAATATGCTGATCGTACTTACTGATTTAATTCACTAGGGAGATATCGCTTCCCAGAACATGATGCGAGCAGTTGCAAGACAAGTTTGTGAACAATTGATAAGTGGTAAAATCTCTTTTCCTTTGAATATATGCATGTTTAAGTTAATTGCAGGAAAATGCAGGCTGTTTTCTAAGATATATACTTTCTAAGATAAATGTTTCTATTTCATTTTCACAACCTCTTCTTTTTATACATTGTCAGTTTTGTATCCTGTTAGATAAAGCCGATGATATTTTAATGATTGTCATCAAGATAAAACAGTAACCCAAGGTAAAATAATAGCCCATTATCCTTATATTCGGTCTGATACAAAATCACATTTTAAAAGGGCCTTTCAGTTTCAATATTAGGATTTTTTACTGGGTATCCATTGAAGCAGCAATCATTGCATCTCTTAAGTTATGCTGTTTGAGTTTTACTGACTCTTAAGGAAGGAGGACCGTGGAGATTAATTTGATCCTGAAAAGTCCACGTTGATGGGGAACTTTCTATTGCCTCCTTTTGATTCACGGACTCTTTCTCCTTATTCCACGAAATTTATTAAGTGATAAGGCCCAGTGCCTGCAAACTGAGTGTGACCTCCAACTCAAGGCCTCCCTTTACAGAAGTTTTAGGCCAGCTGTCTCCCAGGGTGGTTCCGAGGAGCGCCTGCTTTAGAGTCACTGATGATGTGTGTGAGAAATGAGTTCCTTGGTCACCCTAAATCTGGTGAATCACTCTTTGGAGATGAGACGCAGAAATTTGTAGTGTTTGAAGTATCCCACAGGTGATTCCAGTTTACACTAAAGCCTGATTATCACCTCTGTAGGCACACACACAACAATGCTGTCATTTATTAATTTAAAAAAAGGTTCTCTTTGAGTGACATCATCAGGCAAACCTTGGGGCTTCATATCAGAAGCACGTTAAACTTTCACAAGTCTTTTATGTTTAGAGTAATGCTGATGGCTTACTAGACAGTATTTGGTGTTCTTATCAGGGATCATTTTGTCTGGGATGACTGGAGTGTTTTATTTTAGGGTTGGGATTCTAATTAAAATATTTGCCGGAGGGGGCAGGAATGAATGTCACTAAATACTAAGAGAAATCTGTTTCATGTTCTCATCCCTTTTAATTTTCAGGTCAGATGAACAGATTCAATCAGATGCTGAACCAGATTCCAAACGATTACCACTCTAGTCGCAACCAGCCAGGCCCTCCAGGCCCCCCAGGTCCCCCTGGCAGCGCAGGAGCCAGAGGAGAACCAGGACCTGGGGGGCGGCCCGGCTTCCCAGGCACACCAGGGATGCAGGGGCCCCCGGGGGAACGAGGTAGGCATTCTTGGCTGCTGCCTAGGCATCAAGGAAGGAATCTCTAAGTGTAGAAGCTGGGTCGAAAAGCACGCGGAAGGCTGAGCTTGGCAAATGACGCTGGCCTTGTTTGGACAGCCCCAGAAGAGCCACGCATCCCTGAACCTGTTTTTCTTTCTAGGCAGCTGCAGGCTATAGAGATCCTTATCTTAAAAACAGGAAGATTTTGTCAGGAGATCTCGCTCAAGACAATGCCGTTTTCTGATTGTTGTTGTTAGCGAGCAAAATTGTTTCTTGGCAAAGGGAATCAGGCACTAAAACCTTATTAATTGTTTTGACTGGCAAGAGCTGGGCAGCAACTGAATGTAAGCTGCCTTACGTTTTTAGATCCAAATTCTTCTGGTTCCTTTACTCAGGGTCTGGAACTGGTCTTATGTGTTTATTTGGCTTTAATTTCATGGTAGATAAGTATAATTGAAGGAAAAGGAGAAAAACAAGATTATCTGATTCCAGATGTTTCAGCATGCTGGGGACTGACTTGTGAAAGTAGTGGTTAACATTCTGGGGAAAACCTAGATGCTTCTATAATTCTGATGGTTTAGATGCCATCCTCATAGGGCTACTGAAGCTAAGGTACCTTTGAGATGTCTTCAATGGGTTCTAATTCTTCATTCAAGATTTCTGTTCTTAATTACAGTTTCTAAAATAATATATTCGACGTGTTTGTTTTCTTCAAATAATTTTTCCCCTGACTTGTAGCCAGATTTGTTTCTTGGCCATGAACCTGGAATTACACAAATGTCTAGAAAGAATTTTGGCTTAGAAAGTGGACTTCTGTGAAAAATTGGGTTCTGCTTTTACTAAGGGATGACTTACTTGAATCAAGTATTATCGGTTCCAATGAAAACTACACTTTTCCAGATAATTTTCCCTCTGTGTTTCCCCGTTCTGTCCTTGCTTAGGTTTGCCGGGAGAGAAAGGTGAAAGGGGTACTGGATCCCCAGGACCTCGAGGGCTGCCTGGCCCCCCAGGTGGGTTTTGAGAGCACACAGCCCTCCTCAGAGGCGCAAACTCATCCTGTTAGCTTCAGGCAGGCCAATCATCATGGTATATATTTGAACAAGAAGTTCCTCCTGATCCTCCTCATTTTTATGTTTTTTTTGTTAAAAAAAAAATTTCAGCACATTCTATTTAAGATTTACTCTAAGTTTAATATATGAGGGTCTGAGTTTTAGTGACAGAAGGATGCTGTTTTCTTTTTACGGGACTCCTTTTTTTTTCCCCCTATTTGTTTTCTGTGGCCTCACAGCTGTTAAGGATGGCGTCATTTCCTGTTCCTTCCGCTGTTCTTCAAGATACTAATAGACTAATAGACTGAGGAAATATATCCTTGTTAGAAATCCTGGCATCCCAAGATTTCATTCACAGGTTTTTTTATTGAGGTTTTGGAAGGAAAGAATAGTTGTTCTATGCATTTTGTTTACTAGATTGAGAATGAATTGTTTTCTTCACCATAAGGTCCATGAGGTCCTTTGCAACCATGGTCAGCCCTGAAGGTTAAATCTTTATATTTGTGTTAACCATGAGGAAGTATCAGTAGATTCAGAAATAACATTGCTTCATACTGGTGATTTCTAAGGAAATATTTTCTTACCATATGCTAGAGACTCATCTGGTCTTGTAGTGGAGGTGCCAAAGTATTGTTGACTGCCTTAGGAGATGCATTTAACAAGGGGGGCAATATTTGTCTTAAACCCACAATAGGTCCACAAGGAGAATCAAGAACTGGTCCACCAGGGTCCACAGGTTCCAGAGGTCCTCCAGGTCCTCCTGGTCGTCCTGGAAACTCAGGTATCCGAGGCCCCCCAGGTCCTCCTGGATACTGTGACTCATCCCAATGTGCCAGCATCCCATACAACGGCCAAGGCTATCCAGGTATGTTGTGGCCCTCATAGGGACCCAAATTCACCTGAGTTAAAAAAACCTGTATGAAAATAAAGTTCCCTAGGATTGAAGGAAAGTTGATTTGAGGATTTCTTGAAGATAGCAACTCTTTCAGTTGTGTGTTTGGATTATGTAGTAATAGTCTCTTTCTAAAGAATTAATGTTAATTTTATGACATTATTTCACTGATAGGAGTTGAATAATTATTTTCTCCTCCTTTCTATACTTCTGCATTTATCAAATTACAACATAAACTTCTATATTTCTCCTGATAGTTCAAAGAATGTTATTGATTGATTTTTTTTTTTTTTGGCCTAAAGGTTGGGAACAGGGATTTGTTGAGTGCCAAGAATATATATAATATTTGTTTTGGGAATCTAATGTGTAGGCAGACTATTTGATAACATAGTAGAGGCAATTGGAAATATTTCACTATTTTACTTTGTCCATGGAATTAGTGTTTTATAAACTCTGGGACCTAATTTTTCAAGTTTGTCATGAAATTCTAATATTTGACAATTTGACAATTACAGGAGGCAGAAGTCTCTTAAGCCTGAATTTGGGGAATATGGGGACACAGGCAATATGCTGATCTAGAAATTAAAAAATTAATGCTGTGGGCAGTGGTCAGCAGTGACCTTTTTCATCAATGCACCCTCAAGCATCTTGCAAGTTTTAAAAATGATACTGCTGTTTGATATGGTTGGCTACTAGCAAGTAGTGCATGAGTAGTTGAATATCTAAATATCTATATATCTATATATTTATGTGCATACTTACATATGACCAAAAATAATCATATGAATCTTAAATATCTTATGCAAGCCATTCACAAAATTGCAATTTCATTCTTTATAAAAGAAATTTGAATTACCTCTGCCTTCTGGTATGTATGAGTAACTTGAAATATATGGATATATACATATATAATTTAACCATTACATACTTAGATGAATGTGTATAGATATTTTTTTTTTGCATAGTAATTCAACTTTTAAAAACTATCATCTTTGACCTGTTTCAGGTTCCGGCTAACAAATTTTCTAAGTCGCCAGTGCTGCTTACAGTTTGAATACATGAAAATCCTGTTTCTGAGATGTTTGCGCACGTGCTTATTAGAAAATGAGTCTGTATGGAAATCTCACCACAGATCTGGTTAACGAACCGGGTGGACATCATAAAGGAGGGTGGAGACTCTTTATACTAACTTGAATGAGACAAAAGCAGTGGTGGTAGTTTATAAGCCTGATGCATTTCAGTAATAATGTAGAAAAATATTATTTAAAAAAAAAGTTCAAACACAGCTCATGAGGAGCCTCGGTTGTGAAAGAGGCGCATAATAAAACTACTAACCGCGGAGATGATGCCATTTTGGGAAAAACAATTAACCTGGTTAAAGAGAAATACCTTATGTAAATAATAAACTAATTATGGCTTGTAAATGATTTGTATGTGATACTGTCCACTAAAATCACTTAACAATTCTACAATCAGCTTCTGCCTGCCGCTTGCTCTCTGCCGGAATAACATCGAATTAGAATCTCCTCATCTCTTGCTTGTTAGCGATGTGTCTGATTACCTTATGTACATGTACTCTCATTTGGTTTTTTGTAATCGCCCTTTTCAAACCAAAAGTTCAGACTCCCTTTTTTTCT